AGACAATATGGTTTTAATAATATTAACAATGGACATGGATAAATATTGAAAATATAACAAGATTGAGTTTGAAATTAAAATAAGGACTATAATTATAAACATTGAATTTTGAGTCATTACAACTATAGAGTCACCAATGTTTACTTCACCAACCATCGATGAGTCATAATTTGACGATTTGTTTGCGTTTTAATTTGTAGGACTAAACATAGGCTTTCTATTATTATTTGTTTTGTAAATAAAAATGTGTGAAACTACGTTTAATGATTACATACTGTATTTAAAAATATATATTATTGCATTAACCTGTCTTGAAGCTTATTTATGCATTCAAAGCCAATTTCAGTTATTTGCCAGGCATTTTAGGTTAGGATTGCATTATCAACGGTTTTGACTGACTTTAGTCAGTCAAAACCACCCAACTACTTATTATCATGGATAACCAGGAGTTTAGTAGGAACAAAATCACTCACAACTGAGACTTTTGTTCCTGCCACCACAATCACAATGGTCCTAGTCCTATGTTAAAACTTTTCAGAGATTAAACAAAAATTTCTTTAAGTAGTTAAAGACAAAGCAAAAATTATTTCACTTTGTAACTTGTATACAAACAAGCAACCTTAAACAATGTTCGTCAACATTAACTATGTTTTATTTGAAGAAAACCACAATACAAGTCCAGTTTTGCAGACAAAGATAGGGCTTTCTCGTTCTTGTGCAAACAATTCTAATAATGATGAGTTCCTCCCTCTAGGCAGAGCAGCCCTTATCAAATACAGGCATGGAGCTAACTATTTGTGCAAGGCCTTTCATTAAGGGGGGGCTATGGGATATTCCAAGGCCACATTAAAAAAACAGGCCGTAATGCTCGTCCAGCATGACGTCACGATAGAAGATGGCAATGACGTAATTTTGCCGTTTGTGATCAGCTGCTTGTTTTAATCTTTCATTGGAAAATAAATAAATAAGTACTTATACGTCATAGCCGTCATCTATCGTGACGTCATGCTTGGCGAGCATTACGGCCTGTTTTTTTAGTGTGGCCTTGGATATTCCCTACGGGAGAGGAGTGTTCAGTTCTTTCACCTAATAATTTTCTTTAGCCTTTACTTAGAACAGCTGATGATTTAAAAAATGATTCATACTGTACAAATAAACATTATTGATTCCTGTTCTTCTTGAAAACATGACTTATTTTTTTCTCTCTTAATATTTCATTTTTATTCACAAACACTCCACATTATTTAATGGTCCTTCGATCCAAGATATTACTTAAGCGATTTGGAATTACTTTCTTCTACTAAAACTCTTCATACATCAATATTTCCTCATTTTACTCATTGTTTTCTGTGCCTTTGAACTCTTACCTAACTGAACTCTTATTTCCACATTGGAACTCTTAACCCACTCATTTACACTTTGTGAATTTTTTACATTTATCTCATCATCTTTGTACAATGGCATCTCCAAATAGTGATTTTAAAATTGAAAATTATACACGACTCACATCTTTTATTAAAACTCGTCTCAAAGAAATAAGAAACATCGTTGATCAACATGTTGAACAAGAAGAAACATTAACAGTTGTGCAACACGAAGCCTTAAAGACTCTCATGCAAGAAACCCAGAAGAAGAAAGAAGACTTTGATTCTTATTTTTATCGAATTGTAAGTACATCAAGTGAAGATGATTTGAACATTGAAACTTTAGTTGAAGATGAAGACCAAATCAGTGAACTATTCATCCACATCACCAGCTACATTAATGTGCTGCTTTCAAAAATTGGTTCTAACTCTTATTTGGCCAAGGTTAATTGCAGTTCAGCTCAACCTCACAAAACTACTGCAGTGCATGTAATCAACCCGAACTCATCAAGTCCAGCTCAACCTCCGAGAGCAACTGCAATGAATGTAACCAACTCAAACTCATCAAGTCCAGCTCAACCTCAGAGAACAACTGCAATGAAAGTAACCAAACCGAACTCATCAAGTCCAGCTCAACCTCAGAGAACCACTACTGCAGTGCATGTAATCAAACCGAACTCATCAAGTCAGTTTCAAATCAAAGGCAACGATATTATACAACCTGGAACAAAACTCATCACAATAAAGAGGCCAGTGACAATCACAATACCTAAGTTCGCAAACACGATGATTAGAAATACCACAAAGACAGTGACAAAACCTCAACCAACGAATACAGATACAACAGTGAGCTCAACTACCTTGACAAGTGACAGTGCTGATCAACCAACGAATACAGGTACAACAGTGAGCTCAACTACCTTGACAAGTGATAGTGCTGCCATCCAACCTACCAACATTTCTGTCATCCCAAGAGACAGTACTGTTATCCATCCTACCGATAATGATACACCCCATCCTACCGATCGTGTTGCTGTTAAACCAACAGACAGTGGCACCGCTTACACAACCCACAGTGCAACCACTACAGTAAAGACAGTCAAGCAATCCAGGCAAGTGGTTGAATCTTCCGATGAAGCTCTGGACAAAGGCTACTCTTCATCACTAACTACAGAGGAAGCGCTCATCCTCCAATCTCAACTTGTTGAATTACTCTTGTTTCAGTAATTCAACAAGTTGAGATTGGAGGATGAGTGCTTTGAATTGAAGAAATGTGTTATGAACTGTCAAGACTTGTTCACTTCTGTTACTCAATCTCATCATAAAACACCAAAGTTCCTTCAAAACTCTGATGCTCAACATTTCAAAGAGCTAGGACTTCGGTGGTCTCCAGCAACAGTTTTTAAGGTGTTTCCCAGCAAAGATGGTATAGGTTGAAAATGAGAAGTAGAAAACTGCAAACAGCAGCTATAGCCGGCCTACAACAAATTTTTGTGTTAATGTGTTTTGTTCTAAACTAGGCTAACTGTTGAAGTGAGGACACTTCAAGGCCGGGAGTATGTTCAGTTCTTTCACCTAATAATTTTCTTTAGCCTTTACTTAGAACAGCTGATGATTTAAAAAATGATTCATACTGTACAAATAAACATTATTGATTCCTGTTCTTCTTGAAAACATGACTTATTTTTTTCTCTCTTAATATTTCATTTTTATTCACAAACACTCCAAGGAGATCTGGAGGCTATCCTACAGAATTTTCTTTGAAGAATCATGCTTGCGGTAATTTTTAGCATTTTGGCAAAGAAAAAGCATAATCTTGTACACTCTGAAAGATTATGTTTAGTCTAAGAGAAAAAAACAGGTTGGTATGATTTTGAGTAGTTTGGAAATAAGTTTATTCTTAAAAATATTCTAGACTTAATTAATAATGTAAAACATAATAATTTACTATTGTAAATTAATAACATATATTGTATTACTAATAATGAGTGTGATGGAGGTGAATTGACAACTTTCTCACCAATGGGCAAAAGGCTCATCAAGTTCACCCTGCCACTGGTGTCAAACATGTTTTGAAATTTTTTGGTAGCTACTTTCTCGAAAGAAATGAAAATCTCCTTCGTAGGTTTTTAATTCATCAATAATCTAGCATACAGTAGAACCCCTCATATCCGGCCTTGGTTTTACCGGTCCTCTGTTTATCCGGCCCCTTCCAGGAAGCCAATATCAAAATTTTTTTCTCACACCTTACAGACGTTTAGATACAAGCACTAGTCTTTGTGACTGCTCAAGTCATAAAATAAATTGTTCTCATTATTTATCTGTTTGTTTATACATTTATTTGCTGAGTCACTATACTCAGTTGAGCTAGTAGGCCTAACCTCTGATCAGTTGGCTGATTATTTCCAAAGTGGGTTTAGTACAGTACAGTACGAGTACATTAATTTTTGTATTTCACAAAATGGTTAAGAATTTTGAGCAGAAATGCAAGTACCATTTAAGTCCTCATGATCTTTAAGTGCAATTTATTGTCATTTTTACCTCCATTTAATATGTTTTGTTACCTGGAATCATAATATTTGTACATTCATTACTTATAGTACCGACTTTAACCTACAAATATTTTTTTTCCTTTTTACAGACATGTTTATTTTTCTAAAAATGATCCCAGAACAGAATTAAATGATACTTTTGATTGCATATATTGATTACCTATTATTATTAGGTATGAATTGTCATTTTCATAGTAGGTTGGTTTATCCGGCCAAATCGTTATCCGGCCAGGGGCTTGGTCCCGTGGTGGCCGGATATGAGGGGTTCTACTGTATTGCTTAGATATTTTGCGCGCCTACATCTGTACATTATTATATTATTTTCATTCTACCAAAACTAGTACTTCCACAGTGCAAGGTCTAGAGCACTTGCTCCACTCGCTCCACCCTAAGGACGGAAATGACTCTTACTGAATCCAATCTTGAAAATGTACCAAAATATTATAAATTAACAAATAATAAGAAAAAACAGAAACACTTTCTATATTAAGATTCCCAAGTAGGAAACTTTAAATTTTCACTGAGTAGTGTTCATATCTCAGTCAAAATTCTAATGAAACCTATTAAAAATTGAACAACAACAAATTTTTCTCCACATAAACAGTATATGCAGGACAAAATAAACCTAACATGCATGATCTAAAAGTCTTAACTGTTAAGTTGCAATATTTACAATTGTATTTAGTTGTTAATGTCTTGTGTATCACATATAATTGTTCAAAATCAGTATCCTGTACTTTTTTTGCATGCAGACAATTAAGTTCAGTTACATCAACATTCACACAACATTTCATTTCAATAAATTATTATTTAAGTTTAAAATAATATTAAGAGTTGCTGACCAGAGGGAAATTGAGAGACAGCTAAACACACAACACACTTAAGAATTTTATATTCGTCACAAATACACTACAGAAGAACTTCGATAACAAGACTCTCATCGGGTTTGAATAAGACTTGTTATAAGGTTGACTTCTATTTTTGCTATAACTTGTGATTAGAGGTCAATTAAATTCAAGGTTGAAAATGATACTCGTTATCAAGGGTGACTACTGAGTAGTTATTGAGGTTCAAGTGTACGTACCTCCTGTCCGTATCTATTCTTGTTGACAAGTTGTGTGGTGAGTCCCACCTCGTCGTAAATGGCCTCAGCAATGTCCACAGCCTTGGCCTCCTTGTAACACAGCGCGTTGCACCTCTGGTGGAGTACATTCAATACTACAGACACAACTCCTGGGACTTGTACAGCTACAGACGACACTTCTTTTTCATTATCCTAAGTAACCAGACAAAATGTAAAAAACTTTTCTATCACTAATAATTCAACAGTAAATAATTTTGCAAAGGAAAGTCCTACTATATACATAAAACAAAATTATTTTGCAAAGACACCAGTGAATTATTGTTTAAGCTTGAGTTTCCACGTACTGTATAGGATATCCGACATGCTATTTTGTGTTTTAAGTTGAAAATTTGGAAAACGGCAATCTAAAACATGCAGGAATCAGCCATTCTGCATGTTATAACCAAGTGCAAAATATGCCAGTTCTTTCTAAGGAAACTGTAGGATGATAATTGATATAAGATAAGTATGTTTACTTACATTGTTCAGTCCGTGAATGTGAAGCATAATCATTTTGTTAGCTCTTCTCTTTTTCATATTTTCTTCCTGTGTTCTGGTCCTACTTCGAGTGCAATGTGCAGGGTATTCTTTGCAGTCTCTTTTCTGCATTAGCTGCATAGCTTTAGTTTTCAAATTTTCCGGCATATCGTTTCTAAGAGAAAAAAAAAACATAGCCTATATAATCTTAGACGGTAAAACAATTAAATGTTAGTATCCTATGTTTTTTAATGCAACACTATTCTCGTTACAGTATCCATAACTGATCATAAGGTTTTAAATGAACTATATGAACATTTTCTGATTTTCATTAACACGTTCGCTGCGAGAATCCTATTGGCGGGGCGGTCGGATAAGTGACACAGCCTCGGCGTACCAGTGAATCAGCAAACGCAATAGGCATTAGAGTATTTCAGTCTTGACCCGAGGCAAAAAAGCGGCGGTAATGGTTCTGTGGTACCCCAGAGTAGTTGTAGTTCACTGAAAAACTAACAGATAGCAGCACTGCCTGGATACATAGCACGTGTCTTTGTAATGTGGCTCGAAGAGAGAAAATGAGAAGAGAGTCTGGCGTTGCCAGACGAGACTTTAGAGGAAATTTTACTACCAAAATAAAACCCAACCTACACCAAATGACAGAGCATATTTTAAGGGATTTCCACTGGGCGACAGTGGCGCCGGACTTACCGGGGGTCTGGGGTATCCGAGGCCCCCCCCCCCCCCGGAAATTTTTGCATAATTTAAAGTGAAAATCAAACATTTATACGTATCTTTTAATGAATTTTTCGATTATATTTGCTTGTAAATAGTCCATATAATCTCACTTAATTACGTAAATATTCTAGAACGTTGTATCAGGCCAAGGCTCCCTTCACAACCTCTTGGGCCAAAATCATAGCTCAATACTCTAACATATTTACATAGGTAATGTAATTTTTTTTAAATTCCGATACATTTGAAATGTGAATTATTACAAAAATATGCCGGCACCACCTATAGTAACTGGGCGACAAAGTCTCAGCATTGTGTCGCCCAGTTAATGTGTTATTTTATGCGCTGCCAAATGAAAGTATAGGAAGGACCAGCACAACATGCTGACATAGTTTAGTTGATCACCGAAAAATATGGAGGTCACAGTAGACAAACTTGTACAACACTGCACCGTGACTCCGACCAGAGTCGTACACACGCTGTGCCAGTACGGCATTAATATAAAATGTAACATATAAGTTTGAGCAGTCAGGACTTTGATACTTTTCAACCCTAAGTGGAATCATTTTATAGATATTGGGGAAACACTTGGTTTAAGAACATTAATGAAAACATTTAACACAAGCTAATACAAGAAAAAAAGAGTAGGGTAAAAGTGTAAATGTCAATTCAAAAATTATAATTGAAAGCATGTGGAATATTATAATTATAAGATAATATCTTCTGTATCCAATAGTCAATGATAACATGTAACTAGGTGTCTGAGTGCTTACCAGTTAAATCCTAAGAAAAGTTATTGTAGCTCTTTGACGGTTTGAAACTGTGCCCAGCTCTCCCTTAGTTACTAAACATTCAATTAGTGATCCTGATTAAATAAACAGCTGATGTTAATCAGTAACAAATAACGGTACTTTCCTGTTAAAGGGAACATTCATTATTATCGATGATTTTTTCCTCGATATATCGATGTTTTTGTTTTCAGATCCATTACAAATTGACAACAAGAAATGAAACTGTTCTAAGCTAACCTAACATAACCAACCATACTTGCTGTACCATTTAAAAATTCCGTTTGGGTTTGAATATAAAAGGCAAGTTATAAACGCGGAATTTTTAAATGTTACAGCAAGTTTGGTTAGTTATGTTAGGTTATTTATTTTAGAACAGTTTAATTTCATTAACGTTTGTTGATATTGAACAATATTTTTCGTAATTGTCAGCTGATATGTTTCAATTTGTTAATATCGATATATCGAGAAAAAAATCATCGATAATAATGAATGTTCCCTTTAACAGGAAAGTACCGGTACCCAAATAACATAAGGCATCTCAGTCTTCCAATGCTCATTGTCCAAGTTCCTATTTAGAATGAAATCCCCCTTAGTTGAATTTTCTCGCACAAAAGTGTATTGTGATGTTAATCTGCTTACTCTATTTCATATTTAAACCGTCACTGTGTGTACATGTTTTAGTTTTCTTAATTTAAACATATGTCACTTACCTAGAGGCAATTAGTTCCACCGATTCAAACACCCCAAATGTCCTCTTCATTTCATTAGCATTGGAATCATTTTCGGCAAAAATTAGTAATGTCTCAATCGCCAAGTCGATAACTTCTAGGCTAGCATCTTCTGAGCTCAAACAAAATGCAAGGAAAGGGAACATTGTTTTATCCTGAAAAAAGGTATGATATTTAACAAAATTTAACTTGAGAGCAGAGAAGTTTTTTCATTATTTAGGAAATTCGTAGTTATTGAATGTATGCATTATTCACTAAGAAGGCCTGAGTTTATCGTAAAACACATACTGGCCAACATACAGATGATACAGCTGTTGCACTTCACCAGCTGGGATGTAAATATAACAAACACACCACCGAAAAGTAACACACTCAATAGAAGCAGAAGTGACAAGACACAACGCGGAATGAATCAATTGGTTGAATTGGTCAATGAATGTGATATGACGCAAAGACGGTCAGATTCAGTATCTTAATCTAGGCCTATAGATTTTTCAGCCCCGTCAAACACAGTGTCAGGTAAATTTTTGCTATATGTGAAGTGGGCTAAGTGGCTTCTACAGTGGGGAATTGTCCGTTAGTGATGTAACTTACGCCTAACAAAGCAAATAGGCACAAAGGAAAGATTGTCTGAATCACAATGGTAGGTATTTTGTGATTAATAGGTACAAAAATAGGCCATGTGTTGACAGAAATTAACTTTTTACAGCAAAGTTATAACTTAGCAAGTTTGAATGAAAGACAATAAAACTGGGCCTTATCTTAACACGTTCACTACCGCAATAGTAGGCTACAAAATCTTTCATTCATATGAACCAGTGACACACACATATATGCGACGGTCGGTTTCTACCCATAGACTACCGTCGCATATGCAAAAGTTACACAATTTACTATTGTAACAAATTTCATTAGCCTAAGTAGGTTTTTGATTTGTTTAATTATAAGCTTTGAACACTACCTCTATACCGTAATTCAAGAAAAGACTTTTGTGTAGGCTAATTAATTTTAATTTATTTTGTAACTTTGTAGCAAAACATCATTCTGTTCATTTGTTCAGTTATTACAGTAACTGAAAAATATGTTTTTTTACTCACTTTCACCTAAAAACAAAAACAAAAATTAACTGTCGCTGTCGCATGAATGCGGCGTTTGGGCTATTTAAAAAAAATATAGTTACCTAGTAATTTTAACTATTGTCTTCGCTATAGTTAAAGCGTGTTATAAGTTAGTGTCGCGTAGGGCGTCGCAAATATGCAACATTACAAAAGGTTATAAAAAATGTAAAAAACAAGAATATTTACAAACACGATTGCAGCGTATTACAAAGTATAAATAATCACTGTTTAACAGATTTTCACCTATTGGCTGCATCTGCACATACTGTTAACCAAGTGAAAGCCAGTCTATGTGTAAGATTAAAATGTATACCTGGGTCTGTGGCAATGAGTGGCGTCGCATATGCAACGCTTGGTGGCAAACTTGTTAATAGCCTACTCATTTAACTTAAACTTCCTAGTTATAGAGGGACTTAAATATTAGTATCCCCCAAACAATTCATTTAACCAGCCCACTCAAACCATCAGATCTGTGGTACGTTGGTCCTGAGGCCATTTATTTTAGAGCTGGATTTTTTTACCGGAGACCAAAAATAACTAGGCCCTACATAGTTGGAAAAAACATACCTACTTTAATTTACTGTCCAAATTTGACATGATTACGATAAGCGGCCTTCAAGTTCTGCCTCCCAGAAGGCAGTGATGTCGGCGAGGATTGAGTTGAATGTTTTTCCTTCCAGCTGCCACATGTACTCAGCAAGTAGGTAAGTATACAGCACACTGCAAGGGTTATGTAAGGTTGGGTTGGAATATGTTTGTAGGACTTTCCTCGTTTCGTTATGTATCTAACGATACCAGATACAGGCGGTGACAGATGATGTGCGCGATCCGGTCAACAACCTGACCTTGGCCAACTCAAGGGGATTTGGCGGGCCAAAGTATGACTCATCTGGTGGTAAGTATCGCGCGATTCATAACGAAACGAGAAAATTCCTACAAACATATTTAGACTTACTACAGACACATAACCACCACAGCGCGCTGTAAGTTATAGGCCTAAGGTTGGCCTCCGGATAATAGGCTACCAAAGTACCAGATCTGTTAAACCAAAACAAAATACGATTGAAATACTAGCCTTAGTTGAATGGTGTAACTTAATAAGATTTAGTTAGATGCCAAGCAAAGGATTTAACCTACCTTAATGTGAACAGCATGTCCGGAATGAGCCTTAGCCAAGATATTATATTTGGTTACAATGCCCAATAAGTCGTCACTCATTGTTAATCCCAAAAAATTTACAAATCCAAAATTTCGTCTGACTTATACCAACACTAGCATACAGTGTTTGGAAATGGATTACTACAAAAACTAAAACTTTACACTAACGAAACTATAAGCAATAAAATAACGGCAACAGCATTACAAGAACCAATTTAAATGTTGTTTACATTACATTTTTCAACAATTAATTATTCCATAGTAACTATCAACAGTGTTGCTTTGCTTGCTTCTGCTTTCGTTTCGCTTTCTGCTTAACTTAACTTCAGCTTCTCTCTTCTCTCTCCAAACAAACAGTCCAAACCATAACCAAATCAAGAATCAAGTTGAAGTTGAAGAAATTGAAATTTACTCGGGCGGTATTCTTCATCCTGTCAAATGAAATGCTACCAACACAATCAGATGAAATTACTTGCCTGGATATTTTAATACTCACAAAAATACCCTATAACAGTACAGTATGTACAAAGGATGCGAAAAATTGAAGTTTTGAACGAAATATCTATAGTATATTAAATATCAAAAGTATGCCTATTATAGTTGCCTATAAAAGCTGTCCCAAGGTTAGGGCATCGAAGCTCGAAGCTGTTTACAGACTGTCGAAGGTGTTTACAGACTTCCATCATAGTAGGTACCTTTAAAACCTGCTGCAAAGTCGTTGACCAGAATTTCTGGATAGAGACTCTGTCAAGGATAAAACAAAAAATACTATATTACTTACAATGTTTTATGTGTTTAATAGATATATCTCCCAAGTATCTAAAAAGATTCTGTTTCACTTTTAGGATTGTTTGAACACGTATTTATATCTTGAAAGTAGGTTGCTTTGTATATGAAATTATGGAAATCAGAATGACAATGAGGATTGTGCTTATAATGCAGCCACAGTCGGGGCCACAGCGCAACCCCCACTCGCTTCCTCGTCAAAGTCACGATTTATGTGTCAAAGTTTGATCATATTTATTATATTATATTACATAATTGTGGTTATATTGATGTCAAAATTATTATATTTAATTTAAGGTACCGGTAAGTGCTATCCTTCTCCGCCTTACCTGAAATAAAAAAATTCACATTCTTGTGGAATACCGATAAGTCACAGTCTGTTTTGTTTACGTAGATAATTATAAAGTGTGAAAAATACTACTTTGATGATCTTTCTTTTAGTAACCGATATGGATTCCAATACATAATTGTTTCGCCTACGTTTACGATGCTTAGGTAAAAGTTGAAGAAATAGTCCATCTTCTTCACTTGACGACTATATCATTCACACTGATAAACTACAACATAGTGTACAAGTCTGTTTAAAATTCGGTCGGATGCGCGACCTCGCCACACTTGTTGCTACTCCTAGCCACACCTGTGGCCACCCCAAGGGACTAAGCAGTCGCGGTAGCGTGCCACTCGAGTGGCCACGCATCATAAAGCTCTAAGTGGTTATAGTACGTGCCTGGTAATCAAAAGGACACCAGTTTGATCCTGAGAAAAGTTAGAAGTATTTCTTATGGTTTAAACTAGACCTAGCACCCAGCTGTTCTTGATCGTTGGCTCTTAATAAATGGCCTTGGAAAATTAAATAACTGGTCTTAGTCAGTCCCGTAACTAAAGGTATCTCACTTCATACTCCCTACATTGGTCTTCATTCCACTCATATTTGGGTTGAATGAAATACGCACCAGTGCGCCCCCATCCCATTGGCATCAATATTTGTTACCGTGTTTGGGCAGAGAGCATAAACCAAGAATTAGACATACTCTTATACTACCACATACAATAGACCACCATGATGGTCTATTTTCTGTGGTACTATTCAAAGTAAAATACAAACGGACAGTTGAATAGCCCCCCCCCCCCCCCCCCTAACCAGAGCTGCCCAGACAACCTTGCCACAGTAAAAAGTGCATATCGGTCACAACCTACCACCTCCATATCGACCATTTTTAATCAAATCTATAAATAACAATTTTACCACATTCTTGGCATTGTTAACAAGTCAGCAATGTGGGAAAAACTTGAAGTGTTTTCCAACCCAGAGATACCAACCACAGCGATGTCGACAAGTAGACCATGTGTTAAATTGATGTACAAAGTTGTTTACACTTCTTTTATGTACACCCAGTATTATGACATATAATGCTACACCATAATTTGCAAGCTATTATTTTTCTTTGGCCGGTTAAAAAGTTTATTTATAGGGGAAATCTGTAATAATTTTCCCCCATCTTATGAATATGAAGGTACACAGGCCTATACACCTATTTTACAGGTTTTTGGCGGGCCCAAATCTACACACAGTAAGGATAAGCAAAATGTGCAAATTTCCTAATGTGAGGTGCAGCTTACAGACCCACCCATTCCATCCCATCAACTTCCACAGTTTTTTTTTAGGTGGACCCCTTCAACCAAGCTCTGTCATATGAACTCTTCATGTTTTTGACACCATACCTTACTGACAAGAGATTCACAACTTCTTCTTGTCAAAAAATTAAAATGTCAGAATTAAGCAAAACCTTCACGACTTTTTTTCCTATAGTCAACATTCAAGAAATAACTATTTTGAAGTTGTTTATGCATTTGCTGGGAGGAAAAACGTAAAGGAGGAAATAAGTTCCAATGCAAAAAATATCTACACTTTCTATATTTATTTTAAATACATATCACAGCAAAAATTATAAAATTCACATCATAAAATAATTATAACAATAATAATAATACATTAAAATTCGAAGATTGAAAATAAAATATTTAAAACAAGTATAAAACACAGTACAATTGGATTTTAAAATGCACATAAAATAAATTAATAAATACTACTTCCATAAATAAATTCGAGGAATGTTAAGGATTAGGATTTCATTTTCTAACTACAGTACTATTTCAAATGTATAAAACATTTCTATTTACAATACCTACATTCATTTAGAGGTAAATGTTATATAAATAAGTAATTTTTGGTTGGACAATCTTCACACAGGCACCGCCGTACTTTATTTTAAGCGCCGGGGGGTGCTTTATTTTAATATTTAAAATAAAGGAGAAGTAACATGTTTAAGTATGGTAGGTCAAACTGCTAACTGGTGTGCTTGCCAAACTGTTGTATAATTTTGTCAAAATTTAAGTTTTGTGCATTTATCACTTTAGTTTTCCGGCCGTTTCAGCAATGCCCGGTTAACCTTTATTTTACCCTTTTATTGTAAATAAATCTTAACACGTTCGCTACTGCAATAGTACGAAATTTTCCATTCACATGGACCAGCGACGCACATATGCGACGGCCGGTTTCTACCCATAGACTGCCGTCGCATATATGCGACGGCTAGTCACATTAAAATAGACTGCCGACGCATATTTGCGTCGGGGTTCTAATGTTATTAAAATGCTTATATCTTTGTAGTGGTCTATTTGAAGGCACTGAATTCCCTGCAGTGGTCTACAGAGATGTCTGACGCACAACTGCGTCGCTTGGTCTGTGGGTATGATGATTGGTGACGTCATATGATAGTAGGAAAAACTGGTCTTTACTTTTATGCATCACTGTATGTATGTATGCTGCATTATCCTATGTAGCTTTTATATTTGTTCAGTTATAAACTGTTCTTGAATAATCTGTTTATTTTTTTACTTACTTTCACCTTAAAACACAAAAAATGAGCCGTCGCATATATGCGACGTTTAGTCTATTTCAAGAAAACTATGATAATTTTCACTATTGTTTTCACTGTAGACCGGGCGTCGCAAATATGCGACATTACAAAAGGTTATAAAAAATACAAAAAAACAAGAACAATTTATTTACAAACACTATTGTAGCGTATTACAATGTAAATTATCACTGTTTTACAGGTTTTCGCCCGTGGTCTGTGTGTACTGTTATCCAAGTGACAGCCGGTCTATGTGTAAGATTGAAATGTATATCTCGGTCTGTGGCAATGACCGCGGCGTCGCATATATGCGACGCTCAGTAGCGAACGTGTTAAGGATCGTTCAAGGGTATGAAAGAACATAAGACAATCATTGAATCATTTCAACAAAAGACTACAACTGGCAACACAAAAAATTTAGAAATGACTACAGTTGGTCAATTCACACAATGTTCTACGTAGTTGGCTGTTTTTTCTTCACCTAGCAGTATCAATATCTTTTCTCCTTAAACAATACGTTTCTGTTTCACAATCTAATGTAATCCCCAAAACATGGGCAGGTTTATGTGTCAGTAATAAAATGAGAGGTCTGTCTTTCCATCTCACAAAATCTACATGAGCAAATTAGATTTAATTTCACATAGAGATAACTTAAGTACCGAGGAATGTCGAAGTCATATTTTTTTATTTTGTTTTATGTTTATATTTTGGCTTTCACACCATTTAAGTATGTTTTTTTAAGGTATTGATTGGTTTCTAAAAAAATTTAAATCTCAACGTTTTCTAGCTGATTGAAATAGGCCTACTAAAGATATTTGTATAAAATAGAAAAATGAACGACCTAATTCAGATCATTAACAGTTGGTTGTTGTTAATGTTTTTTACAGTAGCTTTGAAGAACCAAACTCTTTTCGTCTTTCAATCTCCCATCCCTGAGCCAGAGTAAAACTACTAAGAATATTTTTAACCCGCTCTTTAAGTAGTAGAATCTTAAGGCTTCCACTGGTACCATAAAAAAAAATATCACGGTCTTCGGGGTAGATCCGAGTCATATTGGTAACTTTAAATAGCTGACGTTTCAACTACTACTTGGTAGTAGTTTGTCATTACGACTTTGAAAATGGCCAACTGCAATGAAGCCAAAACGTCGGTTCAAATTACTGGTAATATGAAACGGTTTTACCCCATGGACCATAATATTGTTGTAATTTACATCAGTTTGAATGGTCACCTTCTTTTATGTCTATTGAAAATTGATATTGCAAAAGAGAACGTACCATAAACTTAAAGCAAAATTAATTGTTAAATAAGTAAAAACAAGACAAACAAAATCACAACCAAGCTTTTGCACACAAGAGGAACACATTTTGTTTTGGAATGATTTGACTACCTCACACTCATTATCTGTTTCGACTGTTGAGAACACTAAACAGCACTTCCGTCGAGGAGTCTTCTTGGCGGCTCTCGTCCTCGGAGCTTGTGTCTTCTGCGAGAAACTGTGCAGCCTGACAAACACATCCTAGTCAATACACTTATGTACAATGCTCAATGTTATATTGCTTGCTGTCAAGTCCAAAAAGTAATAACTGGTGTATTTGCGTCCAAAAATATGAATACATCTAGCTAATAAAAGACTTAAAATTAATTACTTATTTTACATTCAATAATGCTATGAAAACCAAAAGCTTATTTCATTTTGGTTGATTTTGGTTTTAGATATGAGCTCCTTGGTTAAAATGTGTCGTTTTTGAGTTGTCAATGCTGCAGGAATCGATTAACAAGTTATTTTGGACTAAATCAACCTTGACATTTCTTTTGAACCAGGCAGAACTTGAATGCTACTGAACAACCTGGTGCAGTGTGTCTCAAAAGCTTGTATAGCTGTCTTCACTACTAGTTAATGTTATGAGTTCACAACATTTTTGCTGGATAGACAAAAACTTCAAAGCCATTGTAAGTTAAGTTAAACTAATGTTGCTCATGTTAATGTTATTCAGTTAGTTTATTGTGAGTTTGGCTTTGTTAAAGAAGCATATTAATTATAAGTAAATAATTATGAGGTAACAATAATCTACATGCATTACTGTAAGATAGTTAACAAACTGTTTTACTCATTGTGTACTGGTTAAATACCTGAATTGAATTAGTATCTATAAAAAAGCAATCAAGACAAAATACACAAAACTACTCCAAATTAGGCATTATAAAGCTAGGCATTCTATAACATTTTAAAACAAAGGCTTTACAACTCAACTGTCAACTTCAAAACCGAACAATCATGCCACAGTAGTTGTACAGTAAGCTTAAGCAAACCAAAAACAAAAATAATCATCTTCAAGCAAATAAGTATTATACAGCAGACTCTCATAGTTCTGGACCTCAAAGTTCCGGATTCCAGAAATACCAGAGATGAGATAAAATAACCGGAATAAAAACTTTTTGCATGTTTTGTGTCTCAAATTGTCTGAAAGTTTTTTTTACTGTTCTTACTCATGTAAATCATATGATTCACGATATAGGAGAAATTGACTCCTAAGTGAATAAGAGGCATGGTTTTGCAATATTTAAAACGTTGGACAATCTAGTATTTTAGGATATCACTACAAAACTAAATCAGATTATTAAGCTATTCGATTCCAGTAGTCTTCTATGAGCCGCTCTTATGATTTATGATCGATGTGCAGCCGATTTATGATCGACACTGAGTACTTTGACCGATACCAACATATCTAGAATTTGTTTGGATTCAGAGTCTGTCCCGTCTTCTAGATTGGTATCCATTTTTGAGAGTCTACTGTATAATTACTAGTAATTAATTATTTCTTAGAAATCTTACACTAAATAAAAGTATATCTACAAAACTACTGGTGCAACAAAAATATTTTAGATTCAACCTATTAATTCTAAAACATAATAAATCTTAGGTCTGTTGAGATTTCTTGGAGGAAAGTTTTCAGTATTTCTGTACTTAATAGTCGACATTAAAAGTGTTACAAAAAAAAAAAAAAAAGTGTAAAAAAAAGTAAAAGTGTTATCTCTTAACTAGTTAAATAATAAGATGTTTGGGTTTTTAAATTAACTAGCGATAAATTACAGGGTGACAAGACCCTTAACCTAATAATATTTACAGATCAAGAAGGATACACCAAATCATCAGTTTACTAGGAACCGTGTAGATTTTAGAACACCTTCCCATATCAACAATTTGTCAAAAAAATCCACAAACAGAAATAAACTATTGGTAATCATAAAATATAATATTTCATGTAGTTTACTGGTGCAGTTGTGCTTTGAGAAAAACTTGTTTTGTTGTATTAACTAATAAATATTAGACTAGATAGTATAACTTATATATTCAGCACTATTCAAAAATATCTCAAGGTTCAGAAAGTGCATACAGTATGTATAGTTTAAATTATTACAGATAGGGTAATATAAACGTTGTGTGACTGGTATTTTTTTGGCTGAGGTAGTTTTTGCTGTGGAGCTGTCTAAAAGTCAAGACATTTCATGTATACTATTTCTTGTGAACACTATAAATACATTGCATAAGCAAAACAATAATCAAATAAAAAACTGATAAAACCACACCTGCGAAACTATACATATAATTACCTAAAAAAATAAATAAGTGCAATACAAATGTAGTGGAGAAAACAAACTACAGCTGTGCCAAAAATTTCAATTTCATGCTGACACTATACAATTTCATGCTACAACGTGTTTTATAATTTCAACCAAATTAATCCACACCAATTAATGTATGTGCACAAATAAATACTAATGTTTACTTATAATTAATTTCTTTGCTTACAGCTTATATTTCTTTACCTGGATAGACAAAATTATATTTATGTCTGATAATACAAATCAAGACAAATATTGCTTCAGTTTGATTTTTTTTTATAAAATACCCATTATAATTTGTACCTATTTGGAAGATTAAAAAGCAAACTACTTTAAAGTAACAACATTAATTTTTTACAAAGAAATCTTTTTCTCAATATAAGTGTGAGTTTTCTTTTTGGTTTAAGATTTTTCTATTTGGTTCCACAATTTTATTTCTTAGGAACCGGTAGTTTAATATTATCTTCACCTGTTACTTTTCCTAGTTAAGGTTATTACAGCAAAATGTAACATTATTGTGTCCAACCTACTCCAATGTATTATGCAATTAATAATACAATAACTTCAGTAGCAAGATATTGTTAGTGAAGTTAATAATGATTAGGATCATTCAACCATTTCAGAATGTTTAATAAATTAGTACTGAATCAAATATAACTAGATTATAAACTAAAGAATAATAAATATTTTCCATAGGGTGCAAAAAAAAACATTAGCATTTGTACAATCAAGAAAGTTGCTAGTTATCTGCGATGTTGGTATACCTGGTCGAGCAGAGGTTTGTGCAGGGTGGTAGGCTTGTGTTGAGCAGCTGATGAAATAGCTTTGTTGACCACATGGCATATGATCCCTCCGAGACAGAACAACAGTCCGACACAGTTTATAAGCGTCAGCTGATCTCCGTTCCATTCAACTGCTAAGATCAGCGTGCACACCTCCTGTGATGAAAAAAATTTGTGCTAAGTAATTGAAAATGTTACTATGAATTCTGGGTCACTAACTAGAGATGAAGGTTTGAAAAACAAAATTTTATGAAATACAATGGTGCAAAGTTACCAACAATGGTGCAGTTTGTCAGTCTGCCCAGGCTGGCTTTCGTAAATGGGGGCCTGGACCCCGGGGCGCAAGAGGTTTAGGTTTGTTGGGGGCGGAAGGAAAAATATGTCCTCACAAGGAAGAAGGGGGGCGACAATATCTCCCTGGCCCATTGCTTACCACACGCATACCGTCAGCCTGCCAACAATGTAGGGCATAGAAAATGCAATAATCAAATGAGTGTCTACCTGAGAAACTCAAAAGAAGAAGACTATTTGAAAGACCAAGAATAAGGTGGAACCTCAAAGTTGTAAAAAATGTTGTTCAAAAATGCTATGAAAACTTAAGACAATTAGACGTTAAAATACTATTTAATTATTCACACCAGAACCTTTGTGTGATTATTTTTCTGATGTAATGTAACGTACATTACTCGTTACAAAAGACCCTTTTGAAGCTCGATTATTATTTTCTGTGTTTGGCTTTGTCTCGCTTGTAAACCACTATCTTGCCCCAAATGGGTCACTTTCAGGACTAGTTGTGAAATATACTAACTAATTTATGCCTATACATATGACAGAAAATTATACCTAAGGGTATAATAAAGTGACTAAGTTTTTAAAATCCCTAAGTCTGTTAGCCATGCACCAACCTCGGCTGCCCCCCGTGCTCAATTATGACCTCGGCAAGTGCCATAATTCCTATCTGTTTCCACGATAGTGGAAAAATGCCGATTTTGACTTGGTATCACCTGATATCAAACATGTCTTGGAGTACCTTGAATATGCCAGCGATGGAGAGTGTCAGGCTGGAAGTCTGAGATACAACTAAGTACTCGCTGAGCTCCATAGCGAGCGCAATAAACGCTCCTCCGACAACAAGTGACAGTGAGTGAGATAAAGCTGGCCAGCTCCTCTTCTCAAAGTCTGCTATCAAATCTCCTCCTAGAGCAAACATTTTGGTAATCAAGAAACTTCGCCATCAGCTTTATAGCACATACAGTAGAACCTCTTTAATCCGAACGTCTACTAATCCCAACGCCTCATTGCTGTACTCTATACACAGTACAGTAGTTCTTTATTGTATACTGTATTTATTGATATACGCACCATAATTATTTCAATTGTAATGTACAGTACTGTTTTTCCCTATGTTTACTACTGTATTAAATAAACACTGTATTTTACTTTATAAAGCATTTTTCACTTTTCCCTAGCTACTGTTATGTAAAAACAACAATATGTTCTGTAACCCGAACTATTCAAAAGTCCGAACCACCCCCGGTCCCAATTAGTTAGGATTAAAGAGTACTACTGTACTATTAACAAAACATATTTTGAATTTTATTCAAATTGTTACTGTGTAGTACACAGGAAAATTTACCTATTTTAGTAGGCTATACAGGAATATCTTTTATATTGGTAAGAAGCTCTAAACACAACAATATTTCTGTTTGTATCAAGAATATACAACTTTTCTCTGAAGTTCGACTCAATTAGAGTACATAAGACATTCCTCCAATTTGTTATACATGAGAAAAATCAACAAATTGCTAAAGGATTACAGTAAAACAAATTTATGTCATGGAATCTTTATTTGGGTGCCCATGAAAAAAAATGAAAGGAGGGTAACAGCAGCTAAGAGGAGTAACAGCTGGGATCCCATCACAAAATAAGCTTCCTTACTTCCCTCTGTTGATCAAATATTTTCAGCAAAACAGCGCTGACTAGTTACGTTGCAAGCATGTTGTCAAAGCTTGCAAAAGTGAAATAAACATAATAAATCATTACATTTAACACAGCAGAAAACAATAATATAATACATAATGAACCAAGATGATTGATGCTATAAACAATTCTTAAAAGTAAATTTTATTTGACAAGATCAATCCAGACATCTGGTCAACGATCGCCAGTTGGTAATGGTATTCCAAAGATGCTATCATACCACACGGTTCCGACAGCAGTAGCAGACTACAATTCGTTTACAAATTTATAAGGAGGTAATAAGGTAAAAAAGCCTATTGTGGTAAAAAAGTAGTCAAGCCGATATAAAGTGGACTGTATCAGATCCCATAAATCCATTGGGTTAGAGACCGCATCAGCAAAGGTAATTTTTGCTCAAAATATACCTAGTTATTTTGAGGTGCCATACAATCATATTGGGCTTACAGAGCTAATGTACCTTCAACGACTAGAGCTAGTGGCAGGACTGATATCATCATCCACGGCTGGACGTGATACAACATGTCCATCGGGTGGCGAAGCCCCAACTCCGCCTTCTGCATCACAAACTGCGTCAAAGTCCAACGTAAACCACTGTAAATACAAGACGTGATCAGAGAAGATATTGAGTTAGCACAGATATAAGAAACAGCTCTGTTAGTAATAAAAAATACCCCCGCCACAGCAAACCTGCAGACTAAGCGAATTTCCATTTGCCTGATTTGATTTTCAATTAAATCTATTCAAATGACATTAGGTTTAACGAGTACCTAGGTTTGCTGCCTACAGGGTAATAAAATGTTTTTTTTTAGTAAAATATTAATAGCTTAGTATAAAATAAATAGATTGGCCAAGTGTGTATCCAAATATATGCATAAACAAGCAAACTACAACAGTTTACTTATTCTACATAAGAATAACATGGGAATTTTTAATTTACAATTTTCTCCGTAATCAATAACCATACAAAAACACTTCAATATACTGAATTATTTGTTTTTTAAGCTCTTCAAAATGGTTTAGAGGAAATTTGGGAAATTTTATGTTTTGAGGGTCAAAAATGAGAAAACCTATTTTTACCCCATAAAACCCCGTTCCCATGGTCCGATCATGCTGGTTCGCGAACTCGTTTGAATAAACATAGGTTTACACGTTTGTACCAAATTTCATCGAAATCGGATCATTTTTGCTCGAGTTATCGTGCTAACGGACACATGTATATATATATATATATATATAAATATATAAATATATATATATGAATTTGAACGGATGGTGTTTTTGGCTTCTAGGGACATCAAAATGAAAAAGTAAATCGGTCCCGGGGCCATGAGACCTACGGTAATAGCTTATTGCTTATATGGGAAATTCGCTAAAAGAGAAGGGAAATATATAGGTAAGGTATAGGCCAAGGTAAGGTGTTACCGTTCAGCCCAAGATTCTGTGCGTGCGGACAGGTCGCTACTAGACAAACTAAAACATACGGGTGTCAGTTATTGGCAGTGCCGGGGTAGGAGTGAGTGAGTCACGCAGAGTAGCAAGACACACATGTTTTCACTAAAGTACCTCTGCCAACCCCCTCACATAGAGCCTACCAGTTTTAGCCGTGCGGACAGAAACCTTAGCCGAACTGTACAGCGCAGCAAATCTTCAAGCTTTTCAAATAAATTTAGATCTATTTGTATGTAGATAGTCCTTGCTATAAGTAGTTTCAATTTACAAACATTTTCACCAATGCAGTTTCCAAACATTTTAGTTTTGCAAACAGTTATAATTTAGTAAAAAATGTATATTAGCTTAGTACCTTTAAATATTAATGTCATAATTAATTTAATTTATCATTTCAATAAATTTAACACAAGTTAGAAGCCTTATTCCGATTAAAGTGGTTAAGTAATTGATTTGCCAGCGGTTGTCTATAAATAACCCTTACCTACTTTACGTGTGTTTGGCATCACTCTGCTTAAATGCTTATAGACTGCATAAGTTATACCTACCACATATGTCATGGGTGTACTGAATTAACTTATATCCATTTTATATTTCTCTATTTGTAATTCTCCTGGGTTAGGCCTACGTGTATTAAATATGCTAGCTTGATCCATGCACCATTAGATAAATACCATGTCACGTCAAACAGCCTGATTGAATAAACTAACCTTACTGGTTGTTCCATCACACCACCTTCCGTTCCCACTGCAACCAAGATCACCCGACACACTATGTCCCTCCAGTTATTATCCTACCTCACCGGCTCCCGAATGCCAATTACGGTTTTCCTCAAACGTGAAAAGTGTGTTTCATTTGAGTACCCGCTTCATTCACATCTAGGTCTAGATGCGACTCAGGGCGGACCTGTACTTACTAGACTAGAAGTATTGGTATTGGTGGTTAATCTTTGTGTGACTGACCCCAAAAATGTTATTTTTAACAAAAAGGTACCTAACTAAAATCATACTTTCATAGGCCTACATAGGATGTAACAATTTATAAATTTATAAAAATTAATAATTTGCACATTAGCATTATTCAACTAACAATTGACTAGAGTGAAATTCCACTTCACAAACCTGGAGAATGAAGCAAATAAGACTAGAAGGAATCCAAAGAGATCAAACTGGGTGGCTTTATATGTAAACATCCCAAGACCTCCGGAGATCATCGCCACAATGACCACAATGTGCCAAGACTGTAACATATGATTCAGATTAGTAATTTCATAGTTCATAGTTATTTATGGAAACCACTAACACAGCGTGAAGGGTTACCAATCTTTACATCTCGAAAAACTATCTTTAAGCGTTAAGAATATGACATTTTATATTTTTGTACCCCGCATGTTCATTGATTTGCCTATTGATCACAAAAGGATAATACAAGTAAAATAGTTATTATAGGCTAGTTGAAATATATGCAAAACATATTTACCTTTTTCTCGAGACTGAATAGCAATGCAAATCCTAAAATGAAGATGATTGTTGTTGACTTTGTCATAACATATCTGGAACAAAACATAACTAAATATAATGAAATGATATTTAACTTCTTACAACCCTTTTTTAAAGTAGGCTTGTTAATTAATTTGTTTAACAAAAAGATTCACTTTACTGTAAATTAACACACCAATAGGTTTCAAGGATTGAATTAAAAAAAAGTAAAATTGTAATACTTTGAACGCCAACATATGAGCTAGTAACGACAGCTAGTAATTCAATTGCATATGCTGACTTAGTGAGTCGGTGGCTCAGTTGGTAGCGTCGCGGACTTCGGGCCCAGGGCAGCAATGTCGTGGGTTTGGATTCTGGTCACTGCCGAAAACATTTTATCAGTACAGGTCACCTTTGTACTGTACCGGCTCACTCCTTGCTTTGCTGTATACGATCCATGCTCAGGCGGTTAGTATAAACGGACGGGAAAATGCGAGGTTAAAAGAGGACTCCAACCTCTTTAAAAAAAAGGGAAAAAGACTTCTGCCAGAATCTCACACATTCATTCCTTAACATAAAACCAAGATTTCAAGATTTGCTAGCCAACATTGAATACCTAGGCCTAAGTACAATCACAAGTATTATCAATGCCATAAATGCTTACAAAAAGTAATATACAGGGCCTACCGGTATAGGCTACAAATCAAAGCAAGGAAACAGAATTTCCTAAGTTACTTACAAAGAGACGGTAATGTGTTCTATGCCCCAGTTGGAAAATCCAATGTCGAGACCACTCGCAAATCCTATAGGCGCAATTTTGAACACATGGTTTTTTATATCTACAGACACCCTCCTCCGTTCGTACACACACTGCCATATTTGTCGAAATATACTTGCACAGCAGAACTTGATAATGAGGTGACACACAACTACGGACAAGGGGAAGTGGTATTTCTGGAAAATATAATAAGATATAGTGAGTTCGTTAAAAATTATTAAGTGTCTATAGAGTTGATTAAGTTTATTTCTATTACATATGCCAGATTATTTTTGGGGTGCTGGTAGCCTCCAAGTTTTGTTTTTAGTTGGACAAGTTTTGTCATAACTCTTAAAGATAATTATGGATTTATCTGTTGCTAAAAATAAAGCATATACTCTTAAATGCTGTGGATACTAAGTTAATATGCCCTATCAGTTTTCTCATAGAAGAAGAAGTTTACAAAATAACCAACGGCAATAGCCCTAATTAGAAAATAATCTTGTCTGATAAAATAGGCTAGGATACGTTTTGTTTCAACCTAACTTACTACAAGACTAATAAACTTTGTAGAAAGTGTACAGTTATTTTACCATTTTAAGGAAATAGCTTTAGGCCCCTAATAGTGGACATACTATAGTAAATGATTTGGCTAAACGGTGAATCTAGATTTTAACGTAACCGTTGATGGTAAAATTTTGACATTTAGTGAATGAGTTAACAAAACACAGGCTTAAAAAAGTAGATAAATAAGTTATAAGGTAGCCTAAAAGAATTAGCTAAGATTAGCGATTTATTTATTAAGACAAATAGGATCTACAGTAGGATTTACGGTATGAAAACTTTCAATACAGGATTTTCGATGCACTTTTGTAGTCAACTGACCTATCAAAAATATTCATAGGAGGTTACACAATTATACAACTTTAGCTCAGTCAGATTATTGCTTATCAAAACTATCATCGTGAATTCAATTGCTTAACGATGCAGTTATGAAACAGCAACCAGCCTTCACAAAAGCACCTTCAAATACACAATTGTTAAGATAAAAATGAACTCACCTGCAACAACCATCTTTGGTAAAATGTCAATCCTATTGAAAGGATGAAGTACACAATTAACATTACAGAAGTTGTAACAACAGTGTAACACCATGTATTTTTTCCAGATAAGAACTGCATTGTATCTTTTTTCATTGAATTTTGCTGTAGAACAACTTTGGCCATGTTTTGTAAGGTATGTTTAGTGATAACCACAGAAGTAATATTTTAGATTTAAAATTGATTTTCTGTAATTAATCACTGAGCAAGCAAGAAAAGTAAACAGCCCCTACAAAACAATATGTTAATATTAACATTGTAAGTTTGATTGTCAATTTCCAGTTCTTGAGTATTACTAGTAGCCTATATGTAACTTTAACTTCAATAACCAATATAATATTAAATAATTATATTTGAAATAAATGGTACAACCATTAAAACTACCCCATTTGAAGTACCCTATAAAAATATTGCGCTGTTTTTAACGTTGTGTTTACAACTTCACAATGAGAATGGCTAACGTTGACATGTTGACAAGAAGAAGACAAAACATTTTTGTCTTCTGCTGGTTTCGGCGAGATTATTGTTCTTCTTTCTACGCCATGGCCAACACACAACAGTATTAGCAATAACTCAAAATTAATTTGGATCATATCATTGATTTGATCTCGAAACATTAGAAACCATGTTGGAAGGAAAATACAAACAGTCTAAAAACATAATCGGGAAATTTCTAATCAATAATTATACCTTACAAAAGGAAAATTCCCAAGTATTCTTTATCTACAATTCTACGTTTCAGTTTTTAGATAATACCATAGATAAACATACTCCCTTGTGTTGGTTAGTCTATGATAATACCACCATAGACGAAATGTGTACATCCAACACAAATAAATGTTTTATCTTTGACACTACTTACCACAGTCACGGCCACCTTTAACTCCAGTGTGCTCCAGGCCATGGCCTGGTAGAATTGGCAACGTCACAAGTAGGGTTGTTTAACGTCAGACGTCCCATAAGAGAACATGGCAGACAGGTGACATCAGCTCGTTAATTCGCACTTTATTGATTTTAATTTTAATTTATGAACATAAATTTATTAAAATATTGAAAATAAAACATACAGAATTGAAAACCAAAACAATAAGAATTGAAAATCTATTTAAAGTAGAGTCAATATTTTCATGGTACAGTAACCAAGCTTTGGTAAACACACAAAAAATACCATTAGCTGCTTCCTAATAAAACAGCTGTTACAACTACAACCCTACTTGGCTACTTGCAACGTTGCCACTTCGAAGGCCGCGGCCTGGAGTTAAAGGCGGCCGTGCCACAGTTCAACAAAATAAAGTTACTTAAAACGTTCCTGGTGCCAGATTTTCAAGAAATACTGTATGATGGGAATGCCGAATTTCATCTTTTAAAATTAGATACAATTAGGATGTATGTAGGCTATTTAACACATTTCTTGAACTTTCGATATTAGCTATAATCCTTGGTATTTAATTTAGAATTTTTATATAGGAGTTTTGGTTGGCAGACTTGTGTACTTAACGTGTACAACGCGACGCAGTGGTGGTGGAAGGAAGGATATATCAAAAGAGTTTCTTCTGAAAATCGCTCTTCTTCATCAAGCCGGAGACCCGTATCGTATGGTTGTTTGTACTTTGCTAGCAATTTATTCTTTCTTTTCAAGAGCAATGGCAGCCAACAAAGAGCGCACTTTTATTATGGTTAAGCCCGATGGCGTTCAAAGAGGTCTAGTCGGAAAAATCATCAAAAGGTTTGAGTCCAAAGGATTTAAACTAGTCGCTTTGAAGTTAACCTGGGTGAGTTTCATCATGTGCTTTATTAGACTACCTAGGCTTTGTAATATTTATTTTACAAAAATGTTTAATGCACTTTTGTAACTAACTAGGTATAGCCCTAACTTAGTATGTATTGTTTGTTAGTTGATTTTGGATACCGGTACATATCTTAAAACAAGACACTCATTCATCTGCTACCTGGTCTTAAACTGTACTAGGCCTAGGCTAGGCACATGGATGATTTTAATCTTCAACTCCAATTCAATTAGGCCCTAATTTAAATTATGGTAAGTAATTATTTGGACGTAGTGACTACTCGCAAAAGTGAAATTTTTTTTTCATAATGACCTAAATTTCACGCTGAATCCGAAAATTGCGTTTTTATTTTTTGGAAAATACCGGAAATTCCCGAAAAAGGGAAACAAAATTTTTAACCTAAACTAACCTAACCAAACCTAACCTAACCTAACCAAGCCTAACTTAACCGATTATTTTCGCCCTATCTCCGGTGTTTTTCATCGGATCAAAAAAATTCTTGCATATTCTTAATCTACACAATTATCCGCGTATTTTGAGTACCCACATGACGTATTTTGAGTAAGAAAATTTTTCCTGTTTTTCCCTTTTTTCGGGAATTTCCGGTAAAATAAAAACGTCATTTTCGGATTCAGCGTGAAATTTAGGTCATTACGAAAAAAAAATTTCACTTTTGCGTCCAAATAATTACCTAAATTATTACCACGGTAACACCCTTTTAAAAATGCAGAGAATACAACCGGACGTGGATTAGGCGTCCAGCAGTTATGAACACCGATGGCTGTACATGGTATCGTTGTGGTAAGTTAATGTCGTTCCGGGCCCCCACAACCCGGTGACGTCACTGCCGGACGCCTAATCCACGTACGGTTATCAGACGTGTATCCTCCGTGTTTTAAAAAAGGTTACAATAAAGCTATTACTAATCAATATGAAAGAATTTCATCCCCCACAAGTTGATCTCTTAAGGTGTCCCACAGGGATCTGTTCTTAGACCTCTCCTTTTCCTGGTCTGGACATTAAGTTTAATATCATAACACACTGTAACAGATTCTGATGTGAATTGAAGAGGATCAAATCATAATTTCAAAAACTGCTGACTTTTTGGGAGTGAGTTGGATAATAAATTGATTTGGGACACACAAATAAAAACTGTAAGGGTCATTGGCCCGAAGGGTCTTTGTTCTTCGTAGAATAAAGGAGTTGTTTCGAAAGCATCGTCTATGGGATGCTCATACTTAACACAGTGAGGAAAACTCATTTTAACCCAGCCTAATTGATGGGTCTCCATCTCTATGTTCTATAAACTAAGTATAATAATTCTTAAACATAGGCCTTCTCATCAATCATCGTATTTCTATTTATTACTATTTAATTGTAGCCTATTGGTTTTTTACGATTGTCATAAGTTTATTCCAAGTCAAATAGACAATAGCCTAGTCAACAACAAATTATGTTGCAGGCCTCTGAAGAACTGTTGAAGAAGCACTACGCAGACCTCTCCAGCAAGCCTTTCTTTCCCGGTCTTGTGAAGTACATGGCTTCTGGCCCAGTTGTTCCTATGGTAAGACAGAAATTTTATATCTTTGCATTTTCCTTGACATATCAAACATTTAGTGTTTCAACCGCTAAAATCAAGTTAAGAATATTTAAATTTGTAAAGCATATAACAAAGCATTGGCTTGTTTTAATCTATGTGTTAAATACTAGACTTGATGTGTTAAATTCTAGACTAGTTGGCAGTGGTTGTTTTGAAGACTTAAGACATGATGTATCCGAGAAATTATGCTAAATTAACCAGAGGTAGCCTACCATCTTTTAATTTATTTTGTAGTCTTTAACGTAACTTTGTAAACGTTAACGTAAACCGCTTTTATTAAATCATTCACTACCTATTAAAACCTGGTAGCACTCTTAGTTTGGTAATCTGTGATCATCAGAAATTGAATCTTTGGATTAAATCATCAATTTCAAGATTACATGCACGGTAGACTCCCTCTTATCTGGACTCTACGGGACTGAGGCCAGTCCGGATAACAGTTTTTCCTGTTAAACCGACATTCCAAAAACTCGTAAAAACGGACCGTTTAAATGTGTATTTGACTTAAATTTAGGAGAGCATTGTATTTAGACACGTGTACACTGGTCTCAAATCTTTTTCTGGTTTAGTCCGGTTAAACCGATGTGCTGATAAAAATTGTCTGTTTAAAGAGATGTCATTTCCGCTGAGCTTAGTCTGGTTAAAAGGTGTCCGAATAAGAGGACGTCTACTGTATTTAAATTGTTCACCAACCACATAGTTCTATGAATTAGATACTTAGGCTACTTGAAATTAATATGTGAACTAAATAACTTAACTACCACTGGCCACTGACTTTTGACTACCGTACCACTTTTACTTTAAATGAGATACACTTAACTACGGTACTGGGAGTAATATCTGAAATCTAGAATTTGAAGTTTGTATGGATCTGTTCAGGTCTGGGAAGGCTTGAACGTGGTGAAGACTGGAAGGTTTTTATTGGGAACCACAAATCCTCAGGACTCTAACCCCGGTACCATCAGAGGAGACTACTGCATTCAGACTGGAAGGTATGCAGAGAAACAAACTTGTAGGCCTAGGCCTAGAAAGAAAATCGATAGGCAAGGAGTCCAGCCAATTAGGGAAACCGAGAATTGTGTCAGATCTTTAAATAAATTTATATGTAAATTAATTCTAAGACCGGGAAATTTTGAACTATCACCAATAACCTACTGTTAAGCGTCCAGTTATTAACATCGTTCAGTTCGCTCTCTTTTAACGTTGTTAACGTGTTGTAAGAAAATCAAAATAGCAGAAAATGATCACAGTACTGCCTTTGTTTCAAAGGATGATCACAGTAATCTATGATTGAGCGTCCAGTAAACAACACCATTCTTCTGGCTTTAACATCGTCACATGTAAAAAATTTCAACTGCGGAAAATTATACAATATTGCCACGATAGCACGAGGTTATTACATGACTTTTTATTATCTTCCATCCTGGTGTATTTTATTTTATCTTGTGTGTTGTATCCACGCCAATGGCAATTTTAACCTATTGAAAGGGAACGATCCAAACTCTGGTTTTGTTTCTATTTAACATTGATCTTTTTGTTAGATATCATCATTAATTCATAGCCCAATGACAGATGGCATCTGGGTCTAAACCTGTTAACCAGTAGGGGACGTACAAGATGCTGTCGTTTTTTATGTTAGGTCTAGGATCTGGTCTATACATGATACGAAAAAAGACTGAATTTTACTTCACTCCAGGCTGCCGGTGGCTTAATTTAACTTATTTTATTTTATTCTTGTTGATATCACTGATTTCACTAATTATTAAGAAAAAAAGGAGTGAGGTTTATTCATTCTTAATTCTGTATAATATAGTCTTAAATAGAAACAATTGAACAAGTAAATGTAACAACAATCTGAACTATCGTAGAATAAAATATTAAAATAATATAAATTAAATCATGATATCAATTAATTTCAAATCTGCTACACTTATTTAACCATATTGGTTTAAACAAACTCACATTGGGCACCTCAAGTCATAGAATTGTTATCAGGAAATGTCAAAACATGAACTTCATATGACAACATTTACCCTAAATCGTTCATTTAAAATTTTAACTAGCCTAACAAAACATAGATGATGAAATATGTTTTGATTCTACGACTGTAGACGGCGTATTTTCTCCATTGGTCTTCTCCTAAATTTAACTTGTGTTCTGTTTCAGGAACATCATTCATGGTTCAGACGCAGTTGAGTCTGCCAACAAGGAGATTGCCTTATGGTTCGACGAGAAGGATCTCGTCTCATGGACTCCAGCCTGCCAAGCCTGGATCTACGAGGACTAAGTGCTTTACATAAGATCTGCGTCTTAAAATAACTCACTCGTAATTGTTATACACTGCATTTAATAAAACGTCATCGATTCCATTACTTCTCATGTTTTGTTAAACCTTCTACTATTTCATAACTACATGCTTTTTATCATCGTAGACTTATAGTCTGAGAGCAATTTACAAGCATTGTTTTAAAGATTCCATGACTCGTCAAATACTAATTTTATTATCTGGCTTCTCTTGATGTTGAGCTGTGCTTGTCTACTATAGCAAAACAGTTGGACTTGTGTTCCAACTCTTTGTATTGGTTTAGAGCTCAGCCATGTGAAGTATTTAAACAAAATTTATTGTCAAAGGTGTACTATCACTATTTCTGTGGAGGTTACATCTCCCAGCAGTTGCCTAACTTTCATGTTACTCTTACTATAAGAGTTTTTGAGCCAAAGTAAGAATCTGTCAATGTGACATTTCCTATACTGCAACATGCATTATTGCTGTGTGAGGACTCGTCCTTACAAAATGCAAAAACGAAATCTAGTATTAAGTGAATGGTGGTAGGAGTGGCACTCTAGGATTATAACAAAACAGCCAGTAGTGATAAAATTGTTTTTGAAAGTGTATTACTACAAAATATATAGTTTTTTGTGTCTTATAAATCTAATTTTTCCAACAACAAATATGACAATTAATGAAAATGCATCAAAGCCACATTAACACAAAGCCAGTTGGCAGGCAGGTTACTTGCCTCAGGCAACTTAAAATACATTAGAGGCAAGAAACTGGTCTCGTGTAAACGAGGCTTAGTGCCTCAGCAACTAAAGTGAAAAGACGTTACGTTAATTTGTTAAATGTGTCCTGTCAGCATGTGTTTTGTTTTAAATTTTATGTGTACGACGAATCGTAGAAGAGGACAGACCTGATTATGGTATGAGTTAGTTGCCATAAAACATTTAGTAGGTACTAGCTATGTGCCCGTTCTACGCAAAGGGTCTTATCCGTGTTCAGTTGAAACCTTCTTATAAGAACATCAGTTGGTTTTCATATTTTCAGATATGCTGGCAAAACTATTATATATAAACCTTCGCAACTACAGTATCTGACAGTTTCAAGCCAAAACAAATGCTTCGCAATTAAATGTCACCCGGATCGTGTTGGTCCATAAGTTAAATCCAATGATTAAACTAAATAATGCTTTATAGATATATTAGGCATGGCCCTAAGGTAGGCCTATATTTGAAAGTTACTTTCCACAATGGTTAAAAGTATTTAAGGTAGGTACTACCTCAACCTCGCAATTTAACACTTTATTCGGGTTGACACTTTCACTATCAAGGTGCTCTTGTCCTTTTCGTGAAATACTGAGAAATAAGGACATTAATGCGTTACCAACAGACATACACACAAAAATACAGAACTTAATTAGGGAATTTGTGACGCTTTAAGCGTAACAAAGTACATATAAAATTAGTATTTGAAGTCTTTGTTAATGTCATCAAATTTTATCATAACAATTTATATTTGCTTGGAACGAAGATGACCCGAAATGACGGCTTACTATATGAAACGAAGTACTATAGACGATTTAACTATTCACTATATATATAGTCAATGGTAGGAACAGAAAGTGACACATTAGAAAACCAAGTTTAGCATCATCCGTAAGCTTCTGTTACAACCACCCACTGCAGTCGTGATTTTTTACTTTACACTTAACAACACAACCGCCATTGAAGCGCCGACAATTATTGGAAACCTTGTTTCTAAACTATTGGCGACGATCATTAATAAATTTAAGTTTCCCAGCCATATACAAAACTGATTCCAAGGTCTTCTTTCTGGTTATCAAAACTCAAGAAGAATTTTTTACACAAAGAATCTCTGGTTCCTGACCTGGATGATGCCTAGTTATTTAATTTCATTTACGGTTACACTATATTATTGCACTTGCGATTAATTAAATCTGTTATGTAAAAAAAAAAAACGTTTTTATCTCACTTGGTTGGGATTTACCTTCTAAACGTGATCGAAAAAGTTGCAGTATTAGTAAACAACATTTGTAAACATATCAGTAACAGCTAGAAAAATCTTGATCCGAACAGCTGTTCGTTATTTCATAGATGATATGTGATAAAAATTGGACAACACTTGACAAAAATCGCACAAAACTGCATTTTTGAACGTCCGTAATTTTATTTACAAAGTAGTGATGCCATATTTCAATGGCTAAAGACACTCTCGCCAATCCAGTGAATACATCAAAATGACTTGGATCTAGATAGGTACTCTCGTTTTCCTGGAGAAGATAGTCCAAAATGCCATCTTGAGTGTTACAGACAGACAGAAATATAGATAAGACTCGTTTCTGCTTCTTTAATGTATAAAACGTAAAAATAACCTAAAAATATGTAATTCTGAGCAAATGTACAGACAAAACTCTAATTTTATTTATAAAGATAACTAGTCAAACAAGGCTATTGTAATGTAACAATACTTTTACTAAAATCAATTTGCGGGAAAATCTACGCTTCTATCAAATCAAACATGTTCTGTGATTAGATTTGATCTTAAGGGATCTCATAAAGCTTTAGATGAAAGCTTTGCTTTATATTCTTTTGTTTGTGAAATTATGTAATTTCCATGAAGCCAATTATTTTTGCTACATTGATAAAATAACCTAGAAGTATCAAGTTTGTAAATGTTTGCATGAACATGAAATCTGCAAGTTTGAATTTCATCTTTTATTTGCAGGGTTGGTTTCATACAAAAATATGCCAAAGTAATCAAATTGGCTGAGCAATTATTAGCAATTAAATAATGCAAAGGTTTTTCTAAAAAAATAACACTATTTTTTATTCAATAATATTTATTATTTATTAAGGTTAAATAAATCTGAAAGAAACAATATCACAGAAACATAAGACAAACATAAGTAAAACAATTTTAGTAACAACAATAAAACTTAACAAAATAAGTAAAGCTAGTAATTTAAAATAAATAGAAACAAACTTTCTTAACAATCGTAACAATTTAATTAGACATAAAGCAATAAAATTAATAACCAAGCATAAGACTAAAATCATGATTTGTCACTGCTTCCACAATACACACATACTTACGTTGTACAATTTTAGAGTTAATATAATCACTAGTTCAACTTTTGCTTCCAAGTGGAAGTAAAGCTAAGTAATAAAATATAAAGATTTAGACATTGATAAGACTAGATTTGTACATTACCCTAAGCACAATAAATCGTTATGTTAGATAACGCAAGTCATACAATATGCATTTTATTACTAGAATAATTAAAATACAGTAGAACCCCAGGTAACAAAAAAAAAAAAACGGGGGGAGCCGTTTCAGATAACCAATTTTTCGGTTAACCCCCGTCATATGCAAAAAAACAGCCTATGTATTATCACGGTGTGAAGGAAAAATGAATCTCAAATAATGACTATATAATTCAGTGTTTTATTTCAACTACAAAAATGTAACTATGGGTTAGAAAAGCCCTTTCTCGAGAGAGAGGCTCGGCGCTACACCTCGCTGTTTACATATTGCATATGGTACTTATATTTTAGCCCTGTATTGATTTATGGAAACATTTCAGTTAACGGGGGGTTCTACTGTGATTTTATAAAAAAAAATCTAAATACAAAATTAGTATTCGTATCTGAAATAAACATATATATACAAATTTACTAAAAAGCACCTTTACAATGTTGAAAATACATTATTGTACAAAATATCATCAGGTCATCATGCTAAAAGTGAGCTCTGAGAATAAATATTGTTATGATTGAAAAGGCAAAAAATGCAGAAAGTGGATTGGATAGATAGGAAAGTGGAATTAAGGTTTACGAAAAAGATTAAGATTTAAAAAAAAATCAAATCAAAACTGTTTAAATTTTTTAAAAGGGAAAATATGTAAACTAGCTTACTTGGGGATAACCAATTTATCTGAGAAAACCTGTGTGCCACCCAAATCAAAATTATGTGAGTGATTTTAATTTGTTGAACTTTGTTTCCCCAGTTAAAGCTGTAGTCCTTTTCGAAAATAATATTTAAAATACAGTCTAACCTTGATATAACGAACCTCGATATAACGAATTCCTTGATATAACGAATTTTTGTTTAATCCCCTAGAACTCTCCATAAGACACAATGTATATTTTACCTCTACATAACGAACAAACCATAACAACGACCTTGATTTAACGAATTTTTCGTGATTTCGGCTAAAATAAGACACCTCAATATAACGAATTTGTCATTGTCAGAACCTCTACATTGCGAATTTAACCTCTGCATAACGAATTGTCTACGTCTTTCCCTCGATATAACATATCCCCCACCCAATTATTGTTTTGGGAAAATCTGTTTCTTTATCAAATTAAATGGAAAGGTCACGTCATCGCTTGCGCTAACATTCGTCTGCTCCGTTTTACATCTTTGTCTGCTGTCACTGCGCGCGCTATGTTGCAACTGAGAACTGAGTTCATTCTCTGAGGACTGATGACGTAATGTTTAGTAAGCTGTGATAGGGCGATATGGGATAACTATGGCGAACACAAACCAAAGAGAAAGAATAGTAACATCGTTATTTTAACATTCCTTTTACGAGTGTTTTTATTATCCTTAAGTTGGCTATGATTATACACTTTTATAATGACTTATAATTTATTGTTTTCAATACGATTTGTTTCAACTAGCAACACCAATGCTATAGTTAATGATTATTATTGACATTCCTCTGTTGTGATAAATCAGTACTGTACAGTAAGTAGCCTACCGGCCTATCACGAGCAGTAGCTTACAAAACTTTCTACTGTTTTGTTTTGTTCTTTACATGGTTTATGACTACCTAATACAGTGTTTGGCTAGGTTTTAGGAGGATTAGAACAAGCTGTGATTTTAAACTTACAGCTTTTAACCTATACCATTTATACCAAGGTCAATGCCATTGTCATGATTGCGCAATATTCAAGATCTCTCCCCTTTATTATGCCGAATAATTTAGGTTCTACTGTACAATGTAAACACTGTACTGTAAAGTATTGTAGCCTATGCTACTTTAATTGTATTTTAATGTGGTCAAATCCCGACCTATATTGACCGACGCTGGTTCTGAACCTCGACTTAGCGAAATTCCTGCAAACCTAACCTCTATATAACGAACCCCGTTTTAACGAAATCCTTGATATAACGAATATTCAGTTCGGTCCCTTCAGATTCGTTATACTGAGGTTGGACTGTAAAAACAGCAAGGTTTGTACCATACCTACATTTTTATGCATTTGTGCCAAAATTTGATAAACAAATTTAAATGCAGTAGCCTATTTTGATTGGCTTTTATACTTGTCTATAGTATGCTATTAAACATAGAAAATTTGAGATTATGACCAGTAAGTAAGCAGGACAATGCTTTGTTCACATCACTAAAGATATTATTATTCTGGGTAAGTTAGAAATGCTACCCAATTTAAACTAGAACATTTGCTTGGGTTACCGTTACCAAGCATAGGCTGATATTTAATTAATTAATAATTATAAATAATAAACACTTCCAACAGTTTAATCAAGCACAAAGATTCACTAAACATTTTCAATCAAAATCATGACTCCAATAAAATAAGCGAGTTGAAATCTTGACTTTTTCTTTAATGTTCAAGCTTTTTTACCATAAAATTTAAAGTTTTGGGATCTTTTACAATCATTATGGTTTGGTCAGGTAAAAAGAGTAGGCCTTAATTAAAAAAAATAATTAACTCTTTTTTTAACTCATAAGGTAATCTTTAAAAAACTATTTAAATCAATGCTGTTAATATTTCACATGTGACTTTTTGAAGAATATTCTAGTGGTAAAACCCGCAAAGTACAATATTTCACTTAGTTATAGCAAATGTTTAAAAACTACAGAAGATGATTTGAAATATTTTGTAACAGTTTTTACATGAATTATTTCATGTTATTCCTGAGATCAAATCACAAATAGAAACCGGGAATTATTTAAATTAAACCTTTTGTAAGAATACATAAAACTACGCTAAAACTTACCAAACAGTGCTACCACCTGCTTTATTATGTAGCATCTCAAATCAAGGTTTACCATCGTTTGACAAAACTGACCTAAAATAAAACCAGTGAACGATCTCCAACCGAAACCACTAAACCATATCACAAATCAATCACATCTAAACGGACTTAGGTGTCGCAGAACTGATCACTTTAAATCAAAAGCTTTCCAGATTAATAGAGGCGTTGTTATCAGGTTGACTCGCCAGGCTCTTCTGATAAGCAGGCAAAGCGGGGTTTACACTTCCGTCGGATCGGGGGGAGCCGAAGATTTTTTTCATTTCTGAAAAATCGCTGATGATCTTGGAGTCGTCTGAGCCCTCTGACCACACGGGGTGGTGGTTGTGCAGTGCGTGAGTCACAGTGACGGCCCATCCGATGCTGATACAGCGGCCACGGCAGCCTGTCCTGTTGTACTCGGCACACTTCCAGAATATCTTATTGTCCTTTTGTCGGTTACAGTGGTAAACGTAGTTGTTCTGCACCAACTGCAGCCTGCCGCGAGAAGTCACTCGAAAAGTTGCTGAAACATATACCAACAGAATTGAGTCTTTTCACCATGTTTAAACAATTACCCTTGTTGTGTGACAGGATCAAACTCAAAATCAGTAAAATAAACAATCAACAGCTGAGCGTAAAAAGTACCTCTAAACCTGAACATGAATAACTAATCTGAATGCTAACAAATTACATCATTTCATTTTCAATACTGGGTTTTTAAATATTAAAATTACTTCAGTCAGTCATAAAGAATTTTATAGATAATAAATGAAAATAAAAATATATTTTTGAATTAGCGTACAGAAATGCTGTTGATAAGCAGCAATCAATGTTGAATGGATAACCACCCTTTGTATAACTTAATATTTTGACAAGAATGGTATTGTGCTATTCTCTCATTCATAAATAGTAAGTCTAATATTTTGTAAAATCAAATTGTAATATCTTGGGAAAGTGATCAACTATTCCTAATCAGTTACAAAGCTTTTATTCACTTTACACTCATCTTTTAAAATATTTGCCTATAATGTTGGCATAATAGTTCAGTAATTCAGTAAGTTAGTTTATCGAGACTTGGTTGAGAATTAGTTAAGTGAGGCTCTGACTTGGTCTCTAAGAGTATATTCTTTATTAAACTAATGCATGTTATAATGAAACATCGGAACAATGAACTACTTGTTTTCCAGTGAAAAATTAATTCATATTATTACTACACAATCGTCAATATTAGTTTATTACCTTGAGCAGCATCCATTGGGTCTTGAGAAAAATTTGCAATTAGCCTTTGACCTGAAAAAAGTGAACAGGAATTTTTAAAACATTTTTATTTTCACTAAATTTTACAACAGGTATAAAATTGTGCTGGAGCAAAAAGAGGACTGAAAAATATATAATGAATGTTAATATTTGTTAAAAATAAGTTTACACTTGTTTTTATTGTTAGATAAAATCTTCATTGACAGCCTAAACTAGAAGATTCAGAAAATTTAAATTTTGTGTCGGAGCATAAAAGAATCTTGAGCTAAACATGAAAATTTTATAAATAATAAGAAATGTAACTAATATAATGAAGGAATATTTTAATACATTGAAACATTTTTGAAGTATAAAATTTAACCTTGTACAACCAAGTGCAATTGTGATGAGTTAAAATTTGATTTGCACCAATACAGAAGATACCCTCTGGGTAGGATCGGTTTAGTTCATGCTTTTACTCTGCTGAAAGTACTGGAGGTACTTGATAGGAGATGTGTAATGAATTTGATTACTCTTTCGTAATTTAATTGATCAGCTTACTTTAAAAATAAGTGTGTTTTTTTTTTGTTATTGTTTTGATTCGTAACCAAATACAATGTGTGTTCAATGCTCTTGAATTTTAATATTTAATTAGTGATGTTTAATCACTTAAATGGCAATCTTACCTGGCTTATTGGTGACAGGTTTTGAAGAGTCAACGTCAAAAAGCCTTGCCAGCCTGTCATTGCAGTTTTCTGGGAACTCGCTCTCGACAAAATCTATTGGTTCCAACGGCGGCAAAGCTGGGAGAGAATATTGTGCGTTAGCTTCAACTCTGTGAGTGTTGTTCATGTTATTCTGTTCAGCGTCTGGACGTTTTCGTTTTACTGGCAAGGAAGGCGTTGGGCTTTGATTTTGTTTTTTCTTTTCTTCAGTTTGCACTGGAGATGGCGCTGGTTTTGTTTCCTTTGATTCTTCTTTTTGAGGATTTGTCTGTGTAAAAAAATGAATAAAAATTATTTATTTATATTAATTAATTGTAAGAAGAGTAAAGAATGTTTAACAAACTGTTAAAAGGAGGGCTAAAAGAAAATTTAGTCTGTATCTGTGCACTCAAATATAACCAGAGATGAAAAACACATCAACAGGCTGCATATTTTACAATAGGATAAAAAGTCTACTTGACATAGCCAACCTGACTGTCGTTGCTGGTAAGTCCCTTAATCTGCAGAAGCTCTGCAGTTTTCAGGAAATCCGCAAGTTCCTCCTGATAAACGTTAACTTCTCCTTTGTACATGAACTGCAGAAGTCCGCTGAGTTCTTTGTACCCGACATCTTTTAAAATGACAATTGGATGTTTACATGGATTGACCTGCAAAATTAACTGGTATGTAGATATCAAAAGCAAAACCATCATCAATTTAAAATGATTTCATAATAAATTTAAAAAAATCATTGTGGAGTAGGCTTTTAGGTTGTTTAAATAGCGAAAACTTATTTAGTTACCTAGGTCCTAAGTAAGTTTTGCTCCATTTAGTATAAAAAAATAAGGAAGATTCAGCAATTTAGCACATTCCATGAGTGGCTCTGTCAACGATTTTTTTTTTTATAAAGAAAAACTCAACTGTTAGGTAAAACAATTTACATTGTACTTATGCTGTTGAAGTCACTGGATAAAAACACTTCTAAATTTAAACTTGAAACATATCATTTTTCAAACAACTACCTACCTAATGTTTAAATAGATCACATCACAAATGAGTACCAGAGTAGGCCTACTTAAGTACGGTAGTCTAATAATAAACTAAACTTGACGACTTACTTTGAACAAATGTTTAAAATATGGACTGCAGACTGAAAGAACTATTTTGTGAGCCTGGATAAATTTTCCGTCTGCAGCAAGAGTAACGTCAACAAAGTCCTCCTCCTCCCACAAAGAGTGGAAGCCTGAAGTTAAATTACTGAAGAAATTGTTCCAGCGAAGAGAAAACTGTTCTGAGCTATCTTCATACATGCCTCTAAGTTACCTATTGGAACAAAAGAAATAGGTTAAAAGACAATTTTAAGAAACCTTAATTGTAATAACAATAACATATTGATTCTACAGGTATTCCTCCCTAAATCGGGACTCTGGATAACGTGAACTAGGCTATTCAGATGAGTTGCTTAAAGTTTAGTGGATACATCCATCACGCATACAGTACACATAGGCTAGAAATAAACAAATCTGCAGTTTGATTAGAGAAATGTGCAAATATTTTTAATTGTTCACAAACCCTGTTGTCTTTCATTGACTGGCTAAAGAACCAGTCTCGTCTTATTCAGTAGGCCTAACAATGCTGGAAGTCATCTCATCCAATGAACAATCATAGCTCATTCATATTGGCATTTAAATACACGCTCTGATGTGTCGGTGTTGTAAATCTATCTCCAAGAAATCTCTATTGTTACCCTTACCCTATTTTGTCTACAAACATGTACCGGTATCATAAGATACCGCAGTCTAATGGTGTAGGCCTATATTCGTTGATATGAATAAATCAGGGGCGTCATTTATGGGGGGCTAGTTCCTGGGTTAGCTAATACTCAACACCTTAACCTGTGAATTGTTACCATTATTTGCTTATTTATATATTATAATGTCTTCATTTGTATCTACGCTCGTTTCCTTATGCTTTTAACAGTTATCTGCATTTGCATGCATGTTGTTTTTGGTTATGGCATTTTATTGCATGTTACATTCTCTGCGGAGCTGTACCCTGTGTGGAACGTGGCTCAATTCCATAAAAGAAATAGGTCTGAATAAGTCAGTTAGGCCTAACTTACCGGTACGTTTTTACAGTGATTTTAAAAGTATATTTTAGTGTAGTAACCTATGATGCAATCCATCCAATTTTGTTGGTCAAAAATGAAGAAATCAAGTATTCAAGTAAGCTAGCCTGGGCCTTCCTAATTTATAGGCCTAGACCTTTAGCCCAGGCACATATTGAGCTGTGCGGCACGTTCCGGGCAGTGCAGCACAGCACAGGGCAGAATTGGGCAAAAAGTCTGTGTTGCACAGTTGACATCGCATATTGGGAAGCAGTGTTGTACAGTTCTCGTATAGTAGTGATACAGTTTCTTGTGTGAACATGTTGTTAAATATTAGGATTTGAGTTCTGAGTTGATTCAGGTGCTGATCTAGATTTATTGTTACCTACTTCTTCACCAGAGAACAAGAAAGAAAGGGCGAAAGAATTTATAGTGTTTAGTGATTTTTGAATTTTCTCCCAGATTTCATTCTTGTAATTACTTTTTATATAGGGGCCTACTTACTATGACTGGTAACGTAACTTAAAAACTGGATAAAAACGCACAATTTCTACTAATTTTAATTATCCTCTAGATTTGTCACAAAACACTAGTCAACACGGCGCAGGTGAGCAATGCGGCACAGACACTTGTGACTCGACCACAAGTGCGCGCAGTCCACGTGCGGGACTGCACTGCCCTGCCCTGCACTGTGCCATAATATGCGCGTTTCCTAGCGAACACGTGGTTTACAAAACACTGCCCTGCGCTGCGCTGCTCCGACTGCGTCTCAATTTGGGCCGGGCCTTACTTTCACTGAGATACGTGATTTGGGTAGCCTAGTAAATGACAATTTACGGTTAGGCCATAAACTTAAAATCTGGACCAACTAATAACTGACAAATAACAATATGTTTTAGCTTTAAAAGGTTTAGAATGAGACCTTTTTATTCTGACTAATTTCGTTTACCCTAGAAAGCATATCTGTTTTAAGTTAAACCTAAATCGACATAATTTTCTACATTATGGTGAGATCAGTCACATGTCACAGGAAGTTAGCACCTTAACTAAGATAAAACTTAAAGGTTTAGCCTGAACATAGGGAAGCCTTCAAGGTAGGCTAAGTACCAGTCACTTATGAAATGGGTGATAACTTAAGCTAACAAAAATGTATTGGGCCTAGGGTATAAGGTTTTTATTTTTTATTTTAATAAGTTATTGAAATGCTGAGATGTCTGTGTTTATCAATTTGGGACCCTTAACAGTTCATTTAAACTATTTTAACATTATGAATTAACTGGAACGCCCATTGTACTTGACAAGCCAACATACAAATATGGATAAAAATTAATACTTTTGTGATTAACTTAAATAATTACGGTATCGGTATTATCACGAGTTATAATTTCATATAATTATTAGGTGTAAATGTTTTTTACTTACGCTTCTAATGATAAGGATAATGTAAAACGACACAAATTTCTCCAATCAATATTAAAAACAATAATATTTTTCACTATAAAATATGTTTTTATTCCACTAAAGAATTCGATTTTTGTATTTTTCATAATTCCAACTTTTATTGCCAACCGCTCTTCCATGAAAAATGTGTTTTTATTTTTAACTTTTAATAACATCACTATATAAAATATTAGCGATTTATTTACTATTTACTGTAAGTAGTCACCTCGCAATTTTTAACTAACTAAATTCAGTAACGCTGACATAGCTGTCTGTAAATTTTGCAAGCAAAATTTTCATCCTAAAATACGTAATAAAATACAATTTGAAGCCCAAGTGAGTTTTGTGTTGGTTGCTTTTGGGGGCACTGATGCAAGGCCCCACTAGGACTGATGTCGACAAAAAGTTGATGAATCCTATATTACAGTGCTTAATTCCTTGGTTTTAGTACCATTACCTGAGAAGAGGTTTTAGTTTAATAATAAATCATATATTAGGCTAGGTACATAATATATAAAAGAAATAAAAAATAATCAATCATTTAACACAAACAATAAATAATGCTATTTAAATATAATAAAATTCCGGTACTTCAGTGCCATCTGCAAATTCTCTAAGGGCCTAATCTCAAATCCACTTTTATATTCTCAGACACATGCTGCTGCCCCTTCATGTGGCACAGATTGTTTTTACCCTTACCCCCTTACCCAGGCTAAGCACATTATTTGGCTCAATTCAATTTTATAGTTGGTGAAATAGCTTAATAACAACTTACTTACTTGAATACTTACTTGAACAACAATGCCTTAACTTGGATTATACTCAAAAGTATTTGTATAATTAATTTATCTATACTCGTACGACAAATATATTAGGGTTAAATAAAGTTTTGGGGTACATTGATTTGTTGTAGTATGCAAGTTAAAATAGTTTTATTTTTGTATAGATTGGTCAACATGAAGTCAGCTGGTACTTGTTTCGCTTTTACTCATGTCACCCCTTCTTACCCCACCCCACCATTTCTACTTTACTTACGCACTTACGTGCTGCTAAAGCTAAAGCCAAAGCAAAAGCCACTTAGTTATCTCGCTTAGCTTGAGGCGTTTTGTCTGGTGTTCGAAACAGTTGTCTTAATTTTGTGCGATATTTCAGTTCATAACTCACATTTTCCGAATAAGATGTAGTGAATTGACAAACTGTAAGTATTATTTACCAATAACTCATATTCTGACAGCTTTTGCTCTTCAGTGGTTGAGAATTGCCTTGTGGTGTGGCAGCACGGAGCTAATAAGCTTATGATCCACATTCACTGTTTACATACTTGGCTGGCATAATAACCCTCTTAATTATTTTCGTTTTATCATAAAACTGTCATACAGGAAACATTACTTTTGAAAATAAATGATGAATTAATATGCTAATAAATTGGCCAATATCATATTGATAAACTAGCTCAACTTGAGGGCTAGCTTTATTTTGAGTTTTGACAGATCTCTACAACTTGAGGTTTCAAGAGGTCTGAAATAGGCATATTAATAATTTATATAAATAGATATATAATAATATATAACTTAAATAGGAATCTAATAGATTTCTACCTTTAAATGAAACATTTGTATTATTATTTCGATAAAGAATAGGCCTATCCTAGTTTTTTTTTAAATATTTATATATTAACTTAGATAAACTTATACCCCTTAACTTTCACAGGCTACCTAACTTAATTTCATTACTTGTTCGTGTAGGGTAAATGGGTACAGTTTCTTAACTGGGCTACCTAGACTATTATCGAATGAAAATAACTTATATCAATTAACAATCAATATTTCCACCATTAAACCTTCTTTTCAAAGATTATTTAATCTTTGTAGGCCCAACTTACAAAGAAACTACAAACAACAACAGGAAACCATAAACCATAAACAGGAAAACATAAGAAGTACCTAAGTTATAGCCTAGACATAGCCTAGGCCTATTTGATTTTCCAAGTAGGCCTATTTCTTTATTTTTATAATACTTAGGCTAAGTAACTAAGTAGGCTGCTAAGTTAAGTTAGCATATTAATCTTTATGCTCCTCGGATCTCCGGTGTACGATTAAGCTTACCTACTAATCAAGATAAACACATCATCAAGTTTAAAAGTTAATGTAAAAAATTTGTCCGTTTTTATTAAACTAGGCTAACTAAAAATTTGGTGAGTCGGTGGCTCAGTCGGTAGCACCATGGACTTCGAGCCCAAGGCAGCGTTGTCGTGGGTTCAGATCCTGGTCACTGCCGCAAACATTTTATCAGTGCAGTTCACCTTTGTACTGTACCGGCTCACCCCTTGCTTTGCACGGGCAGTTAGTCTATGTGGATGGGCAAATTCTAGGTTAAAAGAGGCCGCCAACCTTGTTGAAAAATGTTGAAAAACAAAGTATGTTTGACATCATGAAATGTGGAACTGCCCCTAAACTGTTTAGGAACTAATATAGGTAGTGGATTTAAACAGTACCTAGTGCAAAATAAGTCAATTTCTGCGTCCTAGGTTTCAGCACAAAGTGTTGTGCTATCATCAGGCGTCACCAGTTCGTATCATTCAGTCGTTTGATTAAATCTGAACATCGATGAACTGATAATCCGTAATACTCCAAGATAATAGCCTACTCCAACAAAATTATTTCACACTAAACGGAAAACCACATGTACAAAGTGAGGGGTTGGCTATGCCAACAAGCAAAGTGAGTGGGATCACCGTTGTCTAGCATCTCAGCTGAAATCTACCTCAACCACATTGATAACACAGATCTTTTCCCACAAAAACAACCACCTAAGTAAAATAGTTTTCTGAACTAAAAAAAACCTCTGTAAAAAACCTTGTAACTTTTCGATGCAATTGAACATCATAACCCAATTTATTTGTTTAGTTTGAACAGCCTGTTAAAATTTCTTAAATTCTTTTTAAATATTAATACCCAAGGTAAACATTGGCAACTCCAGACAGAGAGCCACTGGGGCCGTGCTCCAAAGGATTTTTAAGTTAAGAATATGCCCATATGTTCATGGGCAATATGAGCAATCATCTTGCCAAATTTCTGCCCTACTAGTTTCATGTGTGAGTGACGCTCTTTCATTATGCTAATGAAAGATTAAAATCATCAAGAGGCATAGTCAATGAAACTTTCCGAATGAAAGTTAAAAGGACATTATGAAAGTAGCAATTTTAGTAAGGGTGAAGTCAAGGTCAGCCAATTTTAGTTCCTAAAGTTAGTCTTTCATTTAGGCCTATAAAATCAGCTTTAACTATCAACAAAGCGTCACTTTCTTAGTAAAATAATAAAGTTATAGCCTGGCTTAAACGGCCTGTTTCATTGAACTTGCTCTGTCTTTGAGAGCCGTCAAGTCTGAATAAAATCAGACTACCACCGGCCCTCACTGAAAGACCGAGAATTCAGTGATAATTAGCACTTTCTCTTAAAAATGTATTTATCACTGATAAATTTTGTTTTCAGAAAACAATGGTTGTAAGTCGCAGTGATTCTAAAAGACGCAAAAAAGAAGAAGCAGAACCGTTGCAAGAGAGCCCTAAAAGGTTAGTCTTTTGTCAAGAAAGAAGTTTTTAGTTTTAATAAGTTCTAATTTATTTAAAATATTTACTTCTTCCACAACAACTCCCCTTTCAGTGGATGCAAACTAAAATGTATACTTATTGATGAAAAAACAATAAATTTTTGTTTTAAACTCACCACAACATTCTAAAAATTTATGTTTATAGGATAATTTTGTGTTTGTAAGTAACAAGTGTAGCCTATTTGTATTAGGCCTATAACTTTTGTTCTATTATTTTATAGCAACAGGTTTTTACTGTGTAGATTAAGCATGTGTTTATTGAACAATGGGAAATGCTGACTAGTTTCTTATCTCCGTTCACTTTCTTATCTGCACTTCTAAGCACATTCCAGGATTGTTCTATGGAAAGCAAAAACTGTTAGGTAATTTAACTGGACCCACAGTTATCAATTGCACACTTAACTTTAATTCGTGTAGCTTAATGCTTGTTGATGAATAAATATCTTTTAAACACTGATGAAATTAATCTCAAAACACTTGTTCAAGCTTGACTTTATCCAATGTAGCCTAAGTTAAATCTGTTATAAAAATCTTTGAAGAAACAAAAAGCGTGAATTATTTAATGGATTTCTGTTATTGAGGCACAGACAAAATTTGACTAAATAACTGGTTCCAAGTACAAATCATAATTATTCACGCCTTTTAAGTCTCTACGCCATATAACTTAAAATCACATTTTAAGATTTAACTTACTTTTCTCTATGTTTTTTCTTTGTGTTTCTCTAAATCTAATGTTTACTGATTCACCACTATTATGAGCTAATATCTCAAAATAATAAACAAAATAATAAATTTAGAAACTTAGAAAAACCACACTAAACTTGTCTGCAATTGAAGATAACATTTTGAGCATTCAGTCCAAAGTTTAAAACTTTGTCAGCATTTCTTCATTCTCAACCAATGTTTATGCTTACTTTATACTTAGGCCTACACAGTAAACAAAATTGTAGTACATAATAAAACAGAAACTATAATTCTTCTCACTTCAATACTTATTTTTGTTTTATTTTCAACTCTTTAATTGTGTATTAAAATTGTTTGAGACTTGTTTTGTAGAGTTCTCACAAAGAAAATTAAAACCGAAAGGTTTTTACCTACTCATCATTCAATTCCAAAAATTATTCCGTTCAAAATCTTCTAGATTAAAATTTTAGAAATAAGAGCAATAAAGTAGTTAAAATATATTAAATGTGTGCCACAACTGCTGTGCCCAAGTGTTTTTAAACGAGTGGAGGATAGCTAATAGATGTACTGCTATAATTCTCAGTGAGCTATGGCTTGCAGTTGCTAGGTGGCTAGGTGACTAACTATAGAGTAATTTGTTGAGTAAGCATTGGCATGCGTATCCCCTCCGTATAACCAGTGGTCTGATAAAACTGTCCAACAATTCCTATAAACATTAGGCTACAGTTCCTTACAAAATGTAGGCGATTTTATCAAATGTAGGCTTATTGTTATTGTATATATATTGTAACGTTACAAAATGTAGGTGATTTTTTCAAAAGGAAAACCATTGAAAATTTTATTGAATTATATAAAAACATACTTTTATGTAAAAGTCTTATTTTGTAGTAATTTATTTACCTTAAATATGTTTAAGATTAATTTAAATTTGTATACTGAACCATCTTCTAGTAAAATAAAAATGTCTAAAATAATCTTCTGGCTCATAGAATAGGCCTACTATTTATTATAGGCAGGCATGTTTCTTGAAAACCTTTTTTTCTCAGCTCATGTGCATCACAGGGAAAATCTAATCAATGCATTCTGCCAAAAGGTATTTTCCTGTAGATGTGCAGAATCTTTTTATAATTTGAAATTGATTAAAAAACAAACACAAAAAATAATATAGGCTTTACAGGTTGCCATGCTGGTGACAAAATATATTTTTCTTTTTCTTGCTATGAATAGTGCTCTATAATTTGACCAGATAAACAGTCATTGAAATATAAATGTTACATGTCATATGATGATATCACTATTGACTCGGTTGGGCTACTTCTCTTAGATCTATCCTTCAAACCAATACAATCTTTTATCATTTTAAAACTTAGGTTTTATAACTACTGTACCGGTACGTATGTTCAAACCTTTAAAACTAAGTTTGACCAAAATTGTATATTAAACTGTGATTTTTAGTTAGGTACTATTTATAATTTTATACCTCATAATGGCGCTTTCACTGTTGTTTACAATAATTTCCGTTATATTTTTACAGGACCAAGGTACATGCCCAGAGGAAGTTTGCGCAGGGTTCACATTTGAACAGTCCTGTCCTCACTCCTGTGAAAGACAAGGATAAGAACAAGTACAATGGTGCAGCTCCTTCGGCCGAGCTGCTGCCGATCAAACGGCCCAAAACTGAATCATTTGTCAACTTCCTGTGCTTCAGAGGTATGTTTTATGCTGGACATAGTGAATAGTTATCGATTGCCTTCTGTTTACCCTCTGTTTACTCTCACACATACGTTGATATCACAGATTATATTTTTTATAACCTTCAACAATTCTGATACAGGTAGTGACATGTTACCGAAGTCACTGGAGTTCTTCAACGAACCATCAATACCCGAGCCGTTGGGAGGGGAAGATGACAAGCGAGATGGGGCTTCGACATCTGGACATTCCCGGTCCGGTCACAGGTCCAGTGGCGACCATGTGAGTAACATACTCTGAGCCTGTGAAAATGTTTGTTTATTCATAAGGACTTCCTTGATATGCATATTTGTCTGTAATATGTATTATGTTAAATTTTGCCTTGTGACACTGTGAGGTGATAACTAATTTCTCAAAAACCAGTAAATCCTTTTAAAGACCCCATTTTTAACAGATGTGGCAGAAAATATTCTATTTTATATTGATAACTCATGGGAGTATTTTATGTGCAAACTTCACAAACTCATAAGCTTTACATTTTAGGTTTTAGTTCATTTTGTAGCTAAGACATCTAAAAATAATTAGGATAAAGAGAAAACAAACATTCCTTTTTAAAAATCATTAATATAATATTACTTCTTGATTCTATTCAGCTTGGAAGTGTGGCTAAAGCAGAAGCAAAAAATAGAAGCAAATCTAAATCAACTGCTGTTCAAGCCCTGAAGAAGAAGTACCAAGAGCAGAGGATGAATAAGGAGAAGAAGACTTTGACCAAACTGGCCTTGAAAGGTATGGAAGTTAACAACAGTCTAGAACATAATAGAATGTCATTTAGCAATATGTGACATTTGTATGCCGAGGCACATAGTTTATGCAGACACTAAACAATACCATTAATTAATGACATTCTATTATGTTCTAGACTGTTGTTAAATATGCAATAAAGTTTTTTAAGCCGAATGTGTGAAACAACTTAAAATTCATGATTTGTAAACTCAGCGTGGATGGCATGAGGGGGGGGGGGGGGCAATGGACCTAGGCAGATATTAAGAAAGTTACAACAGTTTTCGTTGTCTAGTGAAAAATGAAGTGACTACAACATTCTCTGTGTGTATCATCTTGTAAATATACATTAGAACCTTGTTTTTGGACACTTCATTTTCAACAATTTTCTCCGCAAGTCCCTAAATCCCTCTTCTGGAACCCTCGATGTCCTCTCGTACAATCTTAAACTTTTACCACCCTTGAAACTTAGTTACATTTTTACATGCAAGAACATCCTTTGTTGTACATGCAGTTGATACAATATGTGGCCACAGCTAATGGGGTAAAAAACACATCAAGAAATAATCTATATACATGAAAGGAAAGTGTGTGTTGGTATGTCCCACATTTTTCCCATGACCACCAACTGTCACCCACTCATGGTTGTAGTACAAGATTTCCACCTAAATGGTTCCCGAAAGTGTAAAATTTAGATTCATCTATGTTATTTTGCACATGTTTCAAGCTATGACTGCTTATCTTCCAGCAACAAATTCAATTATATTTTGTAGATCAAGGAGCTGAGAAAGATCCTTTATTTTTTGCTAAACTATTATACTACTACTAAAGGAAATTATTATACTCATTGTTGTGGCTTGCCCCTTTATTATTATGTCAAATAATGTAGTGGTCTATTTACCCTTATTTTCTTCCCAGTTCAAAATACAGTAGTTGTAACTACACAACCAAGGTTTCATTGATTGCTTCATCATAATGTTCATGGAATAGCATTGTTAAGAAAATCAAATTTTGCAATGAAAGTCGGTCGCTTGGACAGTGTTCTAGTCACACAACACAAACATTTGTTTACCAACAAAATACAAGTACTGTTCTTGCGGACGGAAATAGGCCTGTGACTGTGTGCATTTATTTAGTAGTGCTGTCGCAGCTGGCTGGAGAACGTTGAGGGTGAAGGCATCAGTAAAGTGACCTTTGTGCCTTTGGCATGGGCTTGTACTGTGGGGGGGGGGGAGTCAAAAATATACTTGTTTGTCAAACTTATAATAATTAATACCTTTTGGCACATTACGGTTTCTTTATTACCCAATATTACTGATTGAATTTGTTCTAAACATATATTAAATATCTTTTTAATATTGTGTTGCAGTTAAAGGAAAGAACATGATCCGGACGAGGTCTGCGGGGCCCCTGGATGAGAAACCGTCTGCTCCTGCTCTGCAGAAAAAGCCTCTGCGGACGACGCAGCTGGTCAAAACCAAATCTGCGGCAGCCTCTCGATCTTCCTCCACTTCCGCCTCTCGCAAACCCGTGTTGAAGAAACAAGCTGTCATCGTCAAGAGGTACGTTGAAATGAAACTAAATGAAAATGAAACTTAGGCCCTATACTTATAAAATTTCTACTTCTCACACTAGCCATCTCCAGGCCCAACCGGAGACTTTAAAAAGGCTATGGAAGATAGAGTCTGATTGGTCTCTGATCACAACCTGTGTGACTGGTTGAAATCAATCGCCATGGTAATATCTTTTATATTATATAATTACCGTCTTAAAAATGTCTATATTTCATATAGACAGATAAAAAAAAGACAAATAAATTAAAAGTCTAAGATTAAATATATCGAATAGTGTCGGAAGACATATTTTATTCAAATATTCATATAATAGAGCAACATGTCAAACTTGTCCTTTTCTACTGTTACTCTAATGAAAAAAAATAATTTCTTAGTTGCAGTAATTTATGAAAATAACTTGAGGTATGCTCTCTGAATTAAGTTTTTGGTGGTTATGTATCAGCAGTAGTTAGCATCATTTTTGTTTCAAGGACCGCCTCCAAGTCCGTCACTAGAGGAGGTCTCCGCAGTTCCGGTGGTCTGCCACCAGGCAGTGACAAGGGCCTCAAAACCGAGCGCAAACCGAGGAAAGTCATCAAGATGAAACCTACAACGGCTAAGAAAAGTAAAAACTTTCTAAACAATGTAGAACTAACAAATTGGCTATTAACTAAACACTAAATCATATCAGTTCAAAATTTAGTCGATCCACGTAAATTTGTTGTGTGTTAAATTATGCTTGCACGACTGCCACTGTTTGATTTATTTTAACAGGTAGGAAAACATTTTAAACTTGTCTATGGTTTTATCATTTTCTAACTCTCCTGTTTTAGTTTAACATTCCAAAACAGTTTAGCTGCAGTGGGAAAAATTAAATATATAGGCTATAGGGTAACAAAGTTTCTGCATTGTTTTAAAATTGTAAAAAATGGTTTGATTTATTTTTGTAATTCAAATATTGTTTTCCAGATGCAAAGAAACCTGCAATAGCCAGTTCTTTGTCAGACTTTTCATCGGACGACGATCAACCTCTTGTGAAAAAACCGAGAGTAATGTCAAAGGCTTCAATCCTGGCTGGCCGAGTTACAACCCGGTCGAGGTTAATGAGACCTTCATCACAAGCTACAAGGTATGTCTATTTTACAAGCTGTCATAGAGTATTGCATACACTTCTACTTGATTTGCTATAGTTCGTTCAGAAAATTTAGGGGTTTTAAAGGGGAAGTTCCCCCACTACTTTTTTTGCTTAGTATATATGTCACAGCTGATTGACGTTGAGCTATTTAATTGTTAATTTTACGTTGAATATATTTACATTGTTAATTTCTGGATCGTCTGAATTAACGTATAGTGGTTTATGTTACCTTGTTACTGTCCAAAACAATCATTTGTAGTTCGTTATGACTACAGCTGTTTCCTGCTTCGGATGGAGCACATCATCAGGTCTGAATGTTGTCTTTCTATTATGGATTCTATTATGGAAAGACAGCAAAGGAGCAAGATAAGGATATCATAGGAGTTGGGGCGGGGGTCAACGCTGACGATATGTGACAGTCGCGACTTGCCCTCAACCGGTGCCGTACCACGTGTTTCGTTACCGTCTTGTTGACCAGTGTTAAATGTTCCGTTTCGTGATTTGTGTTTTGTGTGGTGTCCGTGTTATTTATATACTATTCAACTTTTGACGAACTCCACCATGAGGAATATTAAACTACTACTTGACATTCTTCAGACCTTCCATCCGAAGCACAAAACAGCTGTAGTCATAACAAACTACAAAGAATAGTTTTGGACAGTCACAAGGTAACATAAACCACTATATGTATTGTTGTTAAGGTATGATCAAATGGAGGTGATAGATTTCTTCCCCTAAAAATGCCTAAGTTTTGTGAACAGATTAGATATGGACCATTTAAAAATCATCCTATGATTCTTAGTTGTCTAAACCAATGTTTCCCCTACATACACAGAAGCCATTAACTGTACCTTAGGGACCATTGTTTAAGTATTATATTTCACACCTATGTTTCAGCATTTTTTGGGCTGGTGACAGCATTAATTCATGGCCTATTGGCAACTGTGGATAGGCAACAGGACGTAAGAACAAGGACAATAAAAAAATATGAAACTGATAAAAAAAATATTCCCATTTGCTCGGTTCCTAATAGACGCAAATATGCTTCAACTGCTCAAATATAACCTATTCCAAGGAAAGGTCAAACGTATGGTTGCAAAGTGGGTTATTTAGATTTGCAAAATAATTTATAAGCATATTCCATCTGTAATTACCTACATAATGATACCTCCACAATTCTAGGTGGTATGCGACATATTTTGGTCCTGTTAAGTGGTACACCAAGGAAAAAGGTTGGGAAATGCTGACCTAGACCATGTTATTTAAGTTATTTTTGTTCATTGTTCCAAGTTAGTTGCCAATAAATCATGTTGCCAAGTTAAGAGAGGATTAGTTTACTTAAATCCTTTATTGATGCATCTATAATGAAAACAATAAGCCTAACCTAACTTAAATCAATCTAATTAGACTGGGCATATTGAAACATATCTAAAACTTTTGTTTTGAGTATTGTGACATTAGTTTTATTGGTGGAGACTGTTTCACTTAGTCACAATGCTTCAGTTTCAAATGTGTGTTAAAACTTATTCTTTTATTGTGCTTTGAGTTTCATTAAAAAGTTTTGGCTCAGTTCCAGACTGCCTCGTAAGACAAAGGAAGCGGCTACTTTGTTCATGGAAATGTTGAAAAAAGATCTTGGCAGCCCGGATGAAGATGAGGACATTGCTGATGCAATGTCTGTGGACAGTTATGAAGACATTCCTAAACAATCAGGTAGTAGGCCTCGGTTCATTTTTGTAACGGTTATTTTTTACCACATCCAAATTTTTTACGGAATCCAGCTTAACCAAAATAGTTAAGGGATTGTATATTTTGGGTAGCCAAAATTTTGGTTGCTATTCTCACTCGATTTTTTCTCAAGCATTAAAAACAAAATAATAAGTTTATCTGCAAAGGTACACGTTGAGGTTATGCAATAATTTATTTTCTCAAATGCCAAATATATACATGTAGTCAATCAAGTCAATCAATCAAACATTATTGAGTCGATCATACAATTTTTAAAGCTACTGCAGATCTACCAACTTTTTAAATCTTCCATTCTTGTTTGTTTTTTCTAATGCGTGTACATTATGACTGAAGAAGCAGGGAAATAATCCTAACTTAAATATCAGAAACAATTGTTCTGAACTTCAAAAGTTCCTTGTTTAAGCTATTGTGAAATCTATGGTTTTTATCTTATACAGTAGAGAGTAGGTTGTCCAAACCAATTAGAGGTGTTCAGATCAGTGATTTTTTTCTGACAAGCGGCAATTGACATTAAAATGAAACACATTTTTAAATGTTGATTGTTGACCATTGTGAACTCTATGGTTTTCATCTTCTACGGTAGAGTGCAGTGGTTTATCCTAAACAATTGGAGATTAGGGGAGTTCGGATAGCTGATATTTTCTGATAAACCATTGACAGTAAAAACTTAAGATAAAGTTAAGATAAATTATCTTAACTTTAGTTGATAACTTTCATAATATCAAAAAGCATTTGAATAACATTGTTTCATCTTCTCTCAAAAATTCCACCGGCGTGGACAAGAACAAAAAAATCAACACCAGTAATATGGGTGATAAACATTTTTACTGGTTTTGACTGTCTCCTATGATTGTAACAACTTCCGGGAGCATATTTTGCAATTTTGGCAACAGCAGTGATAGTCTCCCACGATCATGGCTATCCTGGTGGTCGGGTTTTCGGTTAACCAAGATTTTTTATGATAAGGTATTGGATAATCGATGCTCTACTGCATTTTATTAAATTTATTTTTGATAGCGTATAGTGTTATGGTAGTTATAATCAAATTAAAATTTCTACAATAATAAAATGTATACTAAAATAATAGTAGTAGGGTACTGAAACTTGTTTTAATTCTAATTTCAGAACGCAGGGGATCAAAAGACAGCACTGACACTACGAGGTCAGAGAAAAAATCAACAACCAAGTCAGTTAAGAAAGAAACCAAACCAAATGAGAATAAACCACTTGTAAGGAATATCAGGAAGTTACCCGAAAAGCCTGCCGCAAGGCTAACCACCCTCAAGACAAGAACCCTTAGAAGGAACTCATATAGATTAGTTTCAAAAGAACTTGAACTAAAAAGATTAAAGACTACCAGGGCCACGCTGATAACGAGAATGTCTTCAAGATCATCTTCTAAAGAAATTTCTCAAGATAGCAGCACCGAAGTTGAAAAATCAAGTCCTAAAACACCTACTTCTGATAGGGAGAGCCGAAGAGAAAGGAGATCTCATCCCAGCAGAGTCAGTGACAGTAAAAATAAGCAACATAAAGCAGTTACCAAAGAAAGAGATTCTTCATCTTCCAAAAAGAAGGACGCACCAGAGACTATATTTGATGATTCTGACGAAGAACCTCTTGGCAAAAAAGTTAACCAAACCAAATCACCAGGCACATTAAAAAGTCCCAAGAAAACTAGACAGTCAATTGAAAAAGAAGGGAATTCAAATGACATTACTGTGGATGTGGACCAGAAATTAACTAGAAGAAGATCATTGAATACATCTAAAGATATATCAAAAGAAGATAAACAATCAGCCCAAACTAGTGCCAAAGCACAGCAAGCAGTGAAGAAAAAAGAAAATGAAGTTAAGGGAAAAGGAAAGACAGAGTCAACGTCTAAGACCAAATCTGCGACTTCAATCCCAAAACCAAAACAAGTAATAGAAGGGACCAATGAAACTAGTGAAAATGAGTCTCAGAACACAAAAGAAACAGAAAAGACCAGTGCTGAAAACAAATCACAATCCGAAAGGAATCATAAAAAATCCACGGCAAAAGAAAGTGAATCAGAAACTGGTGTTAAATCTTCAGAAAATAGTAAAAATATGCCTTCACAGATTGATAAAACGACTAAAAAGAGTGCAAATGTCCAGGAAAGTGAAATTGGGTCTATGGAAACATGTAGTAAGGATGTAACAAAGGTTTTAACACCTGCCAACAAGTCAAGTAGCCTACCACAGAATGCCCCTAAAGAGGAAGATGCTCTTCCGTTGAAAACTGGTAAAATTAATCCTGATAAATGCAACAATTCAAATACAAATGCAACCAAGAAAAAGGTTTCAACCAAAAGAGGAGCTGAGAGTGGAATTAAAAACGATCTTTCATCTGTAAGTGATAGTGCAGAAGAAGTTATTGACTGTGATACCAAAAGTTCTGAATGTCTATCATCCCCTGAACCAAATAAAGAAAAAGTACACAGTGATAAGACCACCAGAACTTGTAGTCCCCTTGACACCAAGGAAAGTAAAATTCAAACAGAGTTAGCTGTTGTATTCAAAACTCTGCAAGCCGAGTCTGAGAAAAAGGTAGTAGAAAAAGTTACGCCAAATCAGTCAATTAATATTGGAGATGCGAAGAAAAAGCAATCTAGCTCCAAAAAGATTTATCTAAACGAGTCGATTTTATCAGACAATACCCAAAAAACCAAAGTGGAAGCTAGTAAAAAAGATGATGTGAAAATGGAATTAAATGAAAGCAAAAATACTTTAACAAGTAGTTTGAATGATATGAGCATGGGTATTCTATGTCCCTCAGATACTTCGAAAGATGGGAGTATCTCACAAGAAATAAAACCAAGCAATGTATTAAATGATACCAAAGAAACTATTGCAAATGCCAGTTTAAATACTGCGGCTTCTCAAAATCTTGTGTGGACCAAAAACGTTCTACAAAATCAAGTATTGTCATCACCTATAAAGGGGGAAAACAATGAAGTACTAAAAGAAGAAAACATTAAGATGCCTCAAGTCACAGAAGAAAAGTATTTTGCAAAAATTGCAAATAAATCTCATAAGTTAAATTTACATACCAAAGCAAATGAAGAGGATTGTAAGCAGTCAGTTAAGTCAGAAAAAATTCAAAACAAAACAGTTAGAGAAGTCACGCTAGCAAAAAATGTTCAGTTACTTGATGGAGGAAAGATTGATCAGAAAAATCCACAAATAACTGTTGATATGAAACTAAATGAAAAAGCTAGCTGCTCAAAGAGCTCAAGTCAAAATGAACACGATGGGAAGCCTGACCTCAAAATGGCTTATCCTCGAGGTTCTACTTTAGTTACAAACCGTACAAAATGTGTTTTGGAAAATAAAGAGTCTAGGATTGTAGATGTTGTAGTGTCAAAAGGGGCTGATACCCAACAAACATCACAATTAACCAAGCAGAAGGAAACTGTCCAACCAACTCCCCTGAATACAACTGCTTGTTCTGGTGATGGTCTGAAAATCAGAAATGTTGTTTTGGAACCTTTGTTGAGTAGAAATCTTTTACCAGAGGTAAAATGCCTCCCAGCAAGTCCTACCTTGGTTCCAAGTGATTTCAACGAAAAATCGATTGAACAATCTGGAATCAAAGGAATAATGGCAAATACCAAAATGTTAAAACCTGATGCAAATAAATCAACAATAAAGCAAGAAATGCTTCCTGAAAATAGCTCTAAACTGGGGACTTTGGACATGGCAGATAAAATAAGTTCTGCTGTGGAGACCCTAATGAGTTTGAAGAATGTGCATAAAATTGATGATAAAAGTTTTACCATTCAGACAGGCGCATGGAATAAAAGCGGACAGGCATTTGATGTAGAACATAAAAGGTCACTTGATTTAGATACCAAGCGTTCATGTGAAGGCGATCAAAAACCTTCTGATTGCTCTGACGTCAAGAAGATAAAAACCAAAGACAGTGAAGTTAAACGTGTTACCATTCAGGAACCTGAATTTAAACGTGTTACCATTCAGGAACCTGAGTTTAAACGTGTAACCATTCAGGAACCTGAATTTAAACGTGTAACCATTCAGGAACCTGAATTTAAACGCTTCAATGTACTAGAATCAGATAACAAACGCCCTAATACTCATGAGAGTGATTTCAGAAGATATCAGGCACAAGTACAGGAGCATAAACCTAAACCAGAACATCCTCAAGTACTGAAAGGGTGTTCCAACCCAAAATCTATGTTGAAACCTGGGACCCTGATTGACATAGCTGGAATCAGCCACAGCCCAGAAATAATGACACCTTTGAGGCCTGGAGTTGATGGGGAGATAATACCTATGCACAAACCAGTCAGACCGTATGGACAAGAAGGCGTTGATCCATTCAAGGGAGGTGCTCAAGGCTTCAAACCTTTTGGGCTTAGATGGCAAGGCACAAGCCCTGAAAAGAACTCAAAAGAGCTACTAGTGGAAAAGGAATCAGCTGATTCTAAATCTAAAACACCGGTTAATGAATCAGCATGGAGGCTAGCCTTTAAGAATGTTAAAGATCCAAAAAGCAGTAATAATGTTCCTACTGAAAAACCTGTTGCAAAAAAACAGTTATCAGTTACTGCATTAGCCAAGAAACATAAGTCTAAAACGGAGGTTGTAAGTGACAAAACCACCATGGGTCAAACGTCTACATCAATTCCATTTTTAAGGCAAAATAAACCTTTTTTAGGCCCCAGTCCGACAAAAGCTAAAGAAGCAGGATCTGTTTCATTTGATGTGAAGAAAAGTAGCAGCACTAATGTCGATCCCGCTAGTTTGAGAGAAAAGGAAGCTGAAGTGAAAGAGTTTTTAAGCCAATGTGGTGAATATTCTAGATCACTTGCTCCAGCAGCTAGTCATGTAAACCCTTCAACAACTACTAAAGCAGTTGAAGATTTTAATAGAAGCAGCAGTATTAAATCACCATACTTGCCTTCCTCAAATACAGAGTTCACACAATCTGAGCAAATCACCGGAACCCAACATCAGTTGAAGATTAGCTCAGATGCGAGACAAACATCGCACAAAGATCAACCAGAGCCTAGTTCGATTTTCGGGAGTGATAGTTTAAAGAGAGCTGGTTCTCCACGTAAATTTGAAAAACAAATCAAAACTGGATTGAATTCAGCTGAGCTGTCTCCAATGAATAAAACTAGTGCAGCAAGTACAAACTCTCAGCAGGATCAATTGTCAAATAAGCAAACCTCTTCTCCTAGTTACATGAAACCGGACCAAAACGTGAGCATATTTCAAATTGATCCTCTGAGAAGATCTAGTTCACCAAAGTCAATTTTGCAAAAGAGCACTATTCCCGGAGAGCAGCCCCTGTCTATTGTCGGTAGTCAGTATAACAGTCCTGTACCAAGTTCTTCCAAACAACTGATGCCTGACAAAGTCCGCCACTTTTCACCTAACCGCTCTGGCCAAAGTACGGTGCCTGACAATTTTTTCAGCGACAGCAATCTGAATAAGCGGACTAAGTCTCCGACACTAATGGATTCTTTCTCCCAACAAAGTAATTCACCTAAAGGTAATTCCATCAGCCGTAATACAAATTCACCTGTCTTTGGAAAATGTTCCACTAATATATTCAAAGAAATTGTGCCTGCTAAAAGGAGTTATTCTCCAACATTTCTTTCATCATCTCAGAGTGATGGTGAGTCTGTGCCTAATGTGTTTTCACAAACACAAAATTTCCGGAGGTCAGTCTCTCCTCTGAGTAATAGATCTGGGTTTTCAAAATTAGTAACCACCAATGAAGGCAGTACTGAAACAAAAAAAGTGAAGGTAGATGACAAAAAATTAGAAACCTCAGAAGATGGCTTAACAAATCGTAATACACAAGCCAGTGTCAGCAGCAGCTTGAAATTTCCAACAGAGCAGGAACCCAACAACTCAACTGTAAATTTGATGTCACAAAGCACTCAGCCTCTTCAATTGACTAAACCTGTGGATGGGGACAACGCGCTTGTTAAAGAAGAAGTTAATGAATCGGAGGAAGAAAAAAATAGTAACATAGTCACTTGTGAAGATAGCAACTCTTTGAAATTGGATGTGAAACCATTCAGCCCAAGTGTAAATGAAAAACAGTTAGCCTCACCTCAAGATAATGAAGGTACAAATACTCCTGCGATGTCAGAGGCCAAGCATCGTCTACCTCTGCCAGTGGAACAGACTTTGAAGAAGCTGGGCAACACAAGATCTTCCCAGAACAAGAAAACCTCATTACAAAAGGTAAAAAGTTCAGAAGAAAACGTAAAAGACACTCAATCTCCTGGAATAGTTTCAGTTCAGAATGAGTACCCTGAAGAAAATGTAAAATGCACCCCAAATGTGTTCACTCACAAACTGACAACTGGAATATATTCACATAATCAAGAAGAAGAGTTGGATTTAATGCAAAAGAAAAAGGTAAATATGTCCGCTGAAGAAATAAAAAGGTGGCTAAATGACAGTTCAACTTCCGAAGTAGTCCACAGGGCAAATTGCGGCATTTTAGAAAACGATACTTGCGAGTGTGAGTACCGGAGCACTTTAACTCCGAGTTTGCAACATATCGACTCTCCCAAATTTGAAACTGATGCTAAAAATGAAGTTACTTCTCTAAGTAAACCTACACCGGGCTCATATGACGCCATTGATAAAACTAAGAAGGTTTTGAATGCTGAATTGAACGTAACGAATGCTAATGTTATGGATCTAAGACCATCTTATGGTGTTAAAGAAAAAGATGATAACACTGTGAAAGATACTAAAAACGATGTTCCATATACCTCAGATCCTAGCTGTGTAACAAAACAAGAGCCACAAAAAACTGCTACTACGCCAAAGAAAAATACCACTCCAAATCAACTTAAAGGAGAAGGTTTGGTATCCATTAAAAACTTCTGTGTACCAGTGTCCGTCGGCAGTTCTGTCTCCACCAGCACCAAGCAACCTACGACTCCACCGGTCAATAAGCTGAGAACATTTAGATTACCTAATAAAAATAAAGATGCGGAAAAACCATCCACGGATACTCTGGACGTATCACCACCTGTGAGAGACGACTGTTCATCGTCCAATGAATTGTCCTCATCAAATGAAGAAACACCTGAGAAATCTCATGAACGGAAATCCATTTTCCACCAACGCAGGTCAGCTCTGAAAGTGAAAGAGAGGAGAGAACTCATCGCTCCGAGTGTTAACGCTTTTTCACCAGAGAACGAAAGCAGTGTGTACGCCTTCGACCCTGAATTACCTCCAACGAGCACGCCCTTTCGCAGATCAAAAGGCAAGGACGGCAAGTCGACAACAACTACAGATGATGAAGACATGACTCCTAGCAGCAACTCGATCGCTGTTCAAGTCAATTTTGATAATGAAGCCGTTCTTGAGTGCTCTACGCAGACTGATGTGCAAGAAGGAGACGATGACGACACTCACACATTCTACATTCCGTTGCAACAGAGTGCTGCTGATACAAGTAAACCACCCTTGATACAAGGGGTGGCAGTAAAGGTGGATACTGAAGGGCCTGATCAGAAGGTCATCATGAGGGCCAAGCTGGTGACCAAACCTTTGTCTACGTTCAACCAGTCGTCTCCCTCTCCAAGGTAAGACATAAGACATGTTTATGTCCAGTTGACATATTACAAATGTATTGGAAGGGTCAAAAAATGTTTCATGCAGAACAGTTGTCAAATTGAGAAGTGTATTACAAATTGTACTTTGTATTCTACGAAGAAAAAAAGAAGCATTTTGAGTTAATAGGCATTTTGTACTAGTTATTCAAACGTTTTGGAAATGTAAAAACTTTTTAACACAGTTGTTTGACCAAGTAAAAAGTTCTTTATGGTATTGCATGTTTGCAACACTTGAGTATCTTGTATAAATTAATTTTGTGGTTGGAATTTTTGAAACTTGTATTGACCAAGAGTGAAGGGTACATTTTCTTTTGTTGACTCTATAGATTACTAAACATTTTCACAGTAACAGCTCTTGAACATAGTTTCTAACAGTTTGTATCATAAACAAATTTTACAAAACAACTAATTTGCCCTATAAGGAGGCCTCTTTAAAAGGTAGTAATAAAATGACAGTAGAATGATTTCTACCACTTCTTTCTCAAAATGTCCATTTTCAAGATTATAAGGTCAAATTTAATTAAAGTAGTGAACGTTTTGTTGTTTACAATAGTTTCCTCAATTAAGTTTGCTGTGTTTCATCTTTCTTCCTCAATGTAAATCAAAGGATTGAATTTAAATAACTACAAATTAAATTATTGGTTAGCAACAAATATGAGAAATATAGGTAGTTGGAAAATATCTTAAAACAGTAACTAATCAATTGGCAAGTTGTGTGTTCACTTCACTTAGAATGATTTGATGTGCAGGGGGCTGATAGGTACAAGATCAGGCAAACCGGAGCAGAAAGTTAGACCGTTGTCTGTAAAACCTCCTGTGGGCACAGTGCAGCCAACTGCGAGACCCAAGCCGAAGCCTGTCCAGACTCAGGAGGAACAACCAGGACCCAGCAAAGCTGCAACAACCTGCTCTCCTCAGGCTGCTAGACTAGCCAAAAGGTAGGAATATCTGAATCATCTGGAGGCTATCATTTTTGTATTTTAGCGTAGTTTCAAAAAGCTGCGCTCTCTTATCTGCTTTAAAATAGTCTTTGCACCAAATTAGCATCTGGATAGCCAAGTGGTCATGATGCTTGCTTCGAAATCTGAAGGTTGCCTGTACAACTCCAAAAGGGAGAATCGTTTTGGATTCTGGACGTAGATGTGATTTGTCATTGAACCATACCAAATGGTAACAAAACCAGGGTTCTGACCGATCACTTTTTTTACATAGTGAAAAATGCTGATGCAGTTAAAACACTCAATGTAAACAATTGGTATGTTCTTGTTTTTGTGAAGACTTAGTAACCTCGTTTGGAGTAACCTCATTTGGTTTACTCCCAGTGTATCTCAATGTTACGCTACAGGACATTAAAAGAATCCAGTTGATGAGACAACAATTTACTAATCTGGAAGATTGGAAATTTTAATTTAGGTCATTACTTCAGCTGACTAAATATTCACAAAAAAATTCACAGGATAAAGAGCAAAGCTGCAGTGCCGTCGACCAGCGCAGAGAATCATCCTCCGAAAGTTGCTCCGGCAAAGCTCGTTGAGGCTCCAACATTCTACCCGACTGAGAAGGAGTTTGAAGATCCCCTGGAGTATATCAGCAGCATTACGCCAAAAGCTGAGAAGTACGGACTGTGTCGAGTGGTGCCTCCGTCTAACTTTAAGGTAGGTTCACCATTAGTAACTTTAATACTTCTTAACAGCCATGTTAGTGTTGAAAGTATTTTTTGGCCTTTGTCATTCAATTGAAAATATTCAGAAGTGATGCTTTACTGCCAAAGACACTACTAACAAGCTACCACAATTAATAAGCCCACATACTCAAACAGAATGTTACATTTTATAGTTTTGATTCTTAACTGTAACCTTTTGTTCCAGCCTGAGTGCAAAGTGAGTGACGACATGAGGTTTACGGCCTACAACCAGTATATTCACAAGATGCTGCATCGCTGGGGCCCCAACGTCAAGGAGATGTTGGCCATTAAAAAATACCTTGCAACTCAGAGCATTGCCCTTACCCATCCACCTTGGGTTAGTATCTTATTTGACATAGTTATGTTTATATTCATAGAAAATTACTTTTAATGGTCTTGACTCTACCGTTTTGCTAAAGCGATGACAGTTAACGTTGTTTAGACAACTGAATTTATGATGAGTTGTATAGATGGAACTGTCCTAAAAAATATCCAAAACATTGAGATCTTATTGCAGCCAAGAGGGAGTTTACATTTGAGATAAATGCAAATTCGCGAAGAAATCTAGCTGGTACCCACCCTTATGTAACGCTAAATCTTGTCATACTAGCTGAAAACGATGCTAACAAAAATTGACACTCTGGCTCCCCAAGATTTTAAGTTACCTTTATTGTAATCTGTTGCTAGTTGACAGGTTTGTATAAGAATAAGAATAAGAATCTTTATTACCCTTTAAACATTTTACAGTGCAATAGGGTTCGTCATTTGCTACATAATATATATATACATATATTTCACATGAAATAGTAACAAAGATAATTTTATCAAATAAGTTAAGACAAGCTGGCCTGATTCTATACAGACAAGTGTTTTGATAGAGGAGGATTTAGGAACAGCCCGTGAAAACATACTCCCTTAGTAGAGTTCTCATCCTAATGGAACAGCTGAAGACAATTTTATTGTTAGTTCTGTACAGTTTATGTAGAGGTCATGTTTTGTTTACAATTTGTTTCCTGTTAATACAGTCATTTAAAACCTTGTTTAACCAAATAATACGATCTAATCATAAACAATAAATTGTCCCCTAGTTATTTAACCAAACAGTAAAGCACAAATCAAGAAATTAACCCTAAAACAAAGAAACAAAATTTCGTCGACACAAGCGCCCAGTGTGACGTACATGAACTAGACATGAAAAACGAGCTTCAAAATTTACAATGGGATGAGAAGTCTACTTGTGTTGGTTAGTCTATGCCAATAGTGATAATAGTGAGCTCCCTCTGTACTTTAGAACAACCTAGAATTTTCCGGTTCTGTAAGATGGATGTTAATTGATTTGATAGTTAATATTAGTAGTTAGTATTACTCCGTGGTTGTGTAAAATCTGGGAGTATAAATTGTTGATAGCAGACTAACATTATTGTTCTTATTAGTAAACTGTAAATTAGAGATGTAGAATCATTAGATGTGTATGTTTGAGGTACAAAACGTAGTGTCATTTTTGTGTTCATAGAAACATTTTCATCTCTGAATGTCGCTGTACTGTGTGAGCTTTTTCTTGCTGTTAAAGAATCTTGTGAAATATTTGCAAACTAACTATCTGCATCTGTTACACCCCCAGATCGGAGGTATGGAGGTGGACCTGCCGAGACTGTACCAGACTGTACAGCAGTGTGGAGGTCTCAAGGAGGTGATAGAGAAGAAGAGATGGCACAGAGTGGCCGACCTGATGAAGATACCCAAGTCTGCTCAGGACAGAGTCACCAAGCTGGACGACATCTACTGCAAGTTCCTGCTGCCCTACGACACCCTGTCTCATGGTATGCTACAATTTGTATTATTGGTTCAGTGGAGTCTCAATTATGCAGTCTTAGGTTATACACAAAGAAGCAAGGAACAGAGGATGGACCATAGTACTCATAAGTGGTGTCTAGCATTAGTGCTGGTGTCTAGGGCAAAGTCCAACATCGCCACCCTTGCCCTCACTACAACACTCACTGTGGAGAAAGACCCTGTGTGATAGGAATTCCGCACAGTGCTTTGCCGTTCGGGCCCTTCCTTGCTCGTCACAAGTATATTTCCGACACAGCATACCAGAGCTAAAAGCGCACAACATATTTCCTCAGCACCTATACTTCTCTGTGGGTCATCCAACCTTTCCTTTTTATCCAACCCTCCCTTCAGACGATCGAGTACTAAGAAACCCCATGCTACTTCCTTGTTGTATGACTGTGCAACAATACCGTAGAGGGTCTGTTGAGACGTTGAGACAACTCCTTTTGCCGTCTTTGTCTACACTTGGAAAATACAGGCTTGGCTTTAGGCACGTACACTTAACTGTACTTTCTGACTGTTTTAGTGCACTGCATACCACATATTTAATCAACTCCTCATAACTTCATACCTCTCTTCTACTCCTCTTGTCTTTTGTAACTCAGTGGATGACTATTGCCTTACCTTATTTTATAGTCATACAGTTACAGTAGTGGTGTTTTTAAATGTTTCTTTATCTGAACGATGTGTGTTTTAGTTGAGAGAACTCAGTTGTTCGAGGGAGTGGAGAGGGACTGGGCAGAGCGAGAGAAACGAGTGGCCAATCAGCAAGAGTCTGAAAATGACGAAGATGAAGATAGCGACAGCGACTCTGACTCTGACATTGACGAATGTATTGTCAAGGTGAGAACTACTTTTTTGTCAATCCCTTGAATCACAATTACACAGAAAGTTAGGGATGTAAGATAGAGCACAAGGGCCTAGGGTTTTAGTATATTTTGAGAGGAAAGCAGGCTTGAAAGAGTCCAAACTGGCAGAAGAAACACAACAATTTTCAACCCTTAGTTAATGCTGTCAGTGACAGTGAAATTTTCTAATTCTTTCTGTATATAGTGTAAAGTGTTTCCTTTGCCAGTTTGGACTCTTTCCTATTCAGGTAAGCCTGCTATCCTCTCAAAATATCCTAAAAACAATTTCATAACAGGTCAAAGATGTAAAATAGAGGACATGGCCGTAAGTATTTAGGATATTTTTAGAATAGCAGGTTTACCAGAATGGGAAATAGTGCACTGCAGAACAAGAAGAAACACAAAAAACTTAATATCATACAAAAAAAAAAAAAATACTTACCTGTCAATGACAGCATATTTTAACCAAGGCAGGTTTGAGATTACAGACATGAGGTTTGTTTTTAAGTTCCTTTGAATAATTCATGGAAATCCATCAAATCCTATCAAATGCTATAGGAATCTTTAAGACAACTAATCTGCAATGTTGAAGTGGGTTTATCGTTTATCGGGTTGTAATAGTGTTTTTTTTTCATATTGATGTACTTCTCTGCATTCAGTACCTTTAAAACCTTAAAAACATAAACTTTCCTTCTTCTGTCTTTATTTTGAGACTTTTTGTCAGCTACATTGAGCTGCCACTCACAAAAATCTTGAAGAACTATGACAAAAGCAAAGAGTTAATTGTTCTATGGCTTAGTGGAAACTTACCACAAAAATCTATATTTTAAGAGAACCACCCTAATCTCTTTTGAAAAGAGTTTATGGTTGACGATGTTTGCTAATGTTTCTCGACTGTGTTTCAGGGTCGCAGCATGGCACTCAACGGGTTTTACCGAATCGCTCGCAACACCATGTCAATGTGGTTTCCCAAAACTGACACCCCTTCTGCCGCTGATGTGGAACTTGAATTCTGGAAAGTACGTAATTTGTAACGTATAGCTTTCATAGTCAGCCACCAACAATAAATGTTAACTGAATAGAATAGATACTGTGTACCAGCTTCAAGTGAGACAAACTGTAAATGTTAGTAAATTAATACTTACTAGAGTGGTCACTGGTACCTTAAGAGGTTCATGGCCTCACCAGCCACTGGCTCCTGGTGTCTCTTCCTTGAGCACATTTTCATTCCTTTCCAATCTTCTATTGTCGTTTTAGACTTGATCTTATTAAGATAGTAAATTAATACCGTTTCAAAAATGTATATAGACATCTTTAAAATCCCCTTTTCAGAACTATACAAGGTGTTTCTGAACTCTACATAACTTTTAAGCTATCATTCCTAGACCAAAGACTAAAATATCAGGTTAAAATATCCACAGATTGTAACCTAAACACTTTGGTTTGACCAGTTGTGGTCTTCTTCACCATTAAGAACCCACAAGCACATGTAATCTTTTTATTTTATTTTGTAACTGCTTACTTACTTGAATTCTTTTTCAGCATGTCGCATCACGACAGCACCACGTATGTGTTCACTCTGGTTCCATAGACTCGGGTGCGATGGGTTACGGGTTCCCTACGGGCAAGAACAGTTCCACTTCCCGTCACCCGTGGAACCTGAAGATGCTGACCAACAACCCCGGGTCCATACTGAGGTTTCTTGGACCCATTATGGGTAAGTGGAGCAGTCAGTAGCCTACAATAGACTTACAATTGGGGCTGGGTAAATTGTAGCATTTTTTATTTGTTTCATCTTTCAAACATCAATGTATATAATACCATATTCTGTCAACATAACCTTTTTGTGTGTAGGCCTACCTTAAAGTGTTTTAAAGAACCGATTTAAGGGATTGGTTGATGTTGTTAATTTTTGTTTTCACTTCTGGCCAATGACAACTCAATTATTGCAAAAAGTTTTGATGTGTACAACATAGAAATCAATAGTGCTATTATAAAGCAAGTATACTTGAAGTATTACAGTAGACTCCTGATTAGTGTGTATACAATAATTCAGAATTATTCTGAAATGTGTTTATAATGTTTTCAGGAGTCACAGTGCCGACCCTACATGTAGGAATGTTGTTCTCCGCTTGTTGTTGGTACCGTGACCCTCACGGCCTGCCGTGGATAGAGTACCTGCACACTGGCGCCAGCAAGATATGGTATGTATTAGTTCATGGTTAAGTTATTTTAGATTTCAAATTCTATTCCAAAATATGTAGCTGATTAAGGGGTTTTGTGGAAATTGCGTTCAGCCGGCTTATTTGAAACAATTAGAGTTTGGATTCATAATCACAGAGTTGATGCGATTCTTGCGCTAACAGTTACAAAATAATTTCTAAGATTCTGAATTGATACAAATAAAAAAAAAATAGGAAGATTCAATGTTTTTTTTCTTTGAACTGTATTTTGAGTTGAGATTTGATTTTTAAAGTTCGCTGTATCAAATTCACAATTCCGGTTTTACCATCACTAGACACACACCCATGGTTTGCATGTGTGGAGCGCTTCGAGATATTATATTTGAGTCCCCAGGGGGATTTTTTTCTTTGTTCCCCCAAACAAACCTAAAACCTATTGCGCCCCATTTATTAATGCGGCCATGATTAGACATGTTGGTTTATGAGAAAAAACTGAAGGATTTCTCTACAGTTGGTTGTTTGTTTTCAGGTACGGCATTCCAGACTCGTCGTCTAGCCAGTTCCGAGATGCAGTGATGGACATTGTACCTCGGCTGTGTCGGGACAAATCTCTCTGGCTGGCCTCTGACACTGCCATGGTAAATACAATACTAAGCATGAAAATTAATTAGGCCTACCGTGTATAAAAATATAAAATACAATTTATATAAAAACTTTTGGTTGCATGAAGTCGGATCAGTTAATCAAAAGTTAACCGAAAGGAAGAAAGAAGCAAATTATACAAAATTAAGTCACATACTTACAAGTGTAGCGAGCAACCGCTAATATAGAAATCGCTTATATTTCACAGACGGCAACTACAATCTGCCGGGAGTAAACTCTCGTCAGCCATGGCCGTGCACGCCATTACCATTCAGTTACCTGTGGCCTGAGTACATTTTGTACTCTATTCTGTTGGAATTTTTTTCATTCTAACAATGTTGTCTAAAGTCATGCTTAGTGCTCTCATGAGTTGAATAAGGTGCAAATGAATCAAGTTGAGCCTGTGAATATGGAGTTGAAGTTGGGACAGTATGTGCCATGACAAATAACTGAGAAACTATCAAAATTTGCATGTAATATGTGTACACTGGAAAACTATATAACTTTGGCAGATCATTAAAATTGCACGTAAAAATAAATTTAAACGTTTCCGATCAATCATAGAACTTTGTATCTAATTTGTTCTGTTGATGACTGATTATCCAAATAATCAAGGATGTAACATAGAGCACAAGGGCCTAGGTTTTTAGGATTTTTTGTGAGGATAGCAGGCATACCTGAATAACTCTCTCTTCCTTAGTTGAAAATACTGTCAAACAGTGCGACAGTGAAATATTCTAATGCTTTGTGTATATAGTGTAAAGTTTTGTGTATTTTGTGCCAGTTTGGACTCTTTCCCATTCAGGTAAGCCTGTTCAGGTAACCTAACAAAAAAATCCTAATATGCAAAAAATCAGCTAACACGTTCGCTGCTGAGCTATCGAAATCGGCTGGTGCCGGCTGTGCTCAGGTGCTACGCAGTCGTAATCGGCCGTTCCCATGATTTAACTTTGAACTGTGTGAGCTCAGCCATTGACGCGGAACATTTTAACGTTGCTAGCCTGTAGCTTAGAATGCGAGCTTTATTTTGGTGTAGGTTGGTACTAAAGTTTCCCGTAAAATCCCGTCTGGCAATGCTTTTATCCTGGTTTTGGGGATTTTCTCTCTTCGAGCCACATTACAAAGACACTGGCTACGGATCCAGTTCTTGCTGCTACCCTTAAGTGTTTCAGCGAACTACATCCACTCTCGGGGTAACGCAGCACAATCACCGCTGCTCGTGTGCATCAGACTGAAATATTTGAATGCCAATTGTGTTTGCTGATTCGGTGGCGCGCCGGGGCTTCGCCCAGTCCTCGCCGCCATTGGCGAGCGCTTTTTTGACGTATGCGGGAGTGAACGTGTTAACTGAACACCCCCGATCCCCTAATTGTTTCAGACAATCGACTATTTACTGTATGCATCAAATTTCTCTACATGTACTTCAGTCCCCAGTGTTTGTTCCCAGGTTCCGCCACCGCTGTTGGTAGAGAAGGGCGTATCTCTGAGTCGCATTGTACAAGACCCTGGACAGTTCATTGTTGTGTTCCCCAAGGCCTTCACATCCAGTATATGCACTGGCTACCTCGTCTCTGAGAGTGTCTACTACGCACAACCTTCGTGGCTTTCCACCGCTCAGACGCTGTTTAATGTGAGTTGCTTGCGTCATAATAGCGAGTACACAATGAATCAGTAAAGTGCATTATATAAAATACAACTATGAAGGAGCCATGTTGATAAGTTCAATAGGCTTTTTAACTTGTGTCTTTTTCCAAGATTTGTTTTCAATCAAATGGCGACCATACAAAGTAGGTATTTTAAGCCAAGTATGAATGGAGATGAGTGGCGCGATCTTGTAGTCTTGTTGACTAAGGCCGACCTATTCCTTAGACACAGCTGTTAATTAATAGCCCAAACAGCTAATGGCAACTAAGGGACCTACAGTTTATAGTGGAATCTGAACCACATTCTTGCCTTGGTATTAACAAATAGGTCTAATTATCAGGATTATAACACAGATTTATGTTTAAGTAATACATTTTTCTTAACAGGACCTGAGAGAGAGCAGTGAGCCGACGGTGTTCTCTCTGGAGAAACTTCTGTTCACCATTGTTAATGACTCTCGCGCCAGTATGGAGGTTCTTCACCAGGTAATGTATAAAGTAAACTCTCTTGAGTTGAAATATTGTTTGTGGTTTAAACAATGAACTTGTTCCCCAAGAGAAAAGTGTTTGATAAAAATTTTAATCAGTAAAGTATAAACTAATTTGAGAATGTTATAATCCGTTGTTATTTGTATTAATTTATTACAGACTTGGTTGTTTCATCCTGATAAAATATGACAAAATTAATCCTAGATCAATCTTATTTAAATAAACCATGGCAAACTATTATTGATCTCATCGACTACCTCCATTACCCGACCTGTCATATGGGCACCACTAGAGTGAGGAAGAGGAGAGTAAAACGTTAGTCAATTATCTGTAATGTAAAAAAATTGCTCAACTTAGTGGCTTGGCTAGTTTTTGTGTTCATCTAAAAAAAATCCTAATAACCTGGTTTTAAACATTCACTTGTTGAAACCTTTCCGGGGAGGACCCTAGCGGTAAATCCCTGTACAATTTTTGTGGTCCCTCCTATGCCCTTACCTCTTAATTTACCGAAGCTTTAGTTGTGAATTTTTAGTAGATGTTAATCTCTCAAATTATTTATGATCTCCACATTTTCCAGCCATTTTGCAGCTAACCCAGGGTGGGAGTTTCTGAACTCAGTAGCTCTAAGCACTACTTATCTTCTTTACAATTTGGATATAAGTTTTAATAGCTGAACGTAGTAATAAGACTTCCTAAGTTCTTAATAAATATTCTAGCCATTTCGCTGTCCAACCAGGACTTCAACACAGTTTTTGTACTATCATTCTCTTCCCAATTCTGACGTAAATTTTTGTAACAGATCCTGAACATCTAAGTTAAAAGACCTCCCAAATTCTACTCAATAAAAAATTTCACAAACAATCTTACTATTTTGCACCAACCCAGCGTGAAATCCTCTTAACAAATTTTGTAAGCACTGACTCATCTTTACTCATCTTTTTTTTTTTTTTTTTTTTTTGTACTCATCTTTTCCCGATCCTGACGTAAAGTTTTGTAACAGATCCTGAACATCGTGGTGTCGCTGCGGGACGGTGAGATTGCAGGTAGGAGACAGCTGGAGGAGTGTGGACTCAACAGTAGTGAGCGACTCAACAGCAAACGCAAGGGCAAGGCTCGGCCTGCCGGAGACGGAGAGGAGGATCTTGAGTGTGAGGAGTGCCGCATGACTCTCTACATATCATGGGTAAGTTGTTCTTGTAAGCCTAATTGTTATATCTCAGACTTTGCAGTGTGAGAGGGACGGGCAACATTTTTCAAGAAATAAGGTAAATGTTGATCAAAACTAATGGATTTGGGGAAATTGTATCAAAACCAAATTAATCCCATCAAATAGTAAAAGTCATAGAAAGGATGATATAGAAATTTTGACGAATATTCAATCCCAATCATAGGCGACACAAATTCAAATTCAATTTTCATCCCTCCATAGCTTGTATGTGAATTTAAAGACAGGTAAACTAGACAGTCAAATAATTAATAATCAATCAATTTATCCAACACAATCATTACCAAATTACCAATAGGAGGTTACAAAAGTGCAAAAACCACAAATGGTTTGACTGCTCTAAAATTATTGTTCCTTATATACTAACAGTTTTGTCAGTTGTTTGAATCAGTAGCATGCAGTGTTATGAGTCCTTCACTGTCTCTTGAGCAATTAATAATAATTAAAAACTAAAAAGACAACAATAACACAAATATCTGTGATAGTCAATCATGAAAAAATACATCTAATCTATTCTCAGAATAATGCAATTCTTTCGGTGAGTAATTTTGGAACATGGAAACCAACTCTATGTATGCAACTTTTTCCCTAAATTTTGGAGATATTGCACACTTTGTAAGAAGTAGAATGGACCTGGACCATAAAGTAAAACCATAAGGCTCTAAGTATTAACATACTTCTACTGTTATACCTATCTACTTTCCTGTTGGGAAGCCACCTACAAAATAAAAATAAAACAATGTTTTTTCAGATGACCAACTCACAAGATGGCGCAGTATACTGTCTGCCTCACGCTGTAGAGTTGCTTTCAAACAAACGCAGTCTGGTGAAGCACTGTACACTTGTCTACGCCTTCTCCGAGGTAAGTTGTTATGAAATTCTGACCAACAATGTCCTGAATTGAATCCATATGACTTTGGGCATGTACCAGCAAAGTAGAATCATGATTATATCCGACTTAATCTGGTCAAAGTAAGATTTGATAAGTTGTAAAGTCAAATAGTTCAGAAAGTAATTAAAAATAAATATTGCTATTACAAGTTTAAAAGTTTCTAGAATATTGTGGCACTATTCCACAGTGTATGCATTTTTGTAAATACCTGCTTCGGTCTAAACCAAAATGTTGCTAATGCTGCAATTAGTTTAATTTCAATGCTCATTTGTCTATGTACTATATGTGAATTGACGACCTTCTGATGAAGTTGTCATGACATCCTTTAATACTTTGAAGATGACTTCTTGGATGTTGAAACTAGTTGCGGTATTAGCAACAATTTGGATTACATTGAAGCAGTTGTTTACACACCAATTCATATATTGAAACTGAAAGTAATCCGGGGGCTAACATCAAAATGATGCCAAGGAGGCATAGTACGGAGGCACAGTAGTTAGTTAGTTTTGAAGTTTTCAAACATAAATTATCATTTGTTACTCAATTTTTACAACTACAAATTGATACTACTGACTACTTAAACCTTTATTTGAATTTTTCAGGAGGAACTGGAGGAGTTGGTAGAAAAGTTGAAATCAAGAGTCGAAAACAAAAACCAGAAAAAATCTGTAGCTAAGGGTAGTAAGAGTTAAACTAGTCACGTTAGAGTATTTGTATTTATTGTAGCTATTTTTGTTGTATAGATGGTAATTGGCAAAGTACGCTTAGCTTTTTATAGAGATTTACCGACGCTTCTTTGTATCACATATACATAAGTGTGTATATATCATGAGTAAGTATGTGACAAAATTGAATCATTAACAATGGCGGGTAGTTATTTTCAGCTTCCATGTTGCGAGATTGTGAATGAGTATATATCACCAGTTTTTAAGAACGAATGTTGAAATCCTCTATTGAAATTTTATTTTATTGTTGACATATGCATTTATGTAACTAGTCCTCCTTGCTCGGACGGGTCAGTGTTTTGAATTTATTTTCAATTTACGTACAACTGTTGATGTTTTTGACCTGAAAAGATTAAAGAGTTTATGAAGTTTTATAGACGTTATCACAAGCAGTATTGCGAGGATATTATTTTAATAACGTATATTTGAAATGTCAACATGGCTGCTCGGCAGTTTTGATATCAGTAATGTATTAGTCTGACGTTTTTGCACATTGTATGTAATTTTATAAAGTGATTCAAAATGCATATAATTTGTGATTCAGGCTTTTAACTAGGTAGGTTTTCATGAAATGTTTGACAAAATAGTGTTTATATCATGATCATTAGAAGTTTAATTTTTTGTAGAGTTCCTTTACAAAATATATAAAACAGGTTTATAGTATTTTAAAATCATTTTAAATTAATTAAATCATCCAATTTTCATCAACTGTAGTTTTATACTTAAAGAAAAAACTACCTTTCTTTCAGTAGTATTCTGAATTCTATTGTAGAATATCTTTTATATCATTACTTCCAAAAGATAACGTTACATTGAGATATGATTTGAATTTGTATTTTTAATTATTATCTATTATCTTAGTAGTTTCACACGAATCTCTTATGTTTTATTTACACAAATGTTTAATATTGTTGGATATGTATATTTCATATAAATTGTAAATTATGCTTTGTATGTTACTATATTTTATTTATTTTAACAGATATTTTATCGTTTTATGGGGTTTTATTTCACTTCTGTATTGCTGTTCGCACTCTATGTAATTTAAATATCTTATTGTATTTCATGTGTATAATTTTTGTAGGATTGTGAAACGGAAAAAAATATTCTGTAGTCTAATAAAAAGTTGTTAATCAAGTAGGTATCACCCATTCTAAAAAGAAACCAACAGTCAAACATATTATTTTAAAATGTACTTGAATTCTTATGGTTTTGCTTTGGTAAACTTTGGAATAGTTAGTTGTGTAGTATTGATTTAAAACTTGAAAATTACAACAGCAAAAATCAATTCGATATGCCTGTACTTAACATTCCCTACCAGCTGTTTTTGGCTGGGTCTACTCTGTACATTATTCTTCAATCCGTTTCAACGTAAATGGGTTTTTTTTGTATTCTGCTCCAGTCAACAATACTTTGTCCCCAGAATACATAGTTGACATATTGCCAAATGTATAGTGTAGACCTAACCTTAAAAGTCTTGAGTAGTACGTTGTTAGACTAAGCTTAAATTGTATCATTAAGTATACTTAAATTATTAAGTTCATTAAATTATTAAATGATTATCAGTAGTTTAAGTTTTTTGAAACTTTTATTGATCATATTAATCAATAATAATTTTACATTTTAAAACTCTATTGATAAAATAAATTTGATAAGTTTTGAGTTTATAGAGTATTTAACTTTACGTGTATACTGTTCAGTACACCATTGGTTTTAGTTCAGATTTTTTCACACCGTATTTGGTTAGCCATCCCATACTTTTAAGTACCTGTAAAAAAAGGATACCCTAAAGTTTTCACATTGTGTAAATTATTGTATATTTATTGGACATACCTTATTTTTAGTGAACTCCACGTCTTTCTTCCAGTGTTAGTGTTATTCCAACAACGGTTGCCACATTTTGTCCAGTAGTTCAAAAACGAACAGTAAGCAAGTTGCAGATGTTATGTAATTATCACTGATGAAATTATCTATGTAAACCCTTTGTCTATTCAACTTGAATATTATGCATCTAAAATGCAGCAGTTTTGACAGTGAAACTAATCACATCTTGTTGTTCCAAATCAACTTGTAGAATTAGATAGTTTAATTTAAAAAAAATTATATAATTCAACTGAGTTAGGATAATCCTTGCCTCTTCTTTACTTCTACTACTACTGAAAATTTATTTTCCTGCCACTACATGGAAATTATCTCATTGCCATACCTGTAAACAGTACGCAAAATAGGTAAACAGTATGCAAAATAGCTCATTCCCGCTCTACAGCAGCAATGAGCTATTTTCCGTACTGTTTACAAAAGAAACAACCTAAATTACATTTTATTTGCATTAAAAAAGTTAATCCGTATGTTATTATTAACTAATTATAGTGGTAGAAAAAATGTTGTGTGTATTGTGAGCACAGGCATTGCCACTCTTGAAATGTATGGCCACTGGCCACACTCAACTAAAGCTTTGTGCGACCATTTTCAGTTCTCTAGAAGCAATGACGTACTTTGCGCTCTTAATACAGAAAAATAATCCATTTCCTTAAAAATATTTTAGTATATTCTACAAACTTGCACATCAGGTTGTGTTTTTAATAAACTTTGGTTTGGTAAAACCATTGACTATATATACCTACTGTAGGTATATATAGTCAATGGTAAAACCCAGTTTTGGAACCTAAAAAATTGTCATATCTTCAAAGCTGTATTAAATAAAGGAATCACAAAATACTCTTTTATCTGGACAACATTCAATGTAAATCCAGTAGAACTTTTAACTAAAAAAACTTTTTCCTATTACCAACACATCTTATGGCCGATTTTAATGACCAATATAAAATGTTCTAGATTAATTTATTGGAAAGTAACAATCTTATATTTTAAAAAATATTGAAAATTAAAAAAAAAACTGGAATTAATGTGGCAACCCTGATATCTCTAGTAAGACTTGCGTAAGTTTCATTAGTGAAGTGTTAGATTTAGACTTCTGCCTCGCTTACCTATCGCTTCATCTCTTCGTTTGAGTCCTGAATATATCGTGTTTTCTAAACGTAATTTTCATTTTTGGAAAAAGAAAACAATTGAGTGGCAATTATCTGTTGAAAAAATAGATGTTCTTTATTTATGTTTTTTTTCATTAGATGTATTGCGTTTTATTAGCAATATTAGTGATTTTAATACATTTTAAGAGTTTTAAGTTATCCAAATATATTATATTGCTATGAGAAAAGTAGTTGTCAAAGAAAATGTAATGTGCAGTTTTAATACAAATATGTCTTGTCTATTTTGGTTATTACTGAAAATGTAACTTTAATAGATGAATTTAAGAGAATAAACCCTTGGTAATTTATGTTTGATTTTTTATTACCTTACAGCATTGTGGTTTTATTTTGTAGGCCTACCCGGTCGAGGTTAAAACCGGTTATCTAACCGTGCGTACGCAAACATGTTTACGGTACCTACCTGCAATTGCAAAACGCGTTTTCTATGTATATTTCCGTGTGTGTATATAAACTGTAAATAGTTGACAAACAACGTTTGATGTGATTTTTTAACACAAGAATACTGCTGTAAGTAGCACGAAACATGTCAGCATAAACTACATTTGATACTTTCAAGCAAAAATATTACCTATAGTAAAAAAAGACCTATTTATTTCTCATTTAAATAGCATTGGATTTAACAAGTACTTAGGTTTGCTGCTACGGGGAAGGTAAAAAGTGTTTTGACCAACTGTCAATAGTATTGGTTGAAGTTGAAATAAATAAATTTAAAATTTTCCTACAGTTATATGACAAAGCAGGCTTCCTTGCATTGATTACCCATTATTTTTGTAGTATTTTTTTTAAATATTGCTTTCAAGAAAATAAATACTTTCTGTTTCTTATTATAGCACACAAAGTAGCTAATTGCTAGATCTTGGTACTTTTGCCACACTAATTTTACTAAGACACACTCCAGTATGCCAACCAAACAACACAAGACACTAGACAGTGTGCTTTTATAAGGCACGTAATACATGTACGCTTGAAAATAATTTGGCAACACTTAAAGATACTACGACTTAGGGGCCTGCTTTACAGAAAATTTAAGGTTGTTACGGTACAAGATTTTTCACCTCAGTTCTCGGTACAAAATCAGTATGGCTACCAGTATTTCTGCCGTTTTCTTCTCAGAATTGTATTTAGCCTAAACCCATATTTAAAATGTTAATACATTGACATTACTATAAAAATGGATAGTATCCTACATCCATGGTTTTCTAACAATCACACTAGTAAAACCTTTTCCTCCTTAACAGAATTATGTCAAGAAACACCGTTAAGATAAAGGCTTTACGTACAGATAATTTGCCAAAAGTGAGGTAAAACACATTGAGGTTAGTAAAGACAAATCATTAGGCATTACATTTTTTTTATTTAACACTTATCTCTGTACAAAAAAAGCAAACTAAAATCAATACTCGTTTATTCTCCCGAAGCCAAGCCTGGATTTGAGTTTCTCTCTTTTCAGCCATGAAGGTATTTTACCGTAGATTCTCTCATTGAGATCGTGGTAAACTCTTACAGCGTTGGGATATTTCAATGGAGGCTTAGGCCTTTCAAAAGGATTTCTCTTTTCAAGCTTTCTCATCAAGAACTCCTTAGCAATTTGCTTTGGGTCTCGATAACGGTCCATGTACCTAGAAAAACAAAAAAAGTAAAGCAACCAAAACACACTGTTATATGAATACTGGTCTTGCGGTTCACTTTCTAAACATAACAGATCAAAATTGAAAATGACAAGAAGTTAGGCGTTTTAAGAACAATAGAGTCCTACTATTCGAACCCTGCTCTCCCAAAAATCCGACTTACCAAAACCAAATTTTGAGTTTTTAATGTCAGTTGCAGGGAGGAAAGGAATAAAAAAAAGCATGTTCAATTAAATCAATTGCAAAAGAAAAATGTTGACTCTTGACTTTACTGTGCTTTTCAAGTCTCATTAATATTAATTTGGTTCAAAACCAACCCTTTAAACTCTTAAAAGTCAAATTAAATTGGAAAATGGTAACACAATATTTTTTTACAAGTAATTTTGTGGATTACTCGCTACCAAATTAGATTATTTTTAACTCTACAATTGTGTGATGTTTTTAGATTTGTGATTATTTCCCACGGAAAAACTTACAAGTTGAAGGCCTGTTTGATGGGAAACAGTCGCTGCGGAGTGTAGTAGTGAGGTGCAAAGTCATATTCAAACACAGGCTCGTCCGTGTTCAGCACCGTGTGGAAGAAGTTTGACACAGAATGGTCCCAATCCACCTGCAACATAATGTCAAAAGTTAGTTTCCGTACGGTATTTATCTTGTTAAGAAGCTAGGCCTAGCTGTCACACAGGGGAGCAAGCTGTTCTAGAGGTAGAAACTTCAATCCCTAAGGTTCCGGTTCAAATCCCGCTACTCACCAATAGCTTTTAGCTATAGAAAAACACACAAAAATGTCGCTTCAGCATCCTGTGTCACACTTTTGAACTCTATAGACTATTCAGTGATTAAATTATGCCCACTGTATCTTTTTCATATTAACCCTATCTCTTATGACCAAAATAATCAAACTCTTTGAAGTACTAGGCCTATATTAGAAAAAAATATCAGAATTACATTTTGTGACCTTTATTGTGTAGGCAACTAGACTATAATTTTCTCAGAGAAGTCCGTTCATGATCTTGACAGTTTTCTTGATGGCAACAGTTACTTTTAGATCGAATTAAAAGTGTGGGGAATCGCAGATAAAAAACAAGCAACAACAAATATCAATCGCAATTTACCTGACAGAAGGCGAGGCCAGCGGGTGTAAGGTGGTCTTGGCGAGGTTGGTAGAAGTCGTAAGTGCTGAATATCCGTTTGTCTAAGTTAACTCTGAAATAATTCCACTGGATTAAAACAATGAAATTCAGGACCAGTTGTGAAAGACAAGACAATAACTAGAGGGTAATGCACAGTTAATTAATGTGACTATCTAATTAACTAATTAATGTGACAGTCTGTTCACAAAATTTAGGCGGTTTGAGGGAAAGTTCTACTATTTTTTTGCCTAATGTAAATAAATGTTGCAGTTGATGTTTTGGCAAACCTCAGCTGTTGAGCTATTGTTTCAAAGGTAGGATCAAGTTGACGGAATAGATTTATTCCCCTAAACCGCCTACATTTTGTGAACAGAGTATAGCATTGACTTTTGGATACTGAAGCAGGGATGAGTTTATAAAATGTTATCAAACGGATATTCTGTGTAACTTCAAGTCATCCTTTAAATATTAAAGTTTGCAGTCCTTCAATTCAATTTATACTTCAACACATTGATTGACTTCTCACAACTAAAATCATTTGAAGGTAATCAAAAGATAAATAATTGGTTAGCTATAGTAATAACAGACTTTAAAATCTAAAAGTGTATTAAATTCTAACCTAAGAGTGTATTAAGAACATAACTTTGGGAATTTAACATTTCTTTTATTTACAACAATTGTTTATTACTCACTCATTAGAAGGTATTTTCAACGCAGAATAATCAATTTTCTCAGTCTGTTTGTAGAGGGTGAAAATAAATCGCTGAAAGCCTGTACCCCGAGCTGGGAACGGCTGAATATAGTCAGCGACAACCTCTCCCTTATGAACTGCATTGCCGGGAATGTTTCCTCTAGAAATCAACAAATAGACTAGTAAAATATAAAATTTACTTAATGTATTGCAAACATCTTTGGCTACTATTCTCACCTTAATGGTAAGGCTAAGATGAAGTTTTTATGCTATTAGCATTTTTGTGAATTGACAGCATCATTATTTGATATCCCAATAAGAAATGGAATCTGGATCAAGAATTTACTCTGCTTGGGTTTGAACCAGTGACCTTCAGATTCACTCTAAGGGTATTACAGAAGCCACAATGTACCTTTTTAGCTCATAATAACGTCACATGAGTGTGTTAAGTGAACTAGTGAGCTCTTTTATTCTACTCATATGTTTCTTATGTAATTTAAAGCTTTTGACAAACACCGCCTTGAGGTATCGTTAACATAATCTTAAAACTTTATTAGTTAATTAACTTTCATCCGTTAATTCATACTATCCAGAGGCTATACAGAACAGAAATAATAAAAATGCTTAAAACCTAGGCCCTTTGCCCTTGTAGCTAATGTTACCTCTTTGACTTTACTATTGGAATGAATCTTCCCTTTTTTGCTGACAGAATTTCAGTATCAATACAATCAATTTTATTTAAAAACTTAACTAAAAATTTAATTAATGATAACTTTATTACATAAATCTTTACCAATTGAATATTCCACTCACATGAGCCAATGTAAACACTCAGAGTTTTCCTTGAGCAAGTTTCCGTCTGGATTTGTCACTACCAACGTCCACAATGAATCCGGATCTGACTGGAAACTTATCTCCGGCGCAGACAGAGCCTGCCAAGAATAAACTCACAGATTTACAACATGCCAGATTAAATACCATACCATAGTAATAATATCCAACCATTTCAAGACATATTAACTCTAGAAGTAGGCTTGTAGCCCGACAAAAATAAAATCTTAGATTAAAATGGAAGAAGGAACAATTTTGATATAATCACTGTAACTATCATCTCTCACAACCGAATAGTTTGCTAACAAATATATCGGTGCAGCTTCGATATTATGGATACTGTACTAGAACAGTGAAATAGAGTAACAACAGTCAGGCCAATAACAACTAATGTTACAAAATCAATTAAAAGTTGTTCTAATAAAATATTTTAAGATCAATTAAAAGTTGTTCTAATAAAATATTTTAAGATAAAGTCTCTGAATATCAGACACATACAACTGTTTTTGAAATCTTTCAAGTGAAGTGTTTGGTCTTTGTCTTATAATATTTGAAATGTTTTTACATGTAGGAATGTATCTTCTATGGTCGTTTATAACTCTCTCGTATCTTCCATTAGTTATACACAAAAAACCATTATCCTAAAATTAGAAATTTTTTTAAGTTTATTTGGTTGGCAGGCCTACAAAAATAGTGGTTAGATTATTGCTATTTTATACTATCCCATCTTATCTTTTTTTATTTTTTCATTGTAGAGTAAACCTGCTTTTTTGACCATAACAAATTAATACGGTACAACCCTTATTATTGGAGTTCTTTAAGATTGTTGAAACATACAGATTGATTAGTATAGGCCAACTGTTTTAATGTAGCCTACACATTCCTAACATATAATAAACTGGATAAGCAACCAAAATATCCCACCAAAATATATTAGCTATGGGTAGTTTTGTTTAATGGTAATGCTTTTAGTGTTATGGTTCTAAAATGTATATTTTTTGTGGTAATAAAAGCCACAAATGACTTGCCTACCTGACTAGGCTTCAACAGATTCCCCCTACAGACGGGCAGTAAGCCTTCTTTAACTTTGAATGAAACGTCCAGGCTAACTTGAGGGTAGAAAAAAGCATCGCCAAATAAGTCTTGAAAAACACCATAGTGTTCAGCAGCTGATTTTATTTGGGCTGGTCCACTTTCTTTAGCCCACTCATCGTAAACTTCTCGAAGGTTTACAATAACTGAAAATAAAGAAAGAATAATTAATCATTGAATCCAACAATTTATATATGGCCAAATACACTAATCTGTCACTACTTTATATCAATACAGTTCACCCTTGTACTGTATCGGCTCACCCCTTTGCTTTCCTTATAGGGATATTCTAAAAAAAGGATAACTAGTCTTTAAGAGTCTCTAATCTTTTAGTCCTCTTTAACTTTACTTTAAAATTAAAGAACATTTTTGGATGCAATTTAGTTTTAAGACTATTGTTTATATTTAGATTAACAAAGAGCTACTGAGAAACGAGCTCTCCAAAACTTTGAAAAGTTAAAATTAGGTAGAAACCTTGATCCTTAGACAGCCCTTGTAGAAAAAAAAATAATTCTCAAACATGCTTATTTTTTATGATAGCCTACTAGACAAAGATGATGGTACAGACAATTTAAAATTAGTGTAGGTAATAACCATTGCAAATTGCAAGTTTTATAAAATAATATTCCATTGAATGAATTTAAGAAAACGTTTTTTCTCATTATTCAAAGGGCGTGGATGTGTTAATAGTGCACATAACAACTGCATTAGGCCTAAGCCCTAATAAAATTTATCTTTGTAACAAGGTTTAACTTACGTTCATTTTTCCTAGCTTTTTTCTCCAATTCAATATCTTGCTTGATCTTTTTCAAATAGGCAGTTTTCTCGGATGAGGGAACAACGTGCTGTGAGTCCCGTGGAAAGCCTATGTCCACCTTGTAGTAAACTGATGGATCTTTGTAATTTACGTCTAAAACAAGGATTTAAGAAATGTTACAAGCTCTTTAAAGTTTACAACAGAAACATTAAATATTTTAAACATTTGTTAAACTAGAAATTTAATTCCGATGTTTAAGCTGTTGCCGGTTATAGACTCAGTGCTACAGCATGTTTTGTCTCACACCAACAAACTCAGTAACAAAACCAAAGGAAGAGAATATTTACAGTGTTAGCAAAACGGGAGTGCCGATGGAGAGCAGGTCAAGTCCTTTCAAACGCACGCACCCCCACAGGTCTCCATCGGCACTCCTGTTTGCTAACACTATGTACACAAAGGGAGTGTACACAAAGGGCCACCACACGTCTTCTTCTATTCCATAAACCTGTAAATGTTTCTTTGGAATACATTTGTAATGATAAGTGTGACCACATTCATCACACTCGATCAACCTCTTCTCGTCTTTGTAATAATTTCTGCCGAGCAACTTCAGCCACAATTACGACAAATCCAGTCTCTCTTCATGAGTTTAACTTAAATTCTTTTACCGGTTTGTTTTTGTTAGGGTGCCTGGTCAAAAAATGTGATTTTTAAAAGGTGAGGGACTGCTGAGCCATTTGATTCTGGAGATGATATTTTAGCTAGTTCCCTTCTGTTGTTAAAAGCATTTGGATTGGAAATATGTGGAGTGAAGGTATAATAGAAGTTGATATAGATATCCCAAGAACAAAACAACGAGCGCAGAAACGAAAAGATCACGTGGTTCGCGCCGGTATGTGTGGCGTACCCTTCAAACCTGCGCGGCTCGAAATGGCCCAGGGTTCTTTTGTTTCTCGTATGACTATAGTGCAGTTAATGAAGTGCATCCAAGCTGCACAGTAACAGGATTGTTAGGCCTATCAACCTTTTGTGTTCTTTCGACGGGTTGACGGTGACCAGGTTAGAAGTTGAGTAGCATTTTGGCTCAATGGGTTGAGAAACAACAGTATGTTCCAAAGTGTCAGGCATGTTTCTGATTGATTTTAATTTGAGGTCGCTGATTAAGTTTCTGTGATACTTGGAACATAACATGTAATCTTCTTCGATGCTACATAGATCATGTGCTGTGTCAGCACTTTTAAACAGGTGTAAACTTTTTGTCAGCTACATTTAAGTCCGTCAATGGTTTAGAGTAGATTGACTTATCAAGGAAGGCTATGCAGTTGGCAACTTTAGAGTGTGCTGTCACTTCCTTGGTTAAAAGTAATGTACAATTCTTCTGCTTTATTTTTGGAATAGTGTTGTTGAAGACATTCACTTTAGAATAGTCCACTCTGTTATGATCTAATGGGTAGCCTGTAAGTTAAACCACAACGCCTAAAATTGCGGATAAGGTTCTCCACCACATTTGCACATACCTAGCTCAATTTTTTAACAGTTCGTTTGGCAATTTTGGGATGGTTGTTCAAAAAATGTAGCTCGGTTTTCTATCAGAAAATATGTTCTTACAATCTACACTTAGATTCTTAACATATTGTTCAACAAATGATATTAAATCGTGTTTAGTAACTTAACTGGAAATCCCCGAACTGCTAAGGCGCATGACCCAGTTTTTACAGCATAACCTCAGCTTTAATTCCAAGCACAAGTGGTGGCTAGTGATGCGCTATGGCGAGATGTTACAATCGAAACGTTTCGATTTATTGAACCTCTCGAGATGTTTTGATTGTAATTTTGCTTAGCGAGAGGTTCTTACCCAGAGGTTTTATCGAGATGTTCGTGACAATTGTTTCGTTTCAGCAATCAGCACAGCTTCTCGTATCTCGCATTCGTCTCGTTTAGAGAACCGAGAGGCAAGAAATCCTTGCCGAGAGTCTTTTTAACGAGATGTTCATGGCAATTGTTTCGTTAAGTGCGGCATCGTAATGTATAAACATCTAGGCTAATTTCTATTGTTTCTGCCGGGGATTGACCCCCAATAAAAGCTAGACGTATATCTTACTTCAAAACCAAGGAAGGTTTATGGATTTACTTTATCTACGGAACTTAATACCACCCAATTAAATCTATTGACAAGACGATACATTATTTAAATCGAAATGTTTATAACGATACAGAAGGTTCTCATAAATGTTATGTTAACAACAATATTATTTACTATTACACATTATTTTAAAATAATTTTATATTTCTGATGCCATGACTGAGTAACGAAAGTGCTTATATTCATATGTCAGCAGTAAGTTATATGTTGTGCATAATAGTCTACTAACTATTCTATAAGAATCTAGAAAAAGAACAAACATCCTCGTAACAACTCTCATGAAATGTAGACATATGCAAACAAGACGTTCAGGCTTAACGAAATGCAACAATCAAGAGAAACATCTCGATTGTGCAAACCTCTCGCTAAGCAATCGAAACAATTGATAAGCGGAACATCTCGAGAAGGAACATTTTGATTGTTCATACATCTCGCAACCGCACATAACTAACTTAGTGGTGGCCCCATTCTTCAGTCCAAGGGGGTTGTCCACTTAGCTTATATCAGTGTAGTGCAACTAGGGTATATTAGGCCTCAATTGATAGCCCATAGGCTACAATTTAAGTCAACATAAGCCTACCCATAGTTCTAAGGTGATGAAACTAGCCTATAGTTTATGAACCTTTTCTAGTTTTCATAGATAGGACTATTCTTATGAGCCAAAATTGTAATTACCCTACCTAACAAAGAGCCTGCAATAAGTTAAACTAAGTAGGCTAACTTATTCATTATTTGGTAATCCTACATACCTTGAAGTTTCTGTTGAATTGATTTTCCTTCATGAGGGGGCGTCCCAGTTTGTCTGCGAACTTGACTTCTTGCAAAACTTTTTACATATCTCACAGGTAGTTTTAAAGGGTAGCCTAAATTCAGCAAATTGTTTTTACATATGCATATTAATGTTTCCATCGCTGGAGCAATTAAATAAGCTTACTTACTTAAGTAAATAAGGTAACCAACCACCTTTACTTCTAAACAATTCAATAATTATTAGCCTAATTCATATTCATAATATTCCTAGTTTAGCAAACAACATAACCTCATTTGTTCCGTCGTCCGTCGTACTCGTAAAAAAGTCATAGTTTCTTATTCTTTTTGCCAAAAGGTTGTCAGAGATTTTTTATCTATGAGACTACGATATTCTCTGTGCTTCTACGTTAATAATCACGTTCTTCTGTTTTTAATCCGTTCAGAGAAATAATTGAATAGGCATTTCTTTTAGCACTCTATACTCTTAATATATGCCGGTTAGCAAAACGGCACACGGAAGATTTCTCAGGTGCCGTTTGACCTCACTAATTGCTGACGCCACTTTGAGGGAACACCATTACCGCAACGATGCGGTTTTGAGCCATCGGCCTCGGTGGTGTAGTGGATAGCGAGTCGGGCTGATAATCCGAGTGTACCGGGATCGAATCCAGCTGGTAGCACTAACTTTTTGCCAACATTTTTTTCATATCAGCAAGTTTGGTTGGTTTGGTTAGGTTATGACAGTTTAATTTTATAATTATAAAATTGAATTTTAAGCATTTATAATTTTATTTTATGAACAAAACTATTTTTTAGATTAGTAAACCTTCATTCGATTTTTTCATTATCAGCACGATTGGTTAGGTTATGACAGTTCAATTTAATAATAGAAAAAATATAAAATTAATTGTCTGTTTCTTCAGATGCAGCAGTTGGTGACGTCAAACGGCACCTGAGAAATCTTCCGTGTGCCCCACCGTGCTGGTTAGCTGGTTAACTAACGACCTTCTCACCGCAGTATTTCACCTTCCTTTTTTTGAACTTTTGGAACAGTTACACGGAACTGTTTGGAATAGATTTGTTAAAACCGTTACATTACAAACAAAGAGTTCCATTCCATTTCCTTTTTAGGCGTTCATTTTGTTTTTCGTGGATCTCTGTCTTTAACCTCCATTTTGTCAAGTGATTGGAAACTTTATCTCAAATCGATGGTGTTATTTCAAGTTAAAGAGTTACTGGATCAGTATGTCTGATATTAATACAAAAAAGTTTGAATGTTCATTTTGTGACAAACACTTTTGCTAGTAAATTTAATTTAACGCGCCATACACGTAATGTGCATGATAGTTGTTGTAGTGAACAATCTGACTGTTCAAACAACCCGAAAAGGCTTATTTGCCCAAAGGCCCAGAGCAGAGGGTGATTGCTCTCATCAATTTTCGTGGTTTGAAAACTTGATCCAGCATCTGGAAGAAGCCCATGCCATTGAAATAATAGTTGGGGAGCTGAATTTTGAAACAGAAGAAGGTAAGTTAAATTTATTATAATTATGAACTTCACAATACTGTATCCAAAATATAACTATAAATATAATAGTAAAACTTTTGATTTTAATTTGGATGTGCTTTTTCATTGTGACTCCTGCTCCATCAACAATACCTTATACCTTATAACCTTTCTCATTGTTAGCAAATTTAACAAAACTGTGCAATTTCTTTGAATAGTTTTCCTTAATATGCTATTATATCATTGTCTTTTAAGAATAAGCCGGTTTTCGTGATGTAATGTAAGAATAATTAAATAAACGAAACCAGTTAACTAACTTACAGGTTATGTCCATGTCTATAAAATACTTGTTATTATTATGAGGAGGAGGAAAAAAGGTATATCATAATAATTAAATTTTTATGCAGGAAAAATAATAAAGTTGAAAAGGAACGGAGCTATTTGTAATATAACGGTTTCGCCTAACCTATTCTATACTTTTTGTCACAGTTGTATTGAACATTATCCCAAACAGTTCCGTGTAACTGTTCCAAAGGTTCTAAAAAAAGGGAGGTGAAATACTGCGGTGAGAAGGTCGTGTTAAATATATTTATTTATTATTTAGAATCGTTTATATTTTAATTGTACAGGTTAAGCTGTTGATTGCTTTTTGATGTTGGTGGAAAATTATGTAAATATATGACAGTCTCCCGAGGGGAATTCTTTGTACATCCTATACTCGTTGGTGTTGGTACGTGTCAGGAAGAACTTGGGTGAATTTACTACCAGAAGCTATGTCCACCACCACGCTTCACAATTCTTGTACAATTCAAGTACACGTAGCTGTACCACAAGATATATACCCAGGTAATGCAAAGGTGGCCGTAGTAGTACCAACCAACAAGCGCCCAACGCCGTTTCCCCGCTAAGACATGGAAGTGGTCTAGGTCTAATTATTAGCTGCCGGAGTACAACCAAGACCCCTAGTAAGAAATCTCGTTATCAGTAAATTTTAGAGGACCTTAAAAAACCAAATCATTCAGCCTATTTCTCCATCAAGGAGTTCTTGGGGGATAATTTAGCGAGTAACTGACCCTCACAATACTCCACCCACCAAGTAGTGAGTCACGGCCGCCTTTAAGTGAGTTAACTTATTTTATTTTATGTGCAATATTAAGACGGTAGACATTTTTATTTTGTCCAAGAGCTTTTATATGGTTTTAAATTTTAGAATTAGCTCGGTTAATCCAGTAACCTGATTAAAAACGAAGGTATGGCATAACAGATTTTTTTGTCCTAGGACGCTAGAATCGAGCCCGGAATTGTTTTTCACTTTACTTCAGGCTAGACCATGGGCTAGACCTAGGGGTTGCGGCATTATCACTTTAGAAAATCACTTCAGAATATGTTCAGAAAATCCTTGACCCTGACCAGTGACCTTTTTGTTTGTTGGTGTCATTAGTTTATAGCCCTGTGAAAAATTACATACAATTTTGAAGACAATAGTGTAAAACATTCAAGGAAGTTAGTTCAAAAATAATTACTATACAAATATACAATGTAATATGATCGAGGAAATCGTATGTTAGATTTTAAGGTATTTTGTGTTGGTCATCCTGCAACAGTAAGAGTAAGTTTAAACTCAAATCAAACCCAAACGTCAAATCAAATCATTGAATTCGGATTCGGAATAGGCTACAGTAATCTAAATTTCTACTTATGAAAGAAAACGCCAAGTCAAGTCGCCAAATCAAATCAATTATGGAATTATTGTTCCCATTAAACCTATCATTATTGTCAAAAATTCCCTGATTGTAAGGAAGCTTAGTGGTGGTGATTTATCAATTATTGTTTGAACAAGGCTTTTATTGATCTCCAAACGTTGACGCTTCTAGTAAACGTAAACAAGACCTTTACTGTTTTGTTGAGTTGAACAGTTGAACATTGATAGTTTAGTTTAGGTTTTGGATTAGACAACCTAGTTTTTCTGTTGTCGATGATTGGCAAGAATAAGGTTAGTATGGCAGTGTACATTTTGTAATTTATAGTATTTTAAATTGTCACGTTCAGCTAAGGAGACTCACCAATAAATAGGTACATTGAAGATCTAGGCCTATGCCACGTTTATTGTAAGGTTGAAACTTTGATACCGTACTCCATCGAAATATCGAACAATAAATAATTTGATCGATAACCGAACTTAAACCAACCAAAACATAAGTAAACTATCTACAGTATATTTTTAAATATCGATTATAAGTTAGTTACGGTAAATATGAATAACTTTCACCTAAGATCATGAATGAGTCACAAGTTCATTGTTTACTTAATTTGCCTTGATGGTTATGTTGAGTTAAGGCATGCATAAACCCGATTCGGCTTTGATGTTGATTTCATTTCAGCTGTTGGCTGGATAGCTGAGTCGTTAAAGTTAACTTATATTGCTCACCTTATAATCAAAAGGTTGCCGGATTGATCCTCAGAAAGTCAGTAACTTTTTGCTTGTTGGAAACTGGACCCAGCTGGTCCTGATCATTGGGCTTTAAATAAATAATAACTTATTTAAGCTGTGTTTACTCTGGAGTTAGGAACACGTGATAAGTTCATGTTGTTTCTTGCCTCAGGATTACTGTTGTTAGATTAAAAAAGGTAGGCTATAATGTTACCTGGCTCTGCCCAAGGCCCCACTAGAAAAACAGGCCATGCTACAGGATCTATGACGTCACACTAGTGGATAGATTCTCATTGATAAATGCATTGCCATTGCCATTCCCATATGTTTTAGGTAAATAAGCAAGCTTGATGTTTGTAACATTTTAATGGTAAGAGTTTAGTACAGTACAACTATCCACCACTGTGACGTAAGTTAGTGTTGCGGCTGCCCGTGCTGCAGCATGGCCTGTTTTTCTAGTGGGGCCTTGATCTGCCAGAGTAATCCAATGGTCTTGTTGAATATGCGTTTCGAAACACTATTGGCTTCATCATCAGGTCTTCAAGAACATTATTTCATTCATCAGAGGTCGTCAAATAAATGTAAATTTTACAAAAATACATTCAAACGGAAAAATAGTAGGCCTACGAACCCCCTGCGCACACTTAGACAGGTTTGTCACAATGTCAACTGGTGTGTTGGTGTGTAACATAATTTTTTTATAATAGAAACAGTTTTTTTTGGAAATTAAAATCTATTTTTAGTCTTAATCAGATGTGTGTTGCTACAAATAATTTTAATGTTAATTTACAGATGGCAAAAAAAAGACGCTTGTTGGGAACCCCGAGTCCTAGTTCTTCTAAAGCTAGATTTGATAGTCGCAGCAGTGGTGGTAAGATTAGTTTGTTGTTAAAAATGCAATCGATCTACTTGTACATATTTACACTCACGTACTGTAAACATTTAAAAGACTGTTTATACAGGATGTGCCACGAAGGGGTTGCTATTTTTAATTCCAGGCCTCTGGCCAATACCAGACACATAAAAAACACTATAAACTTAAAAATCTACATTAAAACACATGACCAATAAGAACAAAATGGCAGGACATAAAAATAAAGCAAAATTAGGCCTAGCTAAAAAGGTTTGCGCATAGGCCCCCGTCTACAATTTCTGTACAGCAATTTAAAAGAAGGGTTATATGAAATAAATTAATTTTATTTATGATTTACCACCTTAATCACTTTAATTACTTATTTTATTTACTCAAGTTAAATTGTAAAAAAATCAAGAATTAAATTTAGTCATTTTGCAATTAAAATTACTCTAATGAAAAAGCGGCATTATTTTTATGTACCTCCATTTTTTTATGATTGATTGAAAAATTTTGTTTAGTTTGTGTAACAAAATGTTTTATTTGCTTCATGAGATGATAGGTTTAAGCATGGTGTTTATATTTGTGTCCTGGCTCCTGACGTCTATTGTAATTTTATGTTGCTGAATGACAATAAAGATTATTATTATTGTCAATCAAGTGTTGGACAGTTTTTTCATTACTGTTTCTTGCATTTGTAAAGTTTCAACTTAGTCGCAAGTTTGGCGGGTCTACTCCCCAAATAAAAAGCAACCTCCTCATAGGACACTTTATAGGCTATATATAATATGTTACCCTGGCAATTGATTTTGACCATATAAGACTGGTCATCATCAGGCCCATTTGTAGACTTAGAGTCCAAAAATAAGAACCATTCTGAATGGCATCAGTAGAAACTAATACAGGATTATTTTGAAGATGACGTGACAGTAGCAAGAGCTCATTTGAAGGAAACACTCCATGACATCCTTCATGCTGACGATGACTCCAGCTCAAGCCAAGATGATAATACTGCAAAAGCTCAAGCTGTGCCTATCAAAAAGTAAGATTGCAAATGCATTAACTTTAATTAATTTTGTATAGCCTGGCTTCCTCAGAGTTAAGAATATTCTAGTTTTTTCGTGTGTTTACAGTGATTTAGTTGTAGTCTATTAGAATGAGTGGAAACGTCGTTCACTGTATGCTGCTTTTGAAAATAATGTATTCTGTACCTCCAATAACCTACCTAGGAAAGCGAGCTGGCCTAGTAGAGCTCCTGGCTTCAGATCCCGCCAAATCATCAATGGATTTTATGTAACTGATAATGCACCAACCCCTAGATCCGGCCTGATGTAATGTAAAAAAAAATCCTGGGGTAGATCCCAGAGTTCTAGAGAAAGAATAACCTACCTAAGTCATGAAAAGCCTTTATTCGTTTTTAAATTTAGATATTTTTTATGACAAACAACTCTTCTAAGTAGCTTGAATGAAGTTTGCTGGAACATTGTACATAAGTACATTTCTTTCTTAAATATAGGTTTTACCATTGACTTTTGAATACGGTAGATATCAATTCTTTATGGACCAGTGTTGCCAATTTCTTTTTACAGTTGATTGAGCTAGTCACAAAATTATCGAGTGTCTACAATGCTGTTCTTCTACCTTTTTTTTCCTTATTGAAATAGTAGACGTAACATAAAATGTGATGTAGCTTACGATAAGTCCTCTCATATGTTCAACTTGGTTAGAAATTTCACATATTTGACAGAAATGAGTGATTTACATCGACGCTGTCGGTGGTTCAATTCAGCTAAGTCCATTTTGATTAAAATCTAGCAACAACTTTAACATGAAGATGGATTGACCAGTGCTATCACTGCTCAAAGGTTTCACATTAAAAGGGTCTGATGGAAATGTTTACAGCTATTGTAGGTTAATGCAACCGGAGACCGGGGAACCTTGGGCCAGTTTTATATATTTGCTATTATAATTTATTAATGACTTAACTAAATGCAAAACTAATATTTTTATAGTAAAGTACCATATTTCATTGATCTTAAAAATTTTTTTCTGATTTTTTTTATGAAAAATAAAATTTGTAGTAATTTTTTTTCAAACCATTTACATAATGGCCCACTCTACCCCACAATGGGGTAGGGTGGGCCATGAATAAATATTATGCCTTAATGTTGAGAAAAATCATTATTATTCAAAATACAAAGTTGAAAACCTATGAACATAATTTAACAAACATTAACAACCCTTTGGAATTGAAAATCTTTTAAAATTAGAAGTCCTTTGGTATAAAAAAAAATCTTTAAAAATAATAAGACGATTGTTTCAAAATTTCAGAACAAACAATTTCCGTAACATTGAAGATCAATAGAAAAGCTCAATTGAGTTAAGGTCCTTTCTGTGCCTCCATGTGGTATTGGTTTTGGAAGTTTCCGTTCTATGTCCTGTTCAAGAGCTATAGGCCCAATGTGCCCCGCCAAAGATGGCCCACTGTGCCCCTAATGTTGGTTTTTAGGTTAGATTTAATTACCACCAAACTAAGATGAATACACAAAAGAAAGAAAGTGGAATGACTTGGTAAGGTATAAAACTAAATATCTATGTTAATTTTCATTTTTAATATATACACTAACTTGCCAAAATAAGTTATCTTAACACTACCTGTTTCAGCAATCAGACTACCAAAAACAAACATGTGCTTCTAACTTCCCTCCAAATAGTTGTAGACTCTAGATTTTTCTCCTCAGTGTGACCAACCTAGAGACCTTTCAAAAGAAAATTTACCTGATTTATTGGAAGTAGTTCAGTATAATATATTAACTATGGCCCACTGTGCCCCGTGGCCCACTGTGCCCCAGTTTCCCCTATACTATACAAATTGAATGGGAGGGTCTTATTGTGACTATTTTAATACAGTCTATTCAATTATTGGCTTGGTTTTCGTGTTTGTTAACGGATTAAAATTTTTTACACAAAGTAGTTAAAACTATGTAGTACCATTGACTATTGGATACAGTTGTTGTATTAATAGTCAAAGGTAGTACATATTTTTGTATCCCTGAAATTCTCCACTTACAACATGGTTAACATGTCGAAGAACTTAGGATAAATCTAAAAATTACTAGGTTAACAATGATCCGGATTAGTAGTGGAAGGTAGTGAAATCATTCATGGGTTCTTAGTAGGCTATTTAGAGACCAAATAAATATTTTATAACTGACTAAAGTGGAGTACAAAATTTCTTTCACTAAAAATACTGAGTCCAGTCATGTTTTGACCTGGTTTTATGTAAAATGTATTTAATAGGCCTAATTTGCTAAATTTCTAGAAGTTCTAAGACATCTCACTGGACCCTATCAAGTCTTCATAACCTATTGAATATACTCCTGTAAAAGTTTTCATAATTCAACAAAAGCCTTCAGAGATACACAGCCTAGTCTGATCAATCTGAAGGACTGTTTCACATTTTTCCTCTAATTTGTACCCTATCTCTAAATAGGTCGTCATTCTTCAAGAAACAGTACTGACAGCTCTACATAAATTATAATTCTTTTCTTGTTTCAGAGAACCAAAGCCACTGGTTCGTCGTAGAAAGCGCAAGTCCGGTGCGGATGTGGAGTTGGCCTTCCATCACCACACGTTCGTCATGAAGCTGTTTGATCGCAGCGTGGACCTCGCACAGTTCAAGGAGGACACTCCTCTGTATCCCATCTGTCGAGCGTGGATTAGAAACCAGCCACGAATACCACTTCCTATTCCCACGATGTAAGTTGAGCGATGTAATATAAGAGGTCCTTAGTCTACTTGGTGTTTTTTGGCCGAGCTGTTTGCGTCTCAGATTTGTGTGAGAGGGGGGCAGGTAAAGTCTCCGGCTTATTCATAAAAATTTAATGGGTTAGGACAGCTTTTTGTTTAAAAAAAAGAAAAAAATCTCTTAAAAAGTGTTTTCAGTTCCTTAATTGAAAATGGAACCAGCGTGAACTCTGACTGAAACCAATCAAACTGCAAGTTTATTGGTTCTTTGTTGGTCTTTATTGGTTTTTTGTACCTTTCTTGTAAGGGAACAGTCCAAACTGTTTGAACATTTCGATGCACTGTTAAGGCTGTTGTACTAGACTCCGTTAAAAAAATGCAGACAGTTTGAGGTGAAACGATTTCATCCCCTCCATCTCACCCTAACTTTGTAACAACAGCCGACAGCAGATATACATTAAGCTAAAATCGTAGTGAGAGAACCCAGGAAATCTTCCTTACACTGCCTAAATTTTGTGAATGGACAAATTACAAAATCAATAAATCTACAGCAACTGACCAATACTAAGTGTCTTATTACGTGCGGCCCCTCAAGTTGCTCGCCACCGTGACTGCTCAGTCACTTGGGGTGGCCTCAGGTTAGGGGTAGTGACAAGTGTGATGACCGAATTTATATAGAATTTATATTGTATGTAGCTTCTCAGTGTGAATGATGAAGTAGTCAAGTAAAGAAGAACTATATCTTCTACTTTTATCGAAGCGTCGTAACGTAGGCGAAACAAAAGTATTGGATTTGAAGTATATCCGTTGCAGAAAAAAAGACCTTCAAAAGGAGTATTTTTCATAGATCTCAGAGAGGATGACAAGACTTTTTTTATATTTGGATGTCAAAACGACCTAATGTATCCCACAAGAATATGAATATAAGCTCGGGCTGGCCACCAGTAGCGAGGGTGCGCGACTGTGGCAGTGATTGTCGTATGCCTCGGCACCGCGTGGATTAATAAGCTCCATGATATAACATGGCCCGCTAAAAGTGACCTTTGGGCAGTCGTGTTGGCGAGCCATTCTAGTGGCCGTGGCCGCACATCATAAGTCTCTAAAAACCCCTTATATGGCCCAACTTTACTGGCAACTTTGTCTTGTCAGTGCTTGCCTATAATTAGACGGTTATTGTTTTTTTGGTGTTTGAAATCTAAACCCAGCTTTCATTAGGCCTAATAGGTTTTAACGAACCTTGGGTAAAGACACATCTGGTCATTCTAACTACTATAACTGACTCACCCCACTCACGAATTCCATACATTTATCATAAATGGTGATTTACTATAACACAAGTATGCTAGCGATGCAGTCAAGACTTACTTGCTAGTTGTGACCATAAACCAAGTTTAGCTTACTAAGCCAGAATATGCATGAGCAAGGAAAACCGAATAACTGGATCCTGTGCAAGTGTAGAATTAAACTCAAATATTTCACCTGTTAGATACTGGTTTGTATTCCTGTCAAGTCATCAAACTTTGCAAATGTTAAAATTCTTTTTGTTTGTTACTTCTCACTGATTTAAAATGTACCTCTTTAACTGACTAACTCAGATTTTGCATCGGCTGCTTTAGACTCTTAAACTCTCTTAACTTTTGTTTAGCTATGGATTATCCTTGCTTACTAAAAAAAAAACAACAACAATTTCTCTATCAAAAATTATTTGAATCTCATAAACTGACAAACTGTAAAAAATTGTTACAATAAGTCATTCAATGTGATTGGTTCAACCAGAGAGAGTACAGAGATCAAGAGGGAGGAGGAGTTTAACAATTATCAACTGGAGCTGCAGGGACTGAGAGATGTGCACAAGTTCCCCGCCCCGTCGTGCCCCGCCTGGCTGGACAGAATACCTACTGTCAACATACCACCTCTCCAAGGAGTCAACCTTGACTATGTAAGTGTTTATTTATTTGTCTAACAGACAAGTTCCATTAAATCAGCACTTCATATGGCATGCCAGATTTATTGTGAAACCCATGAAGAATGTTTACTTTAGTTCCACTGTTGCCTACGCTGGTGATGTTTGCGATACACTGTGAGCAACATTGGGAGGAGAACTACAGTTGCACACTAGCCTTTGCAATTTTTCCCTAACACTAAAACTTGTGAAGCATTAGCCTCATAACTTGTTATTGAGAACCATAACCAAGGTTTTTTTTTATAAAAAAAAGTAGTTTGGTTTTATGGTGTTGTAAATGTTGGATTTGGGCCCATATTTGAGAAATACAAGAAATATGTACTGTTAACTCTTCACAGTTTTAATTTTGACTCTTTTCCCCAATAACCTGGTGTTTCTCAAGCACTCTTTCAGTTCAAATTACGCTGAATTTGTCAGTAGCTTTTTGAGCTTTGTAGCTGTCTTTGATTGAAGGATGAATGGTCCTGGCTTACGATGCAGCTGATTTTTGTAAGATCGCTATTATGGTTTTTATTTAGGAATGTAAATTTGTTTATCACTGTAATATATGTACAAGTTAAGTGTATGAGATGGCCATGTGACCCTAAAGGCAGGATTTCCTAGCTGCCGTATAGCTCTTTTTTGGGGCATAATCTCTTCACACTATAGGGTCAGGTCCAAGTTTTCCTAGCTGCCGAATTTGGCAGGGGCTGTACCATGCAAAACGCAGGCATTAAAACGCTCGTACACAACGTTCACAATTCCGCTGCCATATTCAGCAGCTGGGAAGACCCGCATTAACCCTGCCTGTTGAAACAAAGGCATTCATTCAAATACATTTTTCAATTTTAAACTTCCATCCATCTTCGATTTAGCAACCTAGGGTCTCAACACAATTTTAATGAAAATAACCGACCCAAACATAACAAGTTTCAATACATGTTACAACAACAATACATACAAGTTACAATACTAGTAAAAACTAGTATTGATTACAGTCAAGTTCATCCATACATTTAATTGAAAATGTTCTTGGTATGAGGAGATATGACATAGATATAATTTGTATTATTGGTTATGTTTGTACAATTTATAATTTACAGAGTTCAGATGATCTTCCAACTGCTGAAGAGTTATTGAAAGGGCATCTGTCAAGGTGGGGTAACGTCCGTAAAAAATGGATAGAAGCCGCTCAACTCAATGAGGCCAGGTTTGCAACAAGTGCAAAAATACTTTCAAATATGTTCAAAAGGTAAGGTACAATGTTCACGCCTAGTTATCTTAGAAAATGTTAAATTTGATAATTGTGTAAAATTTACTATGGTTGAGTATTTTTAGGTAGTTTAAACGATCACAAAATATTGTGTAGACCAACAAATGTGTATACAGCTGTTAGAATTTTCTTTAAACATCTTTTTTTTAATAAAACTTGAAGTCTGATACAAATCAATATCTAGACCATTAAAAATTGCATTTTTTTAACAAACTTGTATAAACTTCTTGTGTAACAGCTTTTGTTTAACAAGCTGTGTCATGCTTTTTCTATTTTATTTCTTCAAGGGCTGGCAGAGCCATTGGCTTACTTACTTGTTTATGATGTATTTTGCAAGTAGCTAGAATATATTGAAAGAAAATCTTAATTGTTCACAGAAACATAAGACTCTTCTTCACTTGTGTCTGTAAAACGAACAGTAAAATGTTTAGACAACCTGTGGAAACAAACTACTCAAGTTTATTATTTCAAATTGATCTGTTCAAAATCTTCACATACAATCATTATCAATATTTTCTTGTTACAGATCTCAGAATCTATAAGGAAAATACGGAAAACTTCCAGAAGATGATTAGTGATTTAGCATGATTTGTATGATGAGTGTTTTACTGGAAACTTACAATGTTTATATATCTATGATTAAAATGTGTTCAAAATGTTGAGATTGAATACCTAGCAGATGAAAAACCCATAAAAAGTGTAAAGCCAGTTTTAAATCAATTGTTAAAATTGTATACAATTTATAAATCTTAATAAATATTTTACCGTTTCCCATTTAACTTAGGACATTTTTATAGAGTTAATGTAATGCTGTGCTGAATCAAGCTAAAAACAATACTTGAATACCAGCAATCTCCAACAAATAGCAAACCCCATTAGAGGTGTGAAAACATACTAGGCTAACTTATGGAGTATACAATTACTTTTAAAACTCTTTGTAGGTTTACCAGGAGTTTAAAACAAATTGTTTCATAACAATAAGAATTTATTCTCTGTAGTAAATCTATTGTACATTTTGCTGGCTCTACATTGCATCAAACAAATACAAAGTGAATTCATTTTATTACATCCCAGTCGGTCGATTTGTTCAGGTGTTTCAAATAATCGACGATCCTCAAAGATTTCTTAGCATATTTTTCGTTCCTCTCAGCGATTGAGTTTATGACTGCAGGGACATGTTGCTGTTTTAGGTGTTCTTTCAGTAGCTTTGACTGCTCCTAAAATGAAATATTAGTTTTATTATTAATCAAATAATAAATATAAAAACAAATATAACATATTTTTTTATTTAAATTAACAATTTTTTGTGTAAATATGATTTGTTTTGCAATAATATTATATATTTAAAAATTTGGTTTTTCTTTTCCGAGTTCGTTTGGCTCTTCTACCCGACCGATTTTCATGATTGAGGATCAAATTGAAGGTATGCACACACAGATTTCACATCATGCATTGGCATATATTTATGTACTGTATTACTAGACCAAAAAACATAAATCTGATTTATTTTTGAATTCTTACTTCAATTTATGATGTACCAGTACCTATTTCATTAGTTATAACTAAATAATCCTATAGGCTATATAGTTTGATCAATTTACATCCATAAGCAAGCAAATTACAAAAGTTTTCTTTTTCTCTATTAATATGGGAATCGTTTGCACAAAGTTACTGGATATAAAAATCTATCACATATTCAGTAATCTGCTTTTTCCTCAGGGGGATGGCCTTTAGGAGTCAGAAGAAAATCTAAAAGGTAAACATAGGTTGATATGCACATCAAATCAAAGGTCTTTGTTATGAAAATATTATATAATGTGGAAAAATATAATATGCGGCATTGTATTCTACTAGTAACTTAAAGGCATTTCATTTTATGTGCATGTCAACCTATGCTTACACTTAAAATTTTCTTTGACTCCTAGCAGGCTAGCAGGTCGTCCCCCTGAGGAAGTAAGCGAATCACTGAATATGTGATAAAATAGATTTTTATGCCCAGAAACTTTATGCAAAGTTTTGTAGCTCTATTTTAAATACCGGTATTTCAAAAAATATTTAACCGACCCGAGAGACACCCTGATATTGTATGTAGGCTAGGCCTACCTAACTATGTTAATATATAAGTATAAAAATTTGAACGGATAAGTACTGTTTTAGCCTCTGGGGACACCAAAGTGAAAAAGTAAATCAGTCCCGGGCTCAGGTTTTACTGTGCCACCCACGGTAATAACTCCTTCCATATGGGAAAATTCGCTAAAAATAGTAAAAAAAAGAATAGTAAATCAACTAATAAAATAAGCTCAGTGGGATTTCACTGAGGTTTTTGTAACCAGTCGCTGGTAATATCTTGCAGTACTTTATGGGGATGTAACGTGGTATAGGTAATCAAGAAAAAATAGGCTAAACGTTAGTTTCCTATGTCCTACCATGAAGAAGATTGGGAGTGTTAGGTAACCTTTCTCAAACAAAAAATTTGCTCAAACATACCAAGGTAAGGAACGGATGTCTTAGATACAACATATTCTGCTCCTCTAGTCTGTAGTCGTTCCGCAGGTCATTCATTGCTAATGGTGTTACTTTTTTCACCATTCTGGTTTTCCTGTAACAAAAAACAATTTTAGTAACTTAAGATACCGGTATTCAAACGTGTATAGCCTATTTTAACAACATTTATTAATATTTGGCAATTATAGCGACATTGTGATTATTTAATGAGCAAACATTGTGTCTACATTGCTTTAATTTAAATACCATTAGGCTACATTTTCCATCCTGAAATAATTCCAAGACTAAGTTAGCAAACCTTGCACAGCGAATTGTACGGGCTAGGGCTTTTAACAATATTTTTGGTAGGTAAGGTAGGCCTAAAGGTGGGGATAATGGAAGGCCTAATTGAGTTCCCAGTTTACCACCCAACTGTCTTGTTTTTTTAGTGAAATACAGTAAACTTAAACAAATCTCTTTTGATTAGGGTTTTAATCGATGTTAACCTGCCAGCTTGCTTCAATAATCACCTGTTTCAAATATTAGTGTAAATTTATTTTATGTACCGGTAGGCCTATTCCATCTGTTAAAATGTAGGGGCCTAGACAAAGATTATCTCCATAAGGATACCATGGGATCTTAGGCCACTTGGGCAGAGCCCTGATGGAATTTTTAATATTTTGTTTGGTGACAAATCAATGAGCCACGACCTAACCAAACATAGGTCACACCTTGTACATGGTGATCAATAACTTTATCAAAACAACATGGCAAGAGGGGGTTTTATTTAGGTTCCTTGTGGAAACTGTCTATCTGCAAGTAGGCCTAGGTCTAACTTAACACTTTAAATGTGCGAAGTTAAGTATATAAACATGCCTTTATGTCTTAACTATTTACGCTGATCAAAATTGAAATTAATAGAAGTTTAGACAAGTCCATTAAGCCTAGCTTACCCTCTGAACCGAGCACCAGGTATTTTGAATCCTCTGAACAGAATATCTGACAGCCTCATTTTACAATGATATTATTTCTAAATAGCCTAAACAATAACGGTTGACGACCGCAACACTAATTGAATGAATGTTCGTTAACGAAACTCTCGACTCGATTGATTAATCCATCTTTATTTTCTTTATTATTATTAAAAACAAGGTTAGGAACAAAAATGTGTCCTAGGCCTAAGAGGCTTTAGGCTTTCATTCTAAATCCAATCCAATCCAAGTTCATTCAAGTTCCAAGTTCCATCCACCTGATAAAAAAACTGTTTCTGAATTTACCAAGCCAAAAACCTAGCCATGTAACTCTGAATTCTTACCCTTGACTACGAATTACGTTTTATGAGACTACATTTTTGTTTTTTATTTTGTCTAGTCATGGCCACCTTTAAGGGATTTGTGGTAGTAGCATTTGTTAACGTGTTTATGTAATAGATAGATGTGGTGATGTGAACATTATCACCTGATAATCTTTATTATGTCCTTTAGCCATTGCACTAAAACACGCTCAAAGCAGTTCTCCTCAAGCAGCCTCCTATAATATCAATTTGAAGCCTGTTGAGTGTTGAACATCTTCAACGCCAAGTCCGGGAAGTGCTTTGATTGTCTATGGTTTTATTTATAACACTGCCTTTAAAACCAATTTCAACCCTTTTTTTTACTTCAGGAGACAATTTTACCTATATTTCATAACCGACAGCCTTGATTAAGAGGATATCTGGACAGCATTGCATTAAGAGGGACGGGGCGTTATAGTTGCGTTATGCATAGTCACATGACATGGGAGTTGATGGGGGGGTTTAACAATTATTACGAAAACCATGTTACGTAATATTCGAACAATCCCTAATGGGATTAGGAGCTATGATACCAACCAAGACACCAGCTGTTCTTTAGAAATATAAAAAAGACACAACAAAAAAAGATAAAACCAAACAGCTGATTTGAGGTACACGACAAACGACGACGTATGAACAGCTCAGTGCGTATGAATGGACTAAACAAACAAGCAAAGTGTCAAATTTCCATTCCAACCTCCTCAGCTAGCTGGTGGTATCAGCCAAACTTATGGACGGGGACGGATGTACCGTTATCTGAAAGTGTTACGCGGGTTCACTAACCTACTTACCTGTTGATCCTCATTCTGTAGGGGCCGGCCTAGCAACAGGAATCAGTACATTTTATTGTTTTCTAGATATTTTCTGTAGTATCTAAGATGGCTAAGAAAAGTATGCTTCTAACCTATTTGTTGTGGCTAGTTGGTGGTGTTTTTGGTTTACATCATTTTTATTTGGGAAGAGATATTCAAGCTTTTCTTTGGTGGTGTACATTAGGAGGTTATTTCGGTTTTGGATGGCTGAGAGACATTTTTTACATCCCATCTTATGTTGCAGCCGCAAATCAAGAACCAGAATTTGTAAACAAGTTTGTTTCTTCATTAAAATCGAATCCCAAGGTAGGTGTGTTTTAAAATTTAACTATTAAGCCTAGGATTTGTGAGATAATTTTTTTATGAGTGTTTTGAGGCATGCCGCTTTAACATAAATTCTACATACCGGTACTATGGTTGCCAGTTGTTGTAGCCTAGCGTGCTGAGAATGTTTCCTCAACAGGATAACTTTTTGGAGACGAGTGACTTAATAAGCCCTACTCCTCGTCCCTGGCTTTCAGTGTTTACGTCAAATGTATTTTGATACCTGCTGCAAGAAAGCCATAAGTTAATAATGGTTTGTGGCCTAAGTTAGGCTGAAAAATCTTGGCTAGGCCTTACACCTTACTATCTAACTTACACATTTCTATCTCTACTAAAACAAATCATCTTGGGACAATAGACAATTCGCTAAAGGACATAATAAAGATTATCAGGTGATAATATTCACATCACCATATCTATCTATTACATAAACACGTTAACAAATGCTACTACCACAAATCCACCATTATAAACTGCCATAGATAACAAATTCTTGCCCAATACGATAAGTAAACAGTGTTGGCAACATGCGTTTGTGAAAATTCCTGTGGGCCTGTCAGACTGTGGTTTCGGTAAAAGTGTTAAAGTGGGGAATGATTGCCCTTCACAAGGGTGGGTCAGCTCGACTCAACAACTTAGACAAATCTGTGCAATTTTTATGAAGAAATGGCTTTGTGTTTCTGCCTCTTTGTTTTTATTTATGCATAAATATAGGTAGTATTTTATTTAGTCCTAAAAGAATTAATACAATCCATTTGCTACTGATATATTTTATGACATATTGTAAGTTATCTAGAAATACTTTTTTAAACAAGGATCTATAACTTACTTAACAATAGCCTACAACAAATTTAAGAATATTCTATCTTGATAAACGTGTAAGCCTAGGCCTAGGTAGGCTAAGTTTCAGTATAGTACCTATCTGTAGTTGTTGCAAAACTGTAGCTGTGTAAATATTAATAGTTGTCTATAGTTTTGTCGATTAATTAGAATCATGGTTAAAGCTGCAGCTGCTTTCTATAAAATGACCTCTGCAAATCTAGCCTAAGTTAATATTGATCAATTAACTTACTTAGCTTCACAGATAACTGTGGACCTGCATGAATTCAGTTTTAGTCCTAGAATCTAGTTAAATTTTTAGCGCTAAAATATCATGTTGTAATGTAACTGAATTTTTCCTCGTCCTTTTTCAGCCTCCGTTTTCCTCATTTCGATTCTGCGGAATGGTAATGATGGGCTACTTCTGGGGATCTGTCATCGGCATGTCTATACCAGAAGATGATGTTGTTGGTTATAGTCTGAAGTGGTTAGAAATCTTTACTCCATTGGCTATTGCTCTTGGTAAGTAAGTCTATAAAAGTAAGCTTAGTTTTGTTTTTGTAGGAACTAATTCCCCCTCTCTCAAAAACTTGTTCACTTTTCCAATGAACTGGTTGAAACACTAATGTTACAAAAGGATAATTGAAACTTTTAAACCACTGAAAGGCAGATTCCAATCAGGCTCCACAGTTACTTATAGACAGTTTGTGATAAATTAGGCGGAAAACAAAAAGCTGAATATGATGTTTTTACTCCAAACTATCGTTTATCTACTGGGGGGGGGGGGGGGGGGGGTGGTCATTCATTGGGTGCTCTCATCCTAGTGAATCAAGTCTGAGATGATTTCTGCTTATCAGTGTTTCTTTAGTTGAGGGTTTGAGTGCTGGTACCCACCCACTCACTGGTTTGGGTTGGTGATGGTAGTGAGCACGTTTCTGCAATTATGTACTAATTGTCATTGGGCTATCAAATTGCTAAATACTAGGTAACAAAAGATTGCCTTTTGGTAGTAACAAGACCAGTGTTTAGACTGTTCGCTTACGAAAATAAATATAAATATGGCGTGGATGGACATGAAATAAAAAGTACTAGCATAAATATTGAAAAGGACGATTGTACTTACCGGTACAGTATAATAAATCTAATGAAAATTACTTGTTAAGGTCCCTAAAATCTGTAATTTTTTGGGGGTTTTTTAAACCCGATTTTTATTTGGCAAGTACTGTAAACACCATGAAATAACAACAAATTAATGAAGAATAATGTTGGTAACTCTGTAACAGGAGTGTGGGCGGTTGGCAACATTGGTAACGAGGAGGGTTCTGTGTGGTGGCCGCTGGCAGCTGCTTACGCACTCTACCCCCTCTACTGGCAAAACAACACTGATCTCTCGTTCACCACGATGGTCATCATGTCAGCCTTCGCGTTTGACGTCAAAGCCAAAAAGTGGAGAAGAAGAGTAAAGGCACCAAAGAGTTTACCAAAGTAGGTACAATTGTTGTAGCTTTATGGAAAGCCATAAAGGTTGACAAATTCAACTAGTACCAATCTTTTTTTGATTGATGGTTTGCCGAGTGTGCTGTTTTTTTTTTCATTCTTTGCATGGTAAGTTTTGGGTCACATTAAGTATGTATTTCCTTTTCTATTATATGATGTTGAAGGAATTGTTTTATTCATAAATCTTAATGTATATTTTATAATGTACTAGAATTTGACGTTTTCCAATGACTTGTGTATTGTAAGTTCCAAAGGAAATAAATTGGTCTTATGTCTAAAATATAGGTCTACCTTTTAATTGTTGTAATTCAGTATATTCGGATCTCATTAAAATTGAAAATAAATTCAGCCATGTCATTCAGCCATTGGCCATTGTTCATTTCAGCCATTTTGGTTTCAGTCATGTGTTTTAATCATTGGACGAGTTTTTGATGCATAAAATTAAATTGCTGGTTATTTTAAATCTAATTTTGCCCTATTTAAAAATTAATTTTCTTGCTTTTTTCCAGCAGAAATTATGTACTGTAATTTAGATTTGGTAATGTTTTTTTTTTACATTTATATTGCAGGTGTAAAAACAGATATCAGTTGTTACCATTATATAGGGTGTCCCTAAACCCTCTACCGACCTTTTAGGGCATGATTTCTGGACCATACACAAACCAAAATATCATATTACAAATTTCCAAAACTTGACAGTCATTTGTTTTTTAACACGTTGACTGCGCATGCCGACTTTATTCGGCGTCGCCAGTGCTCCCAGGTGGCGCGCGCCGACAAGAGTCGGCACCAGACCAACAGAAATATATTGAGTCAGTGTGAGCTTAGCCTCAGACGGAGACGTTATAATCGTTGCCAGCCTGCCAGCTTAGAATGCGAGCTTTACTTTGGTGTAGGTTGGTACTAAAATTTCCCGTAAAATCCTGTCTGGCAATGCTTTTGTCCCGGTTTCAGGGATTTTTTTCTTTTCAACCCACATTACAAAGGCACTGGATACGGATCCGTGCAGTGCTGCTACCTTTGGGTGTTTCAGTGAACTACATCCACTTGCGGGGTAACGCAGCACAGTCACCAATACTCTTTTGTGATTCGTCAGACTGAAATATTTGAATGCCAATTGCGTTCGCTGATTCGGTTGCGCGCCACTGGGGAGCGCCTGTATAGTCGGCACGCGCAGTCAACGTGTTAATGCATGATCCATTTTATGGTTTTGCATGGATCATACCTTAAAAGTCAGTAGAGAGTCCGGGGATACCCAGTAGGTACTAGGTTCCCGTTCATAGGCCTTTTATCACCAAGTATGAGATGTCAAATTTGTCAACCAGGACAAAAACTAATAATATGTAGTACCTAGTACCAACGGTTCACTCCCTGCCTCCTTTCTAATCAGGACGGCTTGAGTTAATTGATTCTTGCTTTTAAATTCTGATTGAATAAAAACAAAATAGCCTGATAAAAATAAGGTTATCAATTTTGTTGTGGAAATTAAACCATTATTGAATAAAAACTCATGTTTATCTTGATCTGCTCAGACGATTGACCATTCTGCTGATCTGCGGGCTGATATACTTCTCTCTGTGGGGAAGCTACTTCTACTTCAATGCCAAACTTCATGACTCTGATGGAGAAGAGGTATGTGAAGTATTTGATTGTTTATTAATCAGTTTTATTTCTTAAATTAAAATTAAAGTTAACGATTCAAGTTTTGATCAAATGGGTGGATTCTTTGCTAGCTCTATGCATTCTGCATGCAGAGCTTTGTTACTGACTGATATCAGCAGTTTTTTTTTGCCAGAATGATTGAAGTCTAATGACCAAGCACAGCTGGACCCAGTTTCAAACCATCAAAGAGCTACTGATTTTTCTCGTGTCAGGGTTGAACCATTCACTCGATCAGTTCTTTGATACAGCGATACCCATCTGAGTGTATATTTTAAGTTGAATATGAACTAGTTGTTCAACAGTGCAAGAATACTCAGGCTAATGGTATCGTAATGGTCTCAAAATCTACACTAAAACAGTACACTATGGATTATACAGGGCAATCTCAATCATTATAATTGCTTATTTTAATTTAAGTCTCGTGTGTATTTGCATAAATTGTGTGGTAGGATAAAAAATAGCTTTATCCTAATGCAAACATCTATAATGAGAAGTAAAAGATTAACCCAGTAAAAAAGTAAACAAACAAACTATAAATAAAAACAAATGTAATAGCTGATGCATCTTCAATATTTTTAATCTAATTAAATACACCTCTTTAATTGGGATTTGTGTTGTAAAGTGAGTCTCAATAAATAAAAAGTACCATTAAGTTTTAAATGTATCGCCAACACGCTCTCAATCCTGCAAGGCTATCTATATCCTTGTTATCACCAAACAGCTGATCCCCCAACCCCTTATCTTGTTTCTTCTCCAGATGAGTCGAAGACGGCAAGCTGCGGGAGGTGTTCGTGTCGGTCCGTGTCTCTTTCTCAGGCTTATTGCCAAAACCATTTTCTTTATTTTTCTCCTTAGGGTGTTGCCGTCTCCAAGCAATTGGTAAAATTGTGTTGTCTTGTCACTAGACATACCGTCTAGATTAGTTCTCTAAAGTGAGCGATATAGTTCCCTAAGCCGTAAAAATCTGTGCCTGATTTTCTATGGGGACATGTCTTGAAAGGCTAACTTCTGATGTGAGCAGGAGTATCCAATCCTACTGAGGGCTAGGAATCTGGGTACCCAGGTAATTGCAAAACACAATAGCAAATCCCCCCTCCCTCACGTGTCATTAGAAGCTAGGAATAGGACAGCTATTTCAAATATTTTAATTACTGCAGACCTAATAACATTTTTTTTTTTTTTTTTTTTTTTTAGGAGGACGCTAGGCACGAGCCTGGGATTGTTTTTCACATTACTTCAGACTAGACCTAGGGGTTGCGGCATTATCACTTAGATAAAATCCATTGGTGACTTGGCGGGGATCGAACCCGGGACCTCAGGGACTGAAGTCCCGCGCTCTAACCACTACGCCAGCTCGCTCCCCAAGCCTAATAACCTTATAACATTATAATAACACCTAATAACACTAATACCATTACAGTACATTGTCCATAAGCCAAACCGCCTATTATTTTCTGGCTAGAATAATTAGGCTGGTCCTTCACATTTATTTCTACCATTGGCAAAACAGTCAATTTAATATCGAAGGACTCTCAGCGGGAATTTGCACCCCGACACTTTCTAAAGAAAATATAATAAATATTTCCCCCTCACCAAACATATACTGACTTTTTAGGGTTAAACTGCGAACCTTTTGATTGTTTGACTAGCTCTATATCCACAGCAAGTTTAAAATGCTATGATAGAATTGAACAATGAACACCCACAATACAAAGTTTTTTCTGTTGAAGGTTCCAGTGCGAGAAGCCATTTACCACTTTTTCCGCTCACCGTGGTGGGCAGATTTCAAGACTTCCTTGTACAACACATGGCAGTTTGCCAAACACAATGGTTGGATGGCCACATGGAACCTCATCATAGACTTGGGCGATCCGTACGGGGAAACCAACGCATTCCAGGTAAAATCGGTTTTAATGCACAAAACTACTGCCAGGGTGTTGGGTTTACGAGTACATTGTAGTGGACTGATGGATCTGATCAATCGCTGAGCGAGCTAAGACTTTGTCTCTTTGTGCAGGAAATAACACTGTATGTTGAAGGTTCGAATTCTGATTATCCCTTCAGGGAGTTAAACACTTTCAAGCCTAAGCCTGTTTTAATAATGTTAAAAACAACTTTGCAAGAACTTAACGTTTATCAGTATTGTAAGTGTGGTAAACCAATAGATGCTCGCAATATTTCAATACATCAATCGCCGAGCAGATGATATTATCAAGATTTTTTGACTTGGCAATGAGACAGCACCGTATACCAAAGGTTCAAATCTCGATTATTTGTTGAATAAATACAATGTATATTTAACCTGGAAAGATCTGGAATATTTGCGAAATTTATGTGATATTTTTGATTGTCGCTCAAATTTGTAAACCGTTGTCTTTCAACAAACAAGATTGCTTTCAGGATAACAGGTTTTTACTCTAACCAATATTATTTGAATTAATTCACTGTCATATTCTTATCTTTGAAATTATTGGCGAGATCTATTTTATGTATATCTATGACCAAATAAATATTGTCTACCATCAATATAACAGGAGCGCTGGGATCAAGATGTTCACACTTGAGCATGATTTAAAACAGACATTCTTGTGGATTGAATACAATTGTATGTGTTTACCATCTAGTAGGGCTATTTGAGTACAAAACAGTGTACAATCTTTGTTGTCAAACATTTTCAAAATTTTTTTACCATTACAAACTTGGTCTTCAGGGTAAGCACTGCAGTTTTAAACTTATAACAAAATCTGAAATATATTGCGGTGTCTAGTGCTACTGACGCATTCTTGCTAGACAGCTGCTCCAGTTAACACGTTCAGTGCGGCAGGCATTCAAACAGGCACTCGCCAATGGCGAAGCCCCCGCGGCACCGTAACAGCAAACGCAATTGGCATTCAAATATTTCAATCTGACGAATAACAAAAGAGCAGCGGTGATTGTACTACGTTACCCCGAGGTTGGACATAGTTCCCTAAACACCCAAAGGTAGAAGCACTGCCTGGATCAGTAGTCAGTGGCTTTGTAATGTGGCTTGAAGAGAGAAAATCCCTGAAACCGGGACAAAAGCATTGTCAGACAGGATTTTTCAGGAAATTTTAGTACCAACCGACACCAAAATAAAGCTCACATTCTAAGCTACGATTTTAACATTCCCCGGCAATGGCTGAGCTCATACTGAACTAATGTAGTGGGGGTTGCGCAACTACATCAATTGATGTAGGCCGATAGGAGCGCTCGTGGTGCGACAACATCAATTGATGTAGTCAGCACTGAACGTGTTAACTGCTCCTATGATAGCTGCCTGTAACAAAGTCGAATGTCAGCTTTAACTTTTTATTCGATGCCTGTAACACATCCTGAAAACCAAGTCTGTAGTGTTAGTGTTAATATTAATAATAATAAAGTGGCTGTGGAATCCTTATTTTCCATATTTGCCATCTGTAAAATACTATCCTCAAACAACTTTCATTCTCCGCCAGGTACTAAACTTATCATCCAGCGCCAACCAGACGGAAATCAACACAACTTGTAGAATGCTGAAGGTTAAGTTTCATCCAGACAAAGTGAAAGATCCGGCAGACAAACAAGCAGCGCAGGAAAAGTTTTACGAAGTCCAACAAGCTTGCGAGACGCTGTCCAAGAGTGAGGCGAGACGCAAGCGTCGCAATAAGAAGTCTGAACTGTGAACGACTTAAAAACACTTGTAACTAAATCTATTTTTATACTATTGAATACTGTATTTGAAATTGACATTTTGACAATACAAACTGGATTTGATGTGATGCTTATATCTAGGTTGTGATTTGGTTTTTTTAGTTAAATTTTACTCTTAGACATTTTGTGTTTTGTTTTTGGCTTTGCTTTTAATGTACTGTTTGCCGTCCGCTTATGCATCACTATCAAAGCAGATAGATTTGTGTTTTTGTTTAAATTGACTTTGTATTAACCTATGCAAAATCATTTGTTCTGTATATCTTAAAGAGAATTTTACTGTTAACCCTACATTCCAAATCCAAATACAAAGATACATTCCAGTTATAATATATTCTTTATGAAACAGAATTTGGTACATGTTATCATGATAAAATGTAAATGTTTCTATTCACACTAAATAAATAGTTAGTTAAAAGTATACTAATTAGAATTTAAAAAATAGTTACATCTTGTACAAATTGATTTGGTTATCACTCTTTTAATTGTACTTAACTTGCTCTTGAGTACAATTCACAATTTCTTTCCAAAACTAGTAACTATAACAAGCACAAAGAATAATTAAGAAATTGTTAATTAATATATTTTTATTGTATGCATCGAGAACTTAACTTTTAAGTCTTGTCTTAAATTTTGTACCATTACTGCGATCTTTAGTAACACCATTGTACTTAATATTCTTCTTTTAACCTTGTTAAACCTCTTTAACCTGATTATAAACTGTTTTATTTTAAAAGTTTATTCTTAAACCTAGGCAGCATTTACATTTATTTTAATTTTTTACTTTTTGTGTATCAATAGAAATGTGATGATTTATCTGTAGACGCTTTTAAAATACTGTACCTAGAAAATGAATTTAGGTTTTTGATTTTACACTTGCTCACTATACATTGCCACTAAAAATTAGGTGTTAGACTGATAATACTATAAATACTGTATCTGACGATACAATAATCAACAGTATTACAGCTACAATTGCCCAAAATATTGTTAATATTATATTTTATATCTCTGTGATAATACTGAATATATAGTGTGTACCACTATTGTTTTCAATACTGATTACTTTTGTGTTAGATTTAGGAGTTCCTATGAATATTTAAATGGTTACAATAGCATTTTTATATACTTTACACTGAAGCATCACTGTTGGCTCAACTTAAAATATGTAGTAACTATTTATTTTGTGTGGGAGTTATAAATTTCTGTTATTATATCTGACTTGTTATTATTGAATCTATATATTTCCAAACATTTAACGTCTTTTGAAATGATTAGTTGATGACCAAAAGAAGACATGCTTTAAGTATCAGATATCTGAATGTTTATGTATATGAAATATTTACTTCAAACATTTTATATTTTTTTTAATCGAAAGCTGTTAAAATATCATCTTCTTTCTTTTTAATTAAACAATGAAAACATTTTATTTATTTAGTAATATTGTTAACATAGTTACTGTTGATTGTCCTGTTACTTAATTTTGTCTTTCTGTTTGTTTGTATGTATGTAAATAGTGACATTGAAATAAATTATTTATTACCTATAGGCATTTTTCTTTACACAATGCTTACATCTTTGTCTTGCTTTATCTCTAGATAACAATTTCAGATATCTTAAGCCGGCTCCAGATTTGTGCCATTCGCCAAGCACCGAACAGCGACTTGAATCGCAAGTAGTGTAGATAGGGGTTTGTTTATTTGGCAAGCAGCAAATATTCATGCTTGTGTTTTCCCATTCATTGTCAGTATTTTTACACACATCAAAGTGAACGAATATTTTTGCTATTCCCAAAAGAAACAGTTGCTCGGAAAACAAGACATGTGTGTAGGCGTCTTCTTGTTAATCGGCGAATTGCAAGACAACTAGATCGCCGAACGTCAAATATTTCGTGCTTTGCGAATGGGGCATGTCTGGAGCTGGCTTTAGTTGTACTATATGTTTAACATACTCGATTGTAAATTTGTCATCTGTATAAATCGGTTGAAAAAGTGGTACTTTCCTGTTAAAGGGAACATTCATTATTATTGATGATTTTTTCTCGATATATCGATATTAAGAAATTGAAACATATCAGCTGACAACTACGATAAATATTGTTCAGTATCAACAAACAATAATAAAATTAAACTGTTCTAAAAAATAACCTAACATAACCAACCAAACTTGCTGTGTAACATTCCATGTTTAACTTGCCTTTTCTGTTATCAAAAGTAATTTTTAAATAGTACAGCAAGTTTGGTTGGTTATGTTAGGTTAGCTTCAATTCCTTGTTGAATAAAAACTCATGTTTATCTTGATCTGCTCAGACGATTGACTATTCTGCTGATCTGCGGTCTGATATACTTCTCTCTGTGGGGAAGCTACTTCTACTTCAATGCCAAACTTCATGACTCTGATGGAGAAGAGGTATGTGAAGTATTTGATTGTTTACTAATCAGTTTTATTTCATTGATTGAAATTAAGTTAAAGATTCAAGTTTTGATCAAATGGGTAGATTCTTTGCTAGCTCTATGCATTCTGCATGCAGAAGCAAGTGTGATCTGTGTAGCTTTGTTACTGACTAATATCAGCAGTTTTTTTTTTTTTTTTTTTTTTTGCCAGAATGATTGAAGTCTAATGACCAAGCACAGCTGGACCTAGTTTCAAACCATCAAAGAGCTACTGATTTTTCTCAGGTGTCAGGGTTGAACCATTCACTCGATCAGTTCTTTGATACAGCGATGCCCATCTGAGTGTATATTTTAAGTTGAATTCGAACTAGTTGTTCAACAGTGCAAGAATACTTAGGCTAATGGTATCATAATGGTCTCAAAATCTACACTAAAACAGTACACTATGGATTATACAGGACAATCTCAATCATTATAATTGCTTATTTTAATTTAAGTCTCGTGTGTATTTGCATAAATTGTGTGGTAGGATAAAAAATAGCTTTATCCTAATGCAAACATCTATAATGAGAAGTAAAAGATTAACCCAGTAAAAAAGTAAACAAACAAACTATAAATAAAAACAAATGTAATAGCTGATGCATCTTCAATATTTTTAATCTAATTAAATACACCTCTTTAATTGGGATTTGTGTTGTAAAGTGAGTCTCAATAAATAAAAAGTACCATTAAGTTTTAAATGTATCGCCAACACGCTCTCAATCCTGCAAGGCTATCTATATCCTTGTTATCACCAAACAGCTGATCCCCCAACCCCTTATCTTGTTTCTTCTCCAGATGAGTCGAAGACGGCAAGCTGCGGGAGGTGTTCGTGTCGGTCCGTGTCTCTTTCTCAGGCTTATTGCCAAAACCATTTTCTTTATTTTTCTCCTTAGGGTGTTGCCGTCTCCAAGCAATTGGTAAAATTGTGTTGTCTTGTCACTAGACATACCGTCTAGATTAGTTCTCTAAAGTGAGCGATATAGTTCCCTAAGCCGTAAAAATCTGTGCCTGATTTTCTATGGGGACATGTCTTGAAAGGCTAACTTCTGATGTGAGCAGGAGTATCCAATCCTACTGAGGGCTAGGAATCTGGGTACCCAGGTAATTGCAAAACACAATAGCAAATCCCCCCTCCCTCACGTGTCATTAGAAGCTAGGAATAGGACAGCTATTTCAAATATTTTAATTACTGCAGACCTAATAACATTTTTTTTTTTTTTTTTTTTTTTTAGGAGGACGCTAGGCACGAGCCTGGGATTGTTTTTCACATTACTTCAGACTAGACCTAGGGGTTGCGGCATTATCACTTAGATAAAATCCATTGGTGACTTGGCGGGGATCGAACCCGGGACCTCAGGGACTGAAGTCCCGCGCTCTAACCACTACGCCAGCTCGCTCCCCAAGCCTAATAACCTTATAACATTATAATAACACCTAATAACACTAATACCATTACAGTACATTGTCCATAAGCCAAACCGCCTATTATTTTCTGGCTAGAATAATTAGGCTGGTCCTTCACATTTATTTCTACCATTGGCAAAACAGTCAATTTAATATCGAAGGACTCTCAGCGGGAATTTGCACCCCGACACTTTCTAAAGAAAATATAATAAATATTTCCCCCTCACCAAACATATACTGACTTTTTAGGGTTAAACTGCGAACCTTTTGATTGTTTGACTAGCTCTATATCCACAGCAAGTTTAAAATGCTATGATAGAATTGAACAATGAACACCCACAATACAAAGTTTTTTCTGTTGAAGGTTCCAGTGCGAGAAGCCATTTACCACTTTTTCCGCTCACCGTGGTGGGCAGATTTCAAGACTTCCTTGTACAACACATGGCAGTTTGCCAAACACAATGGTTGGATGGCCACATGGAACCTCATCATAGACTTGGGCGATCCGTACGGGGAAACCAACGCATTCCAGGTAAAATCGGTTTTAATGCACAAAACTACTGCCAGGGTGTTGGGTTTACGAGTACATTGTAGTGGACTGATGGATCTGATCAATCGCTGAGCGAGCTAAGACTTTGTCTCTTTGTGCAGGAAATAACACTGTATGTTGAAGGTTCGAATTCTGATTATCCCTTCAGGGAGTTAAACACTTTCAAGCCTAAGCCTGTTTTAATAATGTTAAAAACAACTTTGCAAGAACTTAACGTTTATCAGTATTGTAAGTGTGGTAAACCAATAGATGCTCGCAATATTTCAATACATCAATCGCCGAGCAGATGATATTATCAAGATTTTTTGACTTGGCAATGAGACAGCACCGTATACCAAAGGTTCAAATCTCGATTATTTGTTGAATAAATACAATGTATATTTAACCTGGAAAGATCTGGAATATTTGCGAAATTTATGTGATATTTTTGATTGTCGCTCAAATTTGTAAACCGTTGTCTTTCAACAAACAAGATTGCTTTCAGGATAACAGGTTTTTACTCTAACCAATATTATTTGAATTAATTCACTGTCATATTCTTATCTTTGAAATTATTGGCGAGATCTATTTTATGTATATCTATGACCAAATAAATATTGTCTACCATCAATATAACAGGAGCGCTGGGATCAAGATGTTCACACTTGAGCATGATTTAAAACAGACATTCTTGTGGATTGAATACAATTGTATGTGTTTACCATCTAGTAGGGCTATTTGAGTACAAAACAGTGTACAATCTTTGTTGTCAAACATTTTCAAAATTTTTTTACCATTACAAACTTGGTCTTCAGGGTAAGCACTGCAGTTTTAAACTTATAACAAAATCTGAAATATATTGCGGTGTCTAGTGCTACTGACGCATTCTTGCTAGACAGCTGCTCCAGTTAACACGTTCAGTGCGGCAGGCATTCAAACAGGCACTCGCCAATGGCGAAGCCCCCGCGGCACCGTAACAGCAAACGCAATTGGCATTCAAATATTTCAATCTGACGAATAACAAAAGAGCAGCGGTGATTGTACTACGTTACCCCGAGGTTGGACATAGTTCCCTAAACACCCAAAGGTAGAAGCACTGCCTGGATCAGTAGTCAGTGGCTTTGTAATGTGGCTTGAAGAGAGAAAATCCCTGAAACCGGGACAAAAGCATTGTCAGACAGGATTTTTCAGGAAATTTTAGTACCAACCGACACCAAAATAAAGCTCACATTCTAAGCTACGATTTTAACATTCCCCGGCAATGGCTGAGCTCATACTGAACTAATGTAGTGGGGGTTGCGCAACTACATCAATTGATGTAGGCCGATAGGAGCGCTCGTGGTGCGACAACATCAATTGATGTAGTCAGCACTGAACGTGTTAACTGCTCCTATGATAGCTGCCTGTAACAAAGTCGAATGTCAGCTTTAACTTTTTATTCGATGCCTGTAACACATCCTGAAAACCAAGTCTGTAGTGTTAGTGTTAATATTAATAATAATAAAGTGGCTGTGGAATCCTTATTTTCCATATTTGCCATCTGTAAAATACTATCCTCAAACAACTTTCATTCTCCGCCAGGTACTAAACTTATCATCCAGCGCCAACCAGACGGAAATCAACACAACTTGTAGAATGCTGAAGGTTAAGTTTCATCCAGACAAAGTGAAAGATCCGGCAGACAAACAAGCAGCGCAGGAAAAGTTTTACGAAGTCCAACAAGCTTGCGAGACGCTGTCCAAGAGTGAGGCGAGACGCAAGCGTCGCAATAAGAAGTCTGAACTGTGAACGACTTAAAAACACTTGTAACTAAATCTATTTTTATACTATTGAATACTGTATTTGAAATTGACATTTTGACAATACAAACTGGATTTGATGTGATGCTTATATCTAGGTTGTGATTTGGTTTTTTTAGTTAAATTTTACTCTTAGACATTTTGTGTTTTGTTTTTGGCTTTGCTTTTAATGTACTGTTTGCCGTCCGCTTATGCATCACTATCAAAGCAGATAGATTTGTGTTTTTGTTTAAATTGACTTTGTATTAACCTATGCAAAATCATTTGTTCTGTATATCTTAAAGAGAATTTTACTGTTAACCCTACATTCCAAATCCAAATACAAAGATACATTCCAGTTATAATATATTCTTTATGAAACAGAATTTGGTACATGTTATCATGATAAAATGTAAATGTTTCTATTCACACTAAATAAATAGTTAGTTAAAAGTATACTAATTAGAATTTAAAAAATAGTTACATCTTGTACAAATTGATTTGGTTATCACTCTTTTAATTGTACTTAACTTGCTCTTGAGTACAATTCACAATTTCTTTCCAAAACTAGTAACTATAACAAGCACAAAGAATAATTAAGAAATTGTTAATTAATATATTTTTATTGTATGCATCGAGAACTTAACTTTTAAGTCTTGTCTTAAATTTTGTACCATTACTGCGATCTTTAGTAACACCATTGTACTTAATATTCTTCTTTTAACCTTGTTAAACCTCTTTAACCTGATTATAAACTGTTTTATTTTAAAAGTTTATTCTTAAACCTAGGCAGCATTTACATTTATTTTAATTTTTTACTTTTTGTGTATCAATAGAAATGTGATGATTTATCTGTAGACGCTTTTAAAATACTGTACCTAGAAAATGAATTTAGGTTTTTGATTTTACACTTGCTCACTATACATTGCCACTAAAAATTAGGTGTTAGACTGATAATACTATAAATACTGTATCTGACGATACAATAATCAACAGTATTACAGCTACAATTGCCCAAAATATTGTTAATATTATATTTTATATCTCTGTGATAATACTGAATATATAGTGTGTACCACTATTGTTTTCAATACTGATTACTTTTGTGTTAGATTTAGGAGTTCCTATGAATATTTAAATGGTTACAATAGCATTTTTATATACTTTACACTGAAGCATCACTGTTGGCTCAACTTAAAATATGTAGTAACTATTTATTTTGTGTGGGAGTTATAAATTTCTGTTATTATATCTGACTTGTTATTATTGAATCTATATATTTCCAAACATTTAACGTCTTTTGAAATGATTAGTTGATGACCAAAAGAAGACATGCTTTAAGTATCAGATATCTGAATGTTTATGTATATGAAATATTTACTTCAAACATTTTATATTTTTTTTAATCGAAAGCTGTTAAAATATCATCTTCTTTCTTTTTAATTAAACAATGAAAACATTTTATTTATTTAGTAATATTGTTAACATAGTTACTGTTGATTGTCCTGTTACTTAATTTTGTCTTTCTGTTTGTTTGTATGTATGTAAATAGTGACATTGAAATAAATTATTTATTACCTATAGGCATTTTTCTTTACACAATGCTTACATCTTTGTCTTGCTTTATCTCTAGATAACAATTTCAGATATCTTAAGCCGGCTCCAGATTTGTGCCATTCGCCAAGCACCGAACAGCGACTTGAATCGCAAGTAGTGTAGATAGGGGTTTGTTTATTTGGCAAGCAGCAAATATTCATGCTTGTGTTTTCCCATTCATTGTCAGTATTTTTACACACATCAAAGTGAACGAATATTTTTGCTATTCCCAAAAGAAACAGTTGCTCGGAAAACAAGACATGTGTGTAGGCGTCTTCTTGTTAATCGGCGAATTGCAAGACAACTAGATCGCCGAACGTCAAATATTTCGTGCTTTGCGAATGGGGCATGTCTGGAGCTGGCTTTAGTTGTACTATATGTTTAACATACTCGATTGTAAATTTGTCATCTGTATAAATCGGTTGAAAAAGTGGTACTTTCCTGTTAAAGGGAACATTCATTATTATTGATGATTTTTTCTCGATATATCGATATTAAGAAATTGAAACATATCAGCTGACAACTACGATAAATATTGTTCAGTATCAACAAACAATAATAAAATTAAACTGTTCTAAAAAATAACCTAACATAACCAACCAAACTTGCTGTGTAACATTCCATGTTTAACTTGCCTTTTCTGTTATCAAAAGTAATTTTTAAATAGTACAGCAAGTTTGGTTGGTTATGTTAGGTTAGCTTAGAACAGTTTCATTTCTTAATGCATATAATAGACTATTTTAGCCTAAACAAGATCAGTTGTCAATATGTAATGGATCGGTAAACAAAAATATCGAAAAAATCATCGATAATAATGAATGTTCCCTTTAACAGGAAAGTACCGAAAAAGTTAAGGTTTATTCTGGTAAATATAGAGTGCTTTGTTTTAACTAAAATAACCGCACTGAACCAATATTATTCATTCAGGACTTTTTAATTGTAATAGTTTAAAATAAACCCTATAAAAAGGTTTGATCTGATAACTAAAAGGTATTCGATTGAAAACCTATCATTACATAAAAATGGCTAATCCCATTTTCAAAAGTATTTCACCTTGCCAATCATAAGGCATCTCCATCAAACATTGTTCTTTGGTACCCCCATCAAAGTGGTTGTTGCACGGAGAAGCAAGATACAGAGGAAACATTCAATGGTACCCTTAAGTCGTGTCTAGCACCAGTCGCGTGTGTCTAGTTCAAATTCTATTGGTCGTCACCTTCTGCTCTCCTCTCCTCTCTCGCCATCACATACACATCAAAGTGGTTGTTGCACGGAGAAGCAAGATACAGAGGAAACATTCAATGGTACCCTTAAGTCGTGTCTAGCACCAGTCGCTTGTGTCTAGTTCAAATTCTATTGGTCGTCCCCTTATGCTCTCCTATCCCCTCTTGCCATCACGTACTATTATAGCCCTGACGCTGTAGGAAGAGCCTGTGCGGTTCAACTGCTGCTGTAAACAATAGCCGTTCAGGCTCTTGCTGTCTCGGTACTAGTCTCGCCCCGCTATTCCTGTGCTAAAAGCGCACAGTTGTTCTGTAAGCATGATTTCTCTATATATCTTACTTCTTTATGGTTGTTAATAGAAGTCTGTATCCAGTTTTTGTGGACATTACCAACTTTGTTTTTTTGTGTACCACAAAAATTGTTGAAGATGGACAAAAATAATAAAACAAACAGCAAAATATTGAAAATAATATTTATTTTATAAAAATGTCAATAACATACTTATTAATATAGAAATATTAAAAATGAAGGTAATTGATGCTTAAGTATATACACATTTATATCATCATATATTATTACTAGTATATGTGCTATATTTAGGAAAATATTGTAACAATACGATCACAAGAGTCACACTATTTGATATAGAGAAGAAATCAATACTTATCAGTACGTTTAGTTCAGTAGATAACTAATTTCAGACTTTAAAAGATTTATGGATTTATTTTTATTATTTTTTTTGTTTGAATGTAATTATAGGTATGAATTATAAAGATCGCACAAGCTATAAATCAGGAGTTTTCCTGCTGCTCGTTGGATTACATGCATTTTACATTTTGATCAACATTTGAGGTTTAAGAAATTATGACAGAAATACATACTTCTTAGTAGTAGTAGATGAATTAGATGAAGTACGCTTATCATATGTACTTACAGCCCTTCGTCTTACAAGCAAATTTATAAATCATCTCTGTATGGTAATTTTCAAAATAGGGAATTGATAACTTACCAACCTCACCGAGTAACGTACTATTAAGTTGAATTGAATTGTACATAATTATTCAAGTAGACAATCTAATCACTAATTCAAACAAGGCAATGACGATTTGGAAGAGGTGGAAAATCGTGTCTTTTCCTCTGCTTGTGTCACAAAGGCTTTGAAGTGATTGGGGAGTCATCGGGAATCACCTGTACCTTGGGAACAGCCAATGGGCGAATCAGTGACTTTACCACGGGCGGAACCCTATTGGGGTCAGGGAGGACAGGAGTGGAAGCGCACAGTGCTGCCGTCGTCAGTTGTGTGACAAGCGAGAAGGAGTTACTGGGTGAAGAAGAGGTGCGGAATGCTTTTTTGAGACGAGACTTGATGCTCCCTTGGTGTGTCTGTGCTAGGGCAGTTATTGCTGGAGGTTGCAGACGACCGTGTACCATGTGAGGTCCCAGCTCTGGCTCGCTGCCCCAGCGACCGTAGGCGGTGGTGCGCTCTAGCAGGCGGTGGCGGGATAGTTTCTCTATCACGTCAGCCGTCACGTAACGGCCACAGAATCTCGCCCACTGCTCTGCTCGTAGACCCCGTCCTGTGTCCCTCATCGTAGGAGAGGCTCCTGTTAAGATACGTTGAAGGTAATTACTTTTTGTGATTGATTAATAGTTTATAATAATTTTTATATCAACATAGTAAATGTTTTTGTTGTACCAGAAAATACGGCTGATTTCAATATATGCAATGTGGAGCTAAAGAGATCTTTCTATTCGTAGGGGAAAAATACATTTTCTAACACCAAAGCCAGCTTTTCAGCTGGTTTTGCTGAAGAAAATAACAGCTTTTGCTGCATCTAAATAACAGCTGTTTGTAGGCTATATCCACAGCCACCTCTAATACAAGGCCACGGCGAGTGAAAAGCGGCAACATCGCATCAGTGTCTTGGCGTTTGGTCGTTTTACCATTACAGTGAATGGAGGAGTCGCGTACTCTACGTACATAATCGCGTTTCTACTACCTTTAATCATTAGTAATGACGTTAAACTTCTTACTACAGCATGCCAGATAGATGTGATGTGCCTGGATGCAAGATTAATTACGATAGCTCAATTAAAAATGAATAATACATACAGTGTTCTAAGATTCTACTTGATCCACCGCGTAAGCAACAATTGCTTTCTGATATTCTTCGATCAAATTAGACATCTTAAAAATATTCTCGTTTTTGTGTGAAACATTTTTCACGAATATGAGCTTAGATTAAATTTGTAAAAAAATGTAAGAATAAGACAATGATTCGTGTAAATATAGACGCGAGAAGCAAGTTTTAGGTAGTAATACCGTACTTTTTCCTTATTTATTTGTCTATCTTATTGATAAATGCTGTTGTTAAGTGATTAAAATAACTTAAATAAATGCCACTTTAAAGAAATAAGCCGGTGTTTCTGTTAAGTAGGCCTACTAGTAAAAAAATATGTAACCTACTGCACCATCTAACAATAAAAGCATCATAGTCTCCGAATCCAGTCTGAATGTTGATGTGATGGCCATATGGAGGCCTAGCTTCTGAAATCGTTTACAAAATGGCAAACGTTTTTCTTAGTAATTATTCAAAGAAAATAAATTATTTAGTCAGTATGCCTTCAAAATGAAAACTTCAAATTTTGTTGTCGCTAACTTATGGTTTCTTCAGGTAGACTAAAACATAATATTCCTATTAAAAATTTAAAATTAATTTTATTTGAACGAATTGTTAGATGTTAGTCTCTACAAATCCCAAAGTCTCTACAAATATTGAAGTGGCAATAAGTTAGTCCTACTGTATAACCATTCTTGGTATAGTAGCTTTATTTTGTAAAATTTAAGCACAGTCTGTCTATTAGTTTTTACTATGTTGAATAATACACATATATACAGACACCATGAGATTGTTATATAATAGTGTAGATTATCAAATTAACAAAGGAAATATTTAAAGTTCATCTATATTTCCACATTCATCTTACTTACAATACGGTAAATGCAACCAAAAACATTATGTTTGTATATTTTTAGTTTTAGACATATTGCGGTATGTTGCAATTTATCACTAAAGTACCTGGGGACCGAGCTTTGCTCGGGGAAAATCATTAGTTCACTCTGAAAGCACCTTAGTATTGGAGATGCATAAATCCATTCCCAAACTCCACACGGCTCGCCTTCACCACCATTTCCTACGTCATGGACCTGTTTCCCTCCATTCCCATTGCATTTAAAGATTGCAAATACCTTAATCTAATCGTCATAAACAGTTCCCACACTCCGGACTACTCGCCTTGACTACTTCCTTCACCACTTCCTACGTCGCGGACCTGTTTCCCTCCCTTTCCATAGCATTTTAGGATTGCAAATACTTTAATCTAATCATCATAAACAATTCCCACACTCCGGACTACTCGCCTTGACTACTTCCTTCACCACTTCCTACGTCGCGGACCTGTTTTCCTTCCTTCCCATAGCATTTTAGGATTGCCCATACCCTTATCTAATCGCCATAAACAGTTCCCACACTCCGGACTACTCGCCTTGACTACTTCCTTCACCACTTCCTATGTCGCGGACCTGTTTTCCTTCCTTTCCATAGCATTTTAAGATTGCGGACACCTTAATCTAATCGTCATAAAAAGTTCCCACACTACGGACTACTCGCCTTGACTACTTCCTTCACCACTTCCCACGTCGCGGACCTGTTTTCCTTCCTTCCCATAGCATTTTAGGATTGCAGATACCCTAATCTTATCGTCATAAACATTCCCCACACTCCGGACTGATCGCCTTCACTACTTCCTTCATCACTTCCTACGTCACGGACCTGTTTCCCTCTATTCCCATAGCATTTTATGATTGCCTTTGTTACTTCCTTCACCACTTCCTACGTCGCGGATCTGTTTCCCTCCCTTCCCATAGCATTTTAGGATTGCCCATACCCTTATCTAATCGTCATAAACAGTTCCCACACTCCGGACAGCTCGCCTTGACTACTTCCTTCACCACTTCCTACGTCGCGGACCTGTTTCCCTCCCTTCCCATAGCATTTTAGGATTGCCCATATCCTTATCTAATCGTCATAAACAGTTCCCACATTCCGGACAGCTCGCCTTGACTACTTCCTTCACCACTTCCTACGTCGCGGACCTGTTTCCCTCCCTTCCCGTAGCATTTTAGGATTGCCCATACCCTTATCTAATCGTCATAAACAGTTCCCACACTCCGGACAGCTCGCCTTGACTACTTCCTTCACCACTTCCTATGTCGCGGACCTGTTTTCCTTCCTTTCCATAGCATTTTAAGATTGCGGACACCTTAATCTAATCGTCATAAACAGTTCCCACAATCCGGACTACTCGCCTTGACTACTTCCTTCACCACTTCCTACGTCGCGGACCTGTTTTCCTTCCTTCCCATAGCATTTTAGGATTGCAGATACCCTAATCTTATCGTCATAAACATTCCCCACACTCCGGACTGCTCGCCTTCACTACTTCCTTCATCACTCCCTACGTCACGGACCTGTTTCCCTCTATTCCCATAGCATTTTATGATTGCCTTTATTACTTCCTTCACCACTTCCTATGTCGCGGACCTGTTTCCTTCCCTTCCCATAGCATTTTAGGATTGCAGATACCTTAATCTAATCTAATCGTCATAAACAGATCCCAGACTTCGCACTGCTGCCCTTGACTACAATCATAGATAAAACCATAGACTATAAAACATACTCCCTACAATGTATCGAGTAATCTTCAGTATAATCTTTGCTAAATATTATGCTAATTATTTCCATAAGTGATGTTTTCCTTTTGTACTGTATTTGTAATTTGCTAGTATACTGTGGGTAGTTGGCTTACTATGAACACATGCTACAACTTCAAGTCTTTTGTTTACTTTATCCTTGTTATTTAATTCATCCAACATGGTTACCTAGCAACCCATAAGACTAATGTTAAAAAAATCTTATTTTCAGTTTCATTTTTCTACGTAATTAGATTTTTGTTGGCAGTTCTAACTGCATGAAACTCGTTTTTAGGCCAAAAATAAACTATTTACAATTAAGATTTGAAGAAAATCGTCGGAGCCGTTTTCGAGATCTTTCTGCAAGCAAGCAAGCAAGCAAGCAAGTAAGCAAGCATACAAGCAAACATTGCTCGTATTAGAGTATAGGATAAACAACCTAGATTACAATTTTGTCTATTTTACCATACCTTAAAATATACTAAAATATGTTATTACGTATTTAAATACTTTCATTCAATGATACAGAGCAGCAATACTCTCATTGATGTTCATGGCCTAGCGCGTGTGAAGACGGACGCAGAGGGGGTGTGATTGCGGCGTTGCCAGTTTGAACGTCGCGGCCTTGTATTAGAGGTGGCTGTGCTATATCACAGCATAACAGATAGGAAATGATTTTGTGAGCTACTTTATAAAGGCCAATAATGTGAAAAAATTATATAGTAATCAAATATAAGAAATTTGAATTCAGCTCACCTCATTTTACACCAGAATTATATCAACATCAGTTTATAGTCTAAAGTCCTCGTATTTTTTTAAAAATAGTTACAGTATTAAGAAAATCAACTGATTGTGAAGACAAAACAACAAAGATGTCCTGCAACTTATGCAAATGTCTATGACTTTGGACTTTAATATTTTTATAAGAGATAATTAAAATGAGTAAATAATCTAAATCTTGGATTATTGTGAAAAATACATCACCAGCAAAGAGTAGCAGTTTGGCACATTTAGTCCGACCCTGTATAGCAGCCTTCATCAGCGGAGTAAAGCCGAGGTTATTTCTTGCGTCGACCTCGATGATAGGGCAACGACTTAGCAGATAATTGACACATTCTACCTGACCTGAAGTACAGAAAAAGTTATACACAAAAGTATCAGAACCAAGAATGTCAAAAATAGGTTGTTTAAATGCTGCTTACTTAAAACGGATAATCAGCCATCAACTCATGGACCCATTTCTAGTACCAGATGTTATACCACATGTAATAAGGAGTGGGGATGGAGCTATCATAGCAAAATATGGATTGAAGGAAAACCTGGATGGAAGAAGAAACCCCTGAACGCCCAAAGAAGAGGTAGAAGTAACAATGAAGCAACACAATCATAAGATTGGTGAGAGCTGATAAATGAAACACAGAGTATCAATGGAAGGGAAGGCAGTTGGTTGGTGAAGCAAAATACATTCTTGGGCCATAGAAGAGTCCTCAGTAAAATTTCCTTCAATAAAAGCAGTGATTCACACTTTCCTTGGAGTTATGATTAGTGATGTGATGAGTCAAGTCCTTGTTAGTGAGTTTGTTTTCAACTCGAGTAATCATCTTTATCGAGTCAGACCCAAACTCGCACGAGTCGAAGGAAGCCAAAGTACCCTATTACAAAGTTGAGTTAAACCACCACCTCATACAGAAGATGCAAAATTATACAAACTCGAGAAACCTGCTGACTCAACTTAAATTTTATTGGCTGATAGCGGATTCGATTCAAGAAACTGACTTAATTGCTGTTGGCCAAAAGCGAGTCAATCTACAAACTACTAAGGTTATAGTTGAAGCTGTTAATCCCAAAACTCGTTAAACCACACAGAGAAGCCAAACGTACAAAAAACCAGCTCTGCGATCAGTCCAAATCAAGTCAGACTCAACTCGTAATTTTAACATGTTTAGCCTCTGGATCACGTAATTTTCTAATAAAAAGGTTAAATACCTGTAGTACTTGTCAGTGATCCTTGGAATTTAGGTCAGCGACCCAGGTCAACTCGTAACTTGAGTCGATGACAGCTTACAAGTCAAGTACTCGACTCGTCACATCACTAGGCCTAGCTATCAAAATAGAGAGTTTCTGTCTTAAACAAGTGACAGATTTTTGGAAAATTTTGAACTCCAAAATCATTGCATGAAAGATCATCCAACACAATAATATAAATTAAAATTATATCCATTATCAGAGTGGATACTGTAGTTTGACCTATTACCAGCTTGTGCAGCGAAGTGGAGAGGTGTGTTTCCTTCATTGTCAGGTTTGTTGACATCAACTCCCTCCATAGCCAGCAAACTCTCCAGTAAAGACACAGGGCCATTGGAAGCCAAGTAACTCAGGGCTGTCTGCAAACAGGGCCATGTTTATATAAAATAACGAATTTCTTCACAACTTTATTACAGGAAATATTTTGATAGTGTGTTGTTAGTGTTAACCAGAAGTGGGATTAATACTGGTACCTATGTTTCTGAGTTTGATGGGCTGACAAATTTTGAAGGAAATATGATTAAATTATATTATTGGCAAAATATCTAAATGTATTTCTTCGTAGTTGTCTTTTATTGCTCAATTATTTTCTGTTGAAATTTATTTTCAAGGCAATTAACAAACATTTTGTTTTCAATAGCTGTAGAATTACTTTCAAGTGGCCCAAATTTATTGATGGTGGAAAGGTAAATGCTTATGTTAGTGTTCACAGAGAAGTAAGGTACAAAGTAAATACTTGTATAGTGTCTTAGGCACTAGTCCAACACCACCCCCTTGCCCTTATAACTACAACACGGTGGAGAAAGATCCTGTGCTCTGTGCGATAGGAATTTCCGCACAGTGCTTGCCGCTCGGCTTTCACTCTACAGAAGAATATTTCCAACAGCCAACACAACATTAGAGCTGAAAACGGAAGTCCCAAAAACAAGATTCCTCTGTACCTTACTTCTCTGTAGGTTATTTACCACGCTGATTGAACACAATGACACAATACTAACAAACCTTCCGTTGATCACAATCTATGCAAGTCAATAAAAATGGATGAAAGCTATACCGAATATGGAGTCAAGTTTATAAGCTCGGGATTTTAGTTTACCAGTACTGTTAGTGCGATATATACTGTCTGATCAGTGAACGAGAGGTCTAAGGTGTCTTTTTGGCTACCTCTGATTCCTGTCTTGGTCAAGTGATAAACCCATGAGGAATTGAAGCGTTCATCTTCTGTGACAGAGCCTTCAGTAGAGGGAGAGGCCCATTTAAAATAAATAATGGATGGCTGGGGTGTGGGGTGGAAGTTGACGGGACGGGTGAAATTGTTAGCCACTTCCACCACTATTTCCCCCTCCCTACCACCATTTCTGATCAGACAATTGACATTTGAAGCATAATTTTTGCATTTTAAAGCATTATCCACACAATTTGTTTATCACACTAAACAGGTACTATGCTAAGCAATTCAGGGTTGCAGAAACAAACTTGGACATTCATGTTAATGTTAAAAATCTAAGAGAGTTTGTCAAAATCACACACTTGTACACAATTGATAACTGATCTAGTAACTAAAGTTTAATTTGAAGAAATTACTTTGTTGATACTTGCAATTATTAGTCATTAGACATATTATTAGAAATATTATGTCCTTGCAATTAATAGTACGAAAGCCAATAGATTATAAAAATGCACACACTAACTTGTTGAATTATAAATACTAACCATAGACACTTTTTCTGTAAGTCTCCTCTGAAACTATTGAATTATTTTCATTATGTGTTTACATTATTTTCTTGGGTATTTTTTTATTTATTTAGCATGACAGGAGATAGATAAGGTATTGTTTGCCCTTTTTTTTCTTGATTTACTTAGATTAATTTTTAATTCAGAAAAACTTAAGTAATATTTTTTTTTATTCAGATACAACTAAAACATTGTTCCAAATAATGTAGCTGTGTGGCAAAATCATCAACCAAGTTTTTCTTTTTTTGCCAAACTCAATTAATTTTTTTGTATTAAATTATTTTTCTGCAATTTATTGTTTTGGAGTATTAATTGTTAGAGTATTACAGTGTTTACTTTGGTGTACGTCGCACTGTTTTGAAATTCGCTATTAGTTAAATACGTAACCAATTATGAAAGATATGTTGTAACAGAATTCAAATTAGTATATTTAAATAAATAAGCTTGTATGTTTAAAATTGTTACTTTTCTAATTTATCTAATTGACGAGTCATACGAGTTATTTAACCATGACTTATGAATTTAACTAAACTTACATTAAGTAATCTATTAGTTATCATATGGTTCCTATGAAAATATGCACCATATTTTATTTCTACCTCATTAAGAATTTTAGAACCACCCAACATTATATCTTTATCAAAAATTCAGTAATATAAAACAGAGTAGACATTTTAATACATCAAATCATACATTTAATTTGTCACAAAATTTAGTGTTACTTGCAGATATTAATTTGAAATATTCTACAAAGTTTTACATTTAGTTCACCAACACTCAACAAAAAATCTTGCCTAGTGTCGACAAAACATTTATTATTCCCTTTGCAAGGTTTGTGGCGTCCAGTCATTTTTAATATTTCAATTTGGTCGAGCGGTGGACGAATCAAAGCACTTCTGTCAACGTAATTACCGGATTTGTGGGAGTTGATTGATTGGCTATTGAATATGTCAGTCAATTGACTCGTAAATTTCCGTCTTTGTTGTGTTGAAGGTGTATGAGGTATATAACCTTAGGATGAAACCTTTTTTAGCAAGTTTCCCTAAATCACCATAAAAATTACTGCTTAGAAATTGTATTTTCTCATTTTTTACTCTCAAAACATTAAATTTCAAAAAAAAAAAACGAATAATCTGGTCTCTTGAAGTGTTTTTGCACAATTATTGGTTATGGAGAAAATTTGAAAAAATGTAAATTAAAATTTCCCTGTTAGTCATATTGAGAATAAATAACTTTTGTAATTTGCTCGGTTATGAATAATATTTTGATCAAATTTGGAACATTTATTTATTTCATCCTAGCTATTAAGTTTTCAATTAAAAAAATCACTTATTGGCTTCCCTGTGGCACCAAACCTAAGCACTCATAAAATTGCATGTTGTTCAGTGAAAATTAGCTATGCAATTAAAAATTCACTTATCCTGCAGGTTTTCTGCGGTGAGGATATTTCAGTTTTCCGAAAAATATTTTATTTTAAGTTAAAATACGTCACACAGAAACTAGGTAAATAAAAATAATCCATGATACTTAAAACTCCTTTTCTCTATTTGCTTTGTATATATTATATAATCTGCGTGTGTTGGGGAGTCCAGATGGGTTCTGCTCCAATGTTTCGGTTTAGCAAGGCTTAACACTCTCAATAAACTCTCACTGTAACTTATCTTTTGCTGAATATGATTGTTTCCGAATGGATTCACACTTGTGCTACTTTTCACTAAGGTAGATCTGTGGTGCAATATCTGAAATTAGAACAAAACCGAGGTCCAAGTTAGCCCTGCATCAATGTTTCCAGTTTTACAAGAAAACACGTTAGGAAAACGGGTTATGGTAAAGCGTATAAATAATTTAATAACTCTACTATAGATGACTATACTTAATTGGACAATTTTAGATTGGAAAAGCTTGTGGGAAAGGGCGATAAAATTGAGGGCATGAAACAGTGGCTACAATGGGTCGAAGGGGCAGGAATTTGAATTGTGAGGGTGCCTCTTTCCCTTCATCGGTTTGTATAAAGTTTCTATCAAAATCTTAGTAATTCATCTATTGGAAACATTTTTCAGTTAACATAGTTGTAATTCTGTTGGTAGGACAATATTTTAAAATTTGATTCGGTAACCTTCTTCTTGAACTAACAAACATTGTAAACAAGAATCTTTTATTCGTCCCTGCTTAATTGTTATATCCCTGGGTATCTTCCTAATTTTTAAGCTCAATACCCACAGCTACCCACATAGCTAAGGTTATACTCAAAGAGTATGATATCCTGGGAATATTTATATTTCCTGTTTTTAAGACACCTCATGTGTATCTTTTTAGGATGCCTATCAAATGTCTCTTGGACAATGGACACATAAGACTTTAAAATAAAATTTGCAGGACATCATAGGACTCTAGCATACAATTTCTTGTGAATATTCTGAAAGTTGCCTACATTGAATATGTTTGACTACAAATTCTCTACCCAAAATCTCTAGAGAGACGACAAAACAAAGATATTGAGCAAAACCCCTATAGACACCACAGTATAATATGTGATTTAAGCAGCCAAACGTACCCTGCCTGAGGAGTCAGCGTAGTTGATGGTAGGCTCGGGAAGGGGTGAGGCAGATGCTCGACGTAGAGTGTCCCGGAGGCCATCCTCGTCACTGTCCCTCGCCTGAGAGAGCAGCGGAGGATGATGGGAAGTGGCGGGGACGGGGCCTGCCAGGGTGCCACGCAGGTACCTGGTGCCGTGACTAGGTATTACCACTCCTGAAACTGATTCGTATTCTAGTTGATTAGATGTCTATTTTATGGCAAAGGTGACTGAAGGATTAATGTTGAATGGGTGAGATGGAGATTGGTTGATGGTGGGTAAAACAAAATTGGACTGATGCTTACATTCATCAGAGAGCTTAAAACCTAAATCACATCCATTATTTCCACCCTTAAGTTCCATCCATGACCCTAGATTTTCGGTCAGTCACTGTTTGACAGCTGTCGTGTATAATTGTCAGTTTCGGGTGTGGTTTGGTGATAAGTTTTAAATAGTAGATGATGTGAGCGCCTCTGTCAGACTGTCATAGCAATCAGCATGTTTGTTGGCATGAAAGTAAATCTCATTAAATTTAATACATACAAATTTAAAAAAGCTAAAATTACATGCTATTCCCTATTTCTTATTCTTAATTTACGATAGTTTAGATACTGCTAGCAATAGTTAACTGTTAACGTGAGAGTAAGTTACAAATATTAGTTTGTGTACTGAAGTATTTTGACAAACAAAAAGGATTTTGTATACATAAGAATGAATAGTCACTAAAACGTAATCTTCGAACAAAACATTAAATGTTTTAAGCTTCACGGTTTAATTTTAAGTACTTATTTCTGGTAAACTTCAGGGGGGTTTCAACCCTTCTCACCCCCCTCCCATTCCATGAGTAGAGCCTTGATAGAGACTTTCCTTATTTTACTTAGAAATTTTCACCTTTAGACTGTAGAACATATCTTGCAGAGATTTTAAGGATATTTGTGTTTGTATGGTTCATAATATACCATTGGATACAATTTCAGACCAGTAGGTTCAGTAGCTTTGTGTATTCACCCAGAATGATTAAACACACAGACATTTGATTGATTGGTTGATTGATTGGTTGATTGATTGATTGATTGAGAAACCCCATCTTCACTATAACGAAAATTTCATAAAAATCACAAAGCTCACCAGATGTCACTGACGATCTCCTCTCTTCCGGCAGAGCAAATCTGACCCTCCTCGGCTCCTCCCTCACCAGCCGCGACCCCCTCGTCGTGCTGCCCAACACGCTCTGTAGAAAAAGAGAAAAGCCATTTGAAAGAAAACCATTAGTGTACACTACAAAACTTTAAGCCTATCCTAATAGAGCTTGAAAACAAGTTAGCCGCTTCAAGAATTGTTCTACCTTCAACACTCTCAACTTTGAAGGGACCAAATTGGAATTTTTTTAAAGAGGAGCTGAATGAAGGTAATATTTTACTTACCTTAATTTACCATAATTACCTCAATTTTAATTAGTACAGCTTGTACTAGATCTAAAGATGATCTGTCTACACTAAGGCATAAGTATACAGCCACTCAAAATAGTTTTGAGTACCAAGGTGTTAAAATGTACAATTTCTTGCCTGCATCCATCAAAAACCTGTGTGTTTCAATATTTAAACAAGTTTTAAAAACTACTCTAACCCAGGCTTGCCTGTATATGAAGAGTACTTTGGTTTAGAGTTTCAGTTATTTTAGTTGCCTTGATTGTTTTCTTTTTCTTTTGACGATTGTCATGAACTTTGTACTTAGTTTTAACAACAATAAAGCATTTCATTTCATAATTGACTCGAAGCCTTGAAGCTCATTCGTTTTTGGGACCGACCTGATCAATCCACTACATCTTTAGTGAGCCTCTCCCATCATCCCAGGTTTGGATCAAGTAAGATACCCTCATCCTGGCAATGTAGACACTGGGAAGAGAGACACATTCAAGACTCTTTGTGATCAATACTGGATGAATAACTCATGTGGTTTACTTAAATAATCATTTAATATACCCCTAGAGTTGTTATGTTAATAGCATCCGTGAAAAAGTATCAGAGGATCCTTTCAAGTTTCAATGGTGCTGACAAACATGATTCTGGGGGAATATTGACAAGATTAGTGTCATAACACTATAATCCTTTTAGAAGTGCATTATTTTGAAATTATTGCATGGCTGAATCAATACGACCTGTTAAAATGTTATTGTTACCCTTTCTCGTCTTGTAGCTAGTTGTATTGTATGATTATGCTCCCCACAAGCTACACAGTTCTTTTTAGGAATATAATTTTTGTAGGAAACAGTAGACGCTCGCTAATTCGTCACGTTTGTCCCATCGTCGTTCGGCAATGCCGGATAACTGAATTTTAAAACTGTAGTTATTGTGGGACTAACGAAAAATTCAAATTAATTCCTATAATTTTGAGTCCAAGCTTAAATAATTAAATTAAAAGAAGGCATTTTTTGTAAAGGACAAATATACATGGTCCGCTCTCGAAATCCCATGTGGTAAATTATATTTTACAAACACTCCCATGGAATTAAACCAGTTTTGTGCCCTGACTGTTAAAATATAATTCCTAAAAACTCGTAACTATTTTAAAAGGAAAAATTTTAATATTCTACAAACATCATCTAAAAAAATCAATTGCTTGACACGATTGGAGTTAGTTAAACAAATTGTGAAACCATGAGCATAATTAAATCTAAAACCCCATGAAAAATTAAACATCGCTGAGTCCATCTAAGCAGCATGAACAATTCAAAGGCACTAAAGATTTTTCATCTCAAAGGTCATCTGCATTTTGGCATTGTCTTCCAGACATTTCGACGCCTTTGGAAATTGGACGCGAGCCAAAGCCAACGGAAACACGGTGTTGTCCTGATGATAGCTTTACTTTGCTAATGTGTTCTGGGCCGCTAACAAGGTAATATACCTTGATACATGTGATTTAAACCGTAGATTAAACACACTCACTTGTGTCATATTTATGGTTCAGCTGAAGACAGTTTTAAGGTTGGTACGTGTGGATAGTGTTCTGTTAGTTTATTACTTGTTTCTTGTGTTTCTCAAACTTTACTCTTGTTTTTTATGTTGATGGTTCGATCCTAAGAAAGGTTAGAAGCTTTTTGATGGTGCAAAAATGGACCCAGTTGATCATTGGGGTTTAAAAAATAATCACGGCTAATAAACAGCCAGTATTATAGTAACAAAGCTTGATAATCTCAGCTGACTCCATTCTACACTCACCCTTTGTTCATATAGAGCACCGAACCAACGTCGCTGTCTTAAATACAATTTTATATTCAAACCACTTTAAATCCATTTCTACTTGATATAAGAATCTATTTGTAAAAACATTGCATGAACTGTGGTACTACAACTGGAAATAATAGCGCAAACTGTAAAATCAACCCTGAAACAAAATAGACAAATTTTGTCGTTATTGTTACCGATTGAAACTGAGGTGCAACTGGACTTATTATAACAGAATACCCCCGCCGCAACAAACCTGCCGACTAAGCGAATTTCCATTTGTCTGAATTGATTTTAAATTGAATATATTTAAATAACATTAGGTTTAACAACTACCTAGGTTGGATCTCAAGCTTTAAAATTACACCTCAGTCGTAAAAATCTGTTAAGTAGCGCAATTGAGAGAAATACCTTATTTTATTAAGTATACAGATAACATAAATTAATAATTGATTTACTACAATACTTTATTAATGAACATCAAAAAAGTGCATTGATTACCATACATACTTAAAAAACGTATTGTCCAGAAAAATACGCGTCACAAACACTTTATCTTTGTGCAAATACAAATACTTCCACTTAGGCAAATTCCTATTTGTGCGGGTCTCCGCCTAGCTCCACAATGTTAGTTCAAGAGACAATTATAATAATTAGACTTCATTAGCTCATTTATGTAAACTCTTCACAAAACAAGCAAGTTAGCAAGTCGCTAACTAGCGCGAGTGTTTAAGCTGTTTATTCTCAACCATGTGTTTTGTCCTCTTTTTCAAAGACACGTTCTTTCATAATTGAATTGGATAACACAGTTTTGTGTCCTTGCATTATAACTAGTCTTCCCGTATTACGCGCTAGTATTTGTAACGTCAATTTTTCAGATAATGTACAAAAATCTGTATTTGATAGGTTATTGCATTTTCAGTAAGTAGGACTACATTTAGGAATATATTCGGGAAAATCTGTTGGAGATTAATAATTTGGAATGATTCATAAATTTTAAAACACAGTTTTTCTTTAGTCTTGTATTTTTCAGCTCGAAATACGTGTACAAGAATACATCACACTCATAAAGAGTGAATGAATCGATTCATTCTACAAAACTAACAAAAGAGTCAAATAGACTGCAGTTCGAAGTAAGCAAAACTGAAGAAGAATAGTTTTGTATTCAACCATCATTTGCAAGTTAAATACTTCGTATAGCTTGGGAGTACCATAGTACTTCTTATTAAATAAACCACAGGATAATTAAATCAGAACGTATATAATTACAAGAGATGTATTTCTTTCGTCAGTAAATACGTCTTTTCACGCTCGAAAGGCTTTGAAAACAAAGAAGTTATAAGCTGTTTGTTTCTTGAAGAACTAATTTTCAAGATTTACACTTCAACGCCCCCGGTTGGAAGACAATGAAAGAATTTCTCATCCCTTTCTGCTAGAGAAACCAATCAACAATGGGAGTAATTAAACCCTACAAAAATAAACCAGCAAAAAAAAGAGCGAGAAAATTATATTGAATAATATTAATATTGTGTTTTGAGTGTTGCATTCGTTCAATTAAACATTACCAAGTAAAATTAAAATTAATTTTTAACAATTACCTTTACCGATTAAAATATTTTCAAATAATATAGAATTTAAACTAAAATAAATTTAAGTTTAAAAAAATAATAAATACGAATAATGACACCAAGCATGCAAACTAAAGAAATATTTATTTTATTTTTGAATTTTTATTTCAGCAGTTCTGTAATAAATTTACTTTTAGATACATACAGCAACGCCTCAACATACTATAATTATTTAGTTCTTAAGCTTAACAAAATAAATTTTAATGAAACTGCAAAGTTTTATGAGTGTATGAACACTTATTACCTTTTTATCCCTCAAAACCCTGTTGCCATAATCCGACCATGCTGGTTCGAGAACACGTTCGAATAAATGTAGGTTTAAAGGTCTTAAAATATATCAAATTTCATCAAAATCAATCGGATCATATTTTCGGGTTATCGAGTTATGGAGACCTCAAAACAAAATAGCTTAGTCCCTATATGGGAAACTCGCTACCATTATGAATAATTGTACGTCTCTTTAAAATAATTTGGATGGCAAATAATAAGTTTGAAGAATTTTAAAATTTAGCGGACAAAATTAGTTTCGGGCGTGCAATTATTTTTTTCTCTACACTTTGGCTAGTTTCACTTTGAATTAATGAAAAATAAGTAAATTAAATACCAACGCAAACAATGATAGGGACATCGAAAAATAATTTTATAAATTTAAAAAATACTTAACCCTACCTGTTACGAGAATTGAAGCGTTATGGGAGCTTGGTGACGTCACGCCAAGACGCGGGGCGCAACTAAATAAATAACGGAGTATCACGTGGTGTCACTCCCGCGCAGTCAATATCAGCTGATCCTGACGTCATAAATTGGCGGGTAAGTTTAATAAGTTTAGCCTCCTTTATTGAAGTGAAAATAAAAAAATTGTTTTTACCGATGGGTGATGACTATAAAAAAGTGATTACCAATAAGATATAAATGAAATAAATAAAAATAGTTGTTATAATTTTTTTTACTAGTTAATATTGTGCCATTAGTTTTAATGATTTAATTATTTTCATAAACTTCCTTGTAGGGAACAAGACAAAAAATATTTAATTTTAAGTTTTTTTATTACTTAAAAGTTAAATTCGTTGAGACTGGTTTAAATCGTATGTATACACTACATCTAGCAAATAGTCACCTCTAAGGTAAGATCTATTTAAATTGCAATATAGATGAGATATGTCAATCACATAAGAATCACTGCAACACCAAATTAGCTGAAATTTAATCAAAATAAGCTATTTTGCTTGTAAACGAGCAGTCAGGCTTATTTTATAATTTTACCGAATAAGTAGCTAACCTTAGGTGGCATGGTAAGACCTAGACCCGGGACCGATATACTTTTACATTGTGTCCCATGTATAATGTATATATTTGTGTATAATGTCATTTTCAAAAAT